GATCGTTTTGTTCCTCACTGGCAATAATTCTCTGTGGTGGCGTGTCTGTTCCATTACCCTTTCGCTACTACCACTTCAAGAAAAGATACGTCACTGATAGGCTATGATTGGAGATCAACTGATGAATACCTTGCGGAAGTCGAACAACGATTTTGGATTTATTGTTTACTTTAAATGTAGAACATTGTAACTAACTTGAGTATTTTTCCAGATGTCATCTATGAAAGCATCTACATTATGTATTACATGTATGCTTTAAGAATGAACTGAATAAAAAAAATATGAGCCAAATTTTATGCTTTTCTGTAAATACTTTTGGCTGGCAAATTGATTTTTCATCATTATTTGAATCATTTTTTCGATAAAAATGGAGAAAAAAAATTATAGTAAGCCACTGGTCTAAAGTCTTATTTTTAGTTATTTAGGGATTCCAAAACGAATGCCCTTTTTATGAATAAATATACTTTTGTGTTCTGGAGAATTGAAATCTTTGCCTTCAAAAATAGATTAATTTGTGCTTTGTAGAAAATATCACACCAGTATGTTGAAAGTGGTCTAAATTCATTTGCGTATATCGGAAAATAATTGTGGTTTTTATTAGAATTTTAAAAAATCAATTTCCCCAGAATAATTTTTATCAATAGTCACAGGAATAATTTTAGTCACTAGTTTATACAAAAATAATCAGTTTATTATTTAATTAAATCTTTAAAATAGAACGTTCTATCTCATGCCAACAATCCTAAATTTTCAAAATTTCTGAAATAACGCATCCTTTTTTTCGTGAGAAATAATAAAAAAATAAAACTTCGCAATTTCCTATTTCACGTGCACCATTAATTACTACTTAAATATTTTGAAGGAAAAAAAGTAGTTTTGGTAATTTAATATCGTGAACCGTTTTATAAATTGAACAAAAATCTTTTTTGGATTTTATTTAAAAATCTATGTTGAGAAGTAATCATTAGCTTAATTAAATAAAATGAAGTGATTTTTCCTAATTGACTAATTCCCTTCGTTTCAGCTGATTTCTACCGTGACAGAAGAGTCCTTAAGTTCTTCAAATTCCTTTTCGAATTTAAAGTTATTCTTCTTTTTATTAATATATTTTTGGTAATTAAAGATGTTCTAATTCATTTATGGGAAGGAATCTTGTGATATTCAAAAGGTCATTCTCATATTTTCTTCAGTAGTAAGGATTCAAAAACAATAAATTCATACACATTTCATATAAACAAAATATTAAAAATATCAGCTAGCCACTAATAATTTTTTAAAAGGACTTAAAATAAAAAACCCATCAGATACAAACATTCGAATAAACAATGCATAGAAAGCACTAAACTACTACATTAGTGGTAAATTGGTGATACATTAAAGATAATTTGGTGTTACATTAGTGGAAATTCAGTGATACATATGGGATACTATAGTAATATGTTTGAGATACTTCAGTGATAAGTTAAATACTTCAGTGATTCATTAGAGATACTTCAGTGATTCATTAGAGATACTTCAGTGATTCATTAGAGATACTTCAATGATTCATAAGAGATAGTTCAGTGATTCATTAGAGATAGTTCAGTGATTCATTAGAGATAATTCAGTGATTCATTAGAGATAATTCAGTGATTCATTAGAGATAACTCATTGATTCATTAGAGATAATTCAGTGATTCATTAGAGATACTTCAGTATAACAATAGTGATAATTGAAGACGCTAAGTTATCGAAAAATTCTATTCATTACTAGTGAAAAATACTTCCACTAATATAACTTTTTTGTTATCTAAGACATATTTTAACAGTAGCATTTAAATACAATTTATTGACTAGATATTTATAAAATGCTTTAGCACTAACATTTTAATACAATTCATTGACTAGGCATTTTGAATAATAAAAAGTGTTCCACTATCACCACTATTGATATATATATTTTATAATCCTTGTTAAAAAATGAATTCGAAAAAATTTACACATTGGTTTCTTATAAATATTTAGGGCTGAAAAAACTTATTAAAATCTAATGAATCACTAGTGATAAAGGTAGGACTATTTTAATTGCCTGATGAAACTCGAAGCGTTTCGAATTTTAGTTACTTTCGAAACTTCTATTTCTTTCGATGATTAAACAGGTTTAAATTGTTCAGTACCCCTCATACTGTGACTAGTAAGATTTCAATAGCGTTTTTGTGACGGTATTAATTTTACACATCAAATATGCATAATTTTTTTTACTTCATTTTTTGATAAGGATTCTAAAAAAATGTAAATTAAGGTGGTGATAACGAAACAACTTGTATACTATTTTGCAGATTAGATAGTAAATTTTTCAAAGTTCGATAGTTTATTTAAAATACTTTAAAAAATATGAATGCGGAGTTGGTTATTTTCCGCTTGGATATAGATACTTGAACCATGTTTTATTTTTTCGTTCATGAAACATAAATAACGTTAGTTCTCATTGTTCGCACTTCTGGAAAGAAAATAAACATACTAACGATCTTTGTACCATCTGTGCCGCTAATGACGAAAAATCCTGAAGGAGTCCTCATTTAACCTTTATCGATCTCACATCGAGAAGCTCATATAGCGTGTCTGAACTAATTAAGCATCTGTTTATTGTGTTGCCATCACCTTCCAACAATAAATACCATCCAGAGCAGGTTATATCGTCTGCGCGCTGACAGACGAATAATTATGTACTTCAACTGCAACTTCGATTCAAGTGTTCCAAAAGAAAAGATTCAACACCTTTTTTTTCCTACTCCAATTCAACTATTGTTGCAGAAATGAACTTCTGAGATATAGGAAAAAAATTAGCAGCAGTCACGTTTTATTGCTATAAAAGAATGTTCTAAACAAAGATAATTATTCTTCTGATTTGTTTATTATTGAGTACGATGTGCAATTGTGTTAACAGTTAACGGCCATTTATGAGTGTTTGAATACCCTTAATTTTTTTATGTGATCAGTTTGTTTGGTGGTTTAGAATTTTATGACAGCAGTTCATCTCATCATGCACATCACGTTCCAGATGATCGTATTGAAATTTAAAAAACAATGTCAGACATCAGACAACCTCTTACGCGCTTGTATGAGTAACAATGTACTTATTTAGGTAAAAAAAATTAATTTTCGAAAATGTTACTTTGAACTTGTAACGAAGACTAATTTTTTTTTTCTTTAATTTGAGTTACCTTTCAAAATTTAATATTAAAAAAAAAATGGATTTTATTACCCTTCCACTACCTTCAACTTTTATTTTTCGAATCATGTTACGATTCTTAATTAAATGTGCAACAACATATTTTAATTGTTGTTATTTTAACAATAAGTGTGTTCACGTAATTATTTTTTAAAAAAAACCCTTAAATGTTAAATCATTTTCGACGATGTTAATTTGAACCTAAGAGAATATATTTATTTTTCTTGAGCTGTGTTACAAAAATTTATATTAAAGAAATGAATTATATGTCACAGGTATCCATCGAAAATCGATCATATGTTCTATCTCAGAATTAGTGTGTGTCTGTCTACGAATTATGTTTTTAATCAGTTCTATTTAAGGGGAACAATGCATAATGGCTAATTATATCTATTATTCAAAACGTTTTTATCTTTACTTTTTTATTAATTTAAGCAATAATTCTATAAGAGACTGTTATTCCTTATTATAGGCATGAAAAGATTAATTTATTACTATAGCCATAGGCAGGACGCGATCATTTTAAATATTCTGCAGAAGCTGCAAAATGCTTTTTCTGCGTTTTTTTTTCTAATTAAAAAAAAATCATTGGATACAACATGAAAATTTTGACCTAATAGAACCGTAATGATTGCTTTATACAAAATTTTAATTTAGTAATAATACAAAGCTTTATGATGAAAGTTTGATCTACAAGGGCAATTTTTTTTCATTCCTTCTCTGTAAAGAAATCTATAAAAAAGCTTTCAAAATTCTATCTAAAAGCACTTTCACCTTTTCTAATAACCATTACTCTTAATCACTTGGAAGAATTGTCAGTATATATTCTATAATTATTCAACGTGTATTTCAAGCAAAATATAAAGAGTTTTTTAAAAAAAATTAAGTGTAATTGTAATTATAATGTTACGAATTTTATTGAAATTTTTTATGCAGGTTTTTAATTTGAATTTGATTATTTTTCATCGTGTAAGTATTTATAAGAATTTTAACTTTAGAAAATATTAACAATCTAATTTTTTTTTAAGTTTAAGAAGAGTTTGAATTTAATAATTTTTTTTAAAAAAAAGAATACTATGGAGCTGGGGGGGGGTAACCAATCTTCACTTTTTTGGACAATCACATTACTTCTACAATTCGTTCATCCTCTATTGGGCCCATTTTAAAAAAAATGTGCTCATGTTCGATATCTCATCATCTCCGATACATTAAGTATGTAGGTAGAGGGTGGAGTGGACAGTCAGATACATTACCGAAACTATAAAGAGGCTTTTAATCAAAATATTTCAAATTTTTAGAATTTATAAAAAAATAAATGTGGACATTCATATAAAACAAATATTCTAAAGATTGTTTCTTTTTTTATTTCTTTTTCTTTGGATATTGAGCTCTAAAAATATGAAAAAACAAAATAATTTTATGTTTGTTTCATATTTTGTATTAGTACATCATGAACTTAGAAAAATGTACCTCAGCCTGACATGAATAATGCTTAACATCTGCTTCCTTTTTAAAAGTGTACTGCTGCCATCTATCGTAACTGTTTAGTAACTCAATTAGATAGTACGAGTTGTACTCTTTATGTAGACGATAAACGTATTATTTTCAATATCTATAAATATTTTGTTTTCATTTTTTCTTTAAATTAATAACTTTTTACATTTCTTCACATATATAGACTTGTTTCGTTCTTTTTACTCAGTCATATTTTAATAAAATACTTTTCAAATATTTCTCATTTAATGAAATATTAATATCGTATTAAAATGTGTAAATTTTTCATTTTCAGCATCCCAAATTTTATTGGTGGCATGTATGGAGCCGAAACTCGAAATCTCTCCCTCCCAGAGTTCCTTAACCACCCCCGCAGGCAGACCCTATGGAATGATGTGCAGAGGGAAAGCAGAGGATGCAGATGAAGGGACGTTCACAGAAATGAAATGGATCAACCCTCGAGGAGAAATCATTCCTTTTGGGTAAGCATTTTAAGCAAATTAAATAAGCGTCATTTGCCAGTTTAATTTTTTTTTTATTTATTTATATATTTTTACGTTTGATTTGCGGTTTAAATGGTCCTTTCCCTAACCATCTTGCAATTTAATTTAAAATTTTGAATTTCATTTTCTTAGAATTTTCATACTTGACAAATTTTTTATGATTGGGTATTATTTTATAGCATTTCACCTTTAAAAACGATTGGAAAATAAAGATACCGTTTATTAGATTAGAAGAAATGGCGTTTGATGAAACTTAGAACTTATAAATTTTTTAAACATGAAAAGCAATAAAATGACGTATTTAATGTTTAGTTATTAATTGTACATTTATCTATTTAGAGATTTTTTCTAAACTTTACACTAATGAAAAGCAATTTGAATAATTTTCAAATATTCTTTGAAAGTAAATTGTGCAAAAACTAAGATATTTATCAAAATTCGAAAAGCAAACTATTTGTAGAGAGTACAATTATAACATCTGCCATGAATACAAAAGATAATTTTGACCTTTTTTTATTAAAATATATTAGTATTTTTCTTGAGCCGTGGTGGCTCAGGGGATAAAGCGTTCGCCTTCCAATGAGGTGAACTGGGTTCAAATCCCAGTGATGGCTGGTCTATACGAACTCGCACCGATCACAGTGCTGACGTAAAAATATCCTCAGTGGTAGACGGATTATAGGCCCCTTGCCATCAGACTAACCCTGGGAGGTCTTCGTTGTTTTCCTCTCAGTGTAACGGAAATGAGGGTTAGTTCCAGCTAAAAGAACTCCACGAAGGCAAGTTTCACCCAATAGTTGATCCATGAGTTCTCTTGTCTTCTTGAGTGGGTTCAAAATTACAAGGCTACGGATTTAAACATTAGTATTTGTAAACCCAAAAAATTGGGTCAACTGTTCAACGACGATTATAAAATAAAATATTTTTCTTAAGTTACGTTAATTTGTTTGATATAAGTAAAGAAAATGTAAAAAAAAAAATTTTTTTTTAGTCTATCAGACGAATAATTAGTTACAGAACATTGACTTAAGTTTAGTTATTTAGGGTCATTTTTAACTGAAGATCTAAGCCTTATTTCTATGCAGCTTACTATTTCCTAAATGTTGTAAACATAATTACTCTTTTATTACTAATCGAAATTTCAATCACTTTTCGACCTAAATAAGCACAAATAAAACACAAAAATAAAAAGCATGAAATAGTAAAACAAAATATAAATTTCAAATTATGTTTTTGTCGGAAAAGAAAAAAAAATTATTCTATTTATCACCTAAAATTTAAAAAAGTGAGTCCAAATGGAAAGAAATAAAAAGGAACGTACTTCAATAAATTATAACTTTAAGGATGATTGAATCAGGCGCAAAAGAATTAAAACAACTTTCGAAAAATCTTATCAATTCACAATAAAGGTTTTAAACTCTTTAATCTGAGTAGAAAGGCTAGAATCCTAGAATAAGTTTTGGTATAGAATAATATTATATGCCAAATGCATACAATTATGAAGATGTGTATTTTTATAAGCTTCATGAATTACAAGCAATAAAATAATTACCTTTTTTGGTTTTGGCTTGCTCTAATGTTTTAAATTATTCTGCATTGTTTTTTTCTAAGTTAGCATTTAGTAAATTTTGAATTTAAAGATTAAAGTAAATTTTGAATTTGAAGATTTGAAAGTATTTTAATTAAAATGAATTTATATTTCTCTTCGCATTCTTTTTTTCCTCTAATCCTCCTATAATTCTTAACATTCCTGAAAGCTTTGACAGCTGTCCTAAGTACGTTACCTTCAATGAAAGACATTGGTTCATAATTTCAGAAATTAAAAAATTATTTCAAAATCATCCCAATATCTCTCGCACGTTTTCTTCACTGTTTAGTATTCTTCACTGTTTAGTATTTTTATCATCTGTTTAAAACACGTTATCGACCCAATTCTCAGACAATAATGGAATAAATATAATTATTTTCTTTTTTAATTGAATAACCTCTGAATAAAAATACCATTCAGAAGGAGTTTTATTAACTTTCATCACAGAATAAATACTAACGCCCAACAATGTAATTAACTTAACCTTGATGGATAGTGTTCAAAGTGAATGCGTGAATCAAAAGGTCTTTATTCTAATGGCATAAAGGTTAAAACTCAAGGATTTAATTAGGAACTCTTTCAACAATGCATCCACAGTCCAGAATGAAGTTTGGCAAGTTTCGGAAGTTATAGGCGAAGTTCATTAAGACAAGGAAAGTGCATAAGCATTGTTAAAGTAGTTAGATTAGTCCAGAGTTGTTAATTACGTATAAAGTATTGATTCGTTGGGAGTTAAAACTGTGGAAGCTTATTCCAAAATCCTCCCAAAAAAGTGAACATTTGTTACTATAACCTTTTTTTTCAATTGCTTGAAAGTTCCATGCTTTTTAACGTTAATCAGTACCGGAACTGCTTAGACAGTTCATTTCCTATCTCATCATAGTATAATTTGACACTTTGCTGTCGAATTTCGTTGATACTCAATAGAAATTGGTCAATCCTGGATCAAACATAGGGACAAAATAGCCTTCGAAAAGGACTCTGTGATGGAATTAATCCTCATTTAAGTTACATAGAGAGGAAAACCACGAAAATCTGTCACGCTTAGCTCGATAGCTAGGAGAGTTTTATCCATGATTCGTCTTCTATTAACGATCTTTTACGTCAGCACTAATTTGTGTGAGCAGAGAGCAGTCATTGACCAACCATCGCATCGAACCTGGGTCACCTCTTTGGGAGACGAGTGTTATATTTCCTTAACCGGCTCATTTGTGCCTTACTTGATAACCAGTGTTGAACAGTAGACCCAATTTTGAGTTTACTGCTATCAATAATCAACTCAGTAGTTTTGTAATTTTGAACCTAACCCCGAAGACGAGGGAACTCCTCTATCAAGCATTGGGACAAACTAGTCTTCGTGGAGGAACTAAACACTAATTTGCAATATGTGACAGTTAGCCTGACAATAAGCGGATTTTTAACCACTATTCGTCTTTCGCTGAGGTTATTTCACGTTAGCATCGTTGTCTGTGCGTTCTAAGTCCGAGCCTCCGTGACTCATATTTGTCTCATTGTATATCTCAGTTCTTTTACATATTATTTGAAATAAGAATCAGACATCGGCTCACTATCACTAGCCAACCCCCGTATCAAATCGTTATTGATTGTCTGAAATTTTTGAATTCCTTACGCTTAAAATTTTTTAAATCGAGTTAATCTACTTACGTTTTTTACCCGAGAAATAACAATTTAATAAATTATTATTTTTTCCCCATTTTATTATCCTTTTACAATCTTTTTAAAGTAAATAGACAAAGAAAATTGATTCTTAAATATTCAGAAACATACTGATGGCAGTATTGCCAATCTAAAACAAGTCTAAAATAAATTTTCTAAAGTACTGCCGTTTTTTTTTTAAATTCGCTGTTGATAATAAAAAAATATATTCTAATTATTAAATATTTTCATCTTCTCAGCACTCCTGGCGTGAAAGAATTTGGCAACAGTGGCTTAAAACTATCTTTTGTGGATCCTAAAATAGAGGATAGTGGTGTTTACAAATGCACAGCACTGTACAGTAATACTCAAACTATGGAGGTACAAGTGGATATAAGTTTTTTCGGTAAGTTACTTATTGTAAGTTATTAAGTAATTGGTAAGTGTATTCGGTAAGTTACTTATCTTATTGTAACTACTGAAAAAACTTGACAATCATTGCATTATTCAACTATTCTAATGTTATTTATAAGCTTTTAAAAATCGAAGAAAAAAAAAATTCTAGCATTCCATACAACAACATTTTATTTGAAAGCGAAATTTATGCTGCCAATTACATTTTTGTAAAAAAAAATTATCAAAACCATTTTTAGCATAATAATACATTCCTTTTCATGACTGCTAAGCTACATAAAGTGTCTACATGGCACCAATATACACGTCCCAAGCATAAATGTGGAAATAAAAATATAGTTGCATTTAGGTGTGATTAAATATACCAGTTGTCCCAAAAATGATCGATGAGTTGAAAACTCATGAGAAGAGATAACAATGTATTTTTTGCTGCGTTCTGCTTAGGTAACGTGAAATTTGCCCTCCCCAAATTTAAAAACAAATGATAAGTGAAATAACAGATGGCACTGCCTCCGGAAAAACTGTAAAACAATAGTTACCTCTGCATTTCAAACCACTTCAACTGAAATATTAGCTTATACTTTTGTTAACTATCTTCAGACTTCACCACTTTGTTGATGTACATATTTATTATTCTATAAACTTTATTTCATAGTTTCTGTTAGCTATAAGCTCCATCTGTTGGTGAACTTTGAAATTCGCGAAAATAAATAACTGGTTTCCTAAGCAGAATGTATCAGAAGATAAAAAATTAGAAGATGATTAATAAAGAGGTAGAGAAGAGATAGATAGAACGCCCACATCTCTTCCTTTTAAATAAAAATTTTTGTTTCTAATCTTCAATCTTTTTTGAGGATACTCGGTTTGTGCTTCATAATGTTTAAAATTGTACTTTGGAATGTGTTCTTTATTGTTTCAGTATGCATTTTGACATGAGTATTAATATGTGTTTAGGTGTAGAAGATATATTCTACACTTCAAGTGTAGAGCATATGTTCTACTTTTATAGTCGGCTATAACATAGTTTTGAGTTCAGAACATTATTTTTGAATTACTTCTTATCTTGTACTTTTTACCGAGTTCTTAAAGTAATTAAAAACTATGACATCCAAGTTACTTTTTGTTAATGGTTTTCAATTCTTACAGATGACATACAATTTGAGGATTGTGCTGAACTCCAGAATTTAGTGGAAGGCAAGGAAGGCAGGATTAATTGCAAGCCCCACGGTAATCCCCAACCAAGTATCAACTGGGAAAAGAACAAACAGAAAGTTAAGACCGATCGTGTTTCCATCACACCCGCTGGAATTGTCATACCTAAAGTATCTGCTGAGGATGCTGGGATTTATACTGTGGAAGCTTTCGTTTTCGACACTGGAAGGAACAAGTACAAAAACATCACAGTTAATGTTCTAAGTGAGTACTTACTATTTTTTTCCTAAAGTTTAATATAAAAGATAAACATGTTAGGAGTAATAGAAAATAAAAAATACGTCTTAAATTATTGTATCTTGTAATATATAGGCTAAATGAATAAAACGCTCCTTTGCAAACATCTGCCGTCATTTTGCGATATGTTAGCGAATTGGAAAAGCCCTCGCTATTTTCCAATCAGCCTGAAACTTTTTAGGCTTATTGCTGTGAACTTACATACCTTTAGGCTAATAAAAATACATCATTCAGTGCTCAAATAGCCGCATTCAACTCTGGTATAGTTTCAATAAGCCTACGAATAGTAGATGCTTATTGTAAATTGCTCAATAATTATTTATAGTCATAAGTAAAGAAAATTCAGACTGAGTAATCCTTCACATGCTTGCTGATTGACATAAAGGCTAGGTTAATTGTAATAAGCCTGAAAATAACAGGCAGATTAGAATATATTGACGGTTAATTGTAATAAGCCTGAAAATAACAGGCAGATTAGAATATATTGACGGCTTTTCTAATTCAATCGGCGAATTGCAAGATGCATTTGCAAAAAGCTCGATTTTTTCCCGATTTTCTAATTATAGTGCAACTTAGGAATATTATCTATATTGTAAAAAGAACCGTGACAAAAATTTATGCTAATTGACTATTTTTATTGTTAACAGCTCCTCCCAGAATTATTGAAATTCCTGAAGAATTTGTAGCCATTCAAGGAGAGGAATACACAATCACATGCAGAGCTGATGGATCGAACCCACTCACCTACACTTGGCTAGATCCGGTAATAAAACGTGTTTCTTGCTAAAAGCTAACTAATATTTAAGTTCTATATATCAAAGAATGAAATAAAACTAATTTTTAAAAAAAACTAAAAGTGTTAATGTAAAAGGAAATTGTTAAAGAATTGCTAGTTGTTACAGTAGTAAAGATAAACACCAAAGGATTACACCACAATTTCGGAAAGAAAAATATCAAAATAAACTTTCGGATATATTTGGTATGTCAAAATTTGTTTAACATATTTATGTCAAACAATCTTTTAAAAAGATAGTTTATTTTTTTTTATTTTAAATTTTATAAAGTGGTGGGCACAAGTGTTTTATTATTAAGAGAACCTTTTAATAAACAGTATAGTTCTTCATACCTTATTAAATTAGTTATTTAAATATTCATATTTAAATATAAAGCAGAAAAACATTGCATTCCAAAACATTTCAATAGTAGATAACACAAAAAAAAATATTTATCACTTTTTTTTTCCAGATATAGACCACTTTTACGACAGGACAATAATAAATTTAAAAAATATTTTCAAATTAGAGCGTGAATAATAATTTTTTAGTAAAAGATTCTATAATGGACCTTTTTGCGAATTCTATTACTAATATTTAATTTTACTTCTTTAAAATAATGTACGTTTCGATAACAATTGGATACCCACAAAAGACGTCATCGTGGGTAAGGATCCTGATAGACTATTGAAACGTGGTATTTGTTTTTGTTAGCAGCTGTACTTTCCCTTTTATTTCGAGTAAGCCCACACCAACAAATAAAAATTGCCCTAAGTGACACATTCTATATTCTTTCGCAAAGAAAAATTCGGTTTATATCGTAATACAAAGACAGGCCCAAAGCCATAAACAACACAAACCAACTAATTATGCCACGAAGTTTCCAGATACACATAACAAAAATAATCAAGGTTACAATAAAATATATAAACAAATAATAAATCTTGGTTAAATAAAGAACATAGATGAGAAAGAATCATATTTTAACAAACTCTATATGCGATTCGGCGTTGTATTTAATTAACTTCTCGTTAATTAACTTTCTAACTTATGCGAAGAAACTTAAATCAGGAATTAACAAAATATTAACACGCTATCTTGTTTATAAACAGTATACTGATACACAACCATCTGAGGTCATAGCTCAGATGGTTGTGTATCCGTATACTTCTCGAGTTGAGAGTATCCCATTACAGCAACAGCTGCAAAGTTGAATAAAGTTTAAGAACTTTAATACATTCCTCAGACAAAATATGTATGAACAACTTCCCTGTACATTTACATTAAGGAGCCAATTGTTACGATTATCGTTTTACAGATGACTATTTTCATTACAGCAACTACGAGATTTGAGCACAGTCGAAGGTTTTAGAGTAAATGAAGGAATGTTGACCATTTTACGAGTTGACAGACACGCCGGTGGAGAATACAAATGTAAAGTCAAAAATCCTGCTGACGAAGATGAGGCATCTGTGGTTTTAACTGTGCAAGGTACAAGCTTTGAAAAATCTAGTCATACCCTGTTTCCTATTGTGTTAAATACCCATTACTTAAATTGTTTCGAGTTCTGTGTCTATTATATAAAGTGTTTTATGTCTATTTTAAATCTTTTACATTTATTTAGTACGTTTTTATGCCTATTTCATTTTTTCAACTCTACTCCACAAGGTGTCTCAAAAATTAAAAACGATTGAGAACGATTTGAAAAAATTAATTGAAAAAGAGGGAGACTGAGGGGAATTATAAATCGACCATTTCAACCGTCATTCATCAAAAGGCACCTCAAGATAGAATCGAGTTAACATGTCTTACATACTAGTGATTTGGTATTTAATATTTGTAGTGGTAGTTACGCTACACTACTCCCCTCCCAGAATTTTATCTGTGATAGAATACGATGAACGATTACCACTAGTTGATTCATGCTGTTAATGTTATTAGTTAATTATTAGTTTTGTAACTAATAATAAATTAATTTTGTAACTAATAATATTATTAGTTAATATTATTATTAGTTACAAAAACTATGAAGCAATGCTTTCAAAATAATTTCCATTTGCAGCAACAATATCATACAGTCTGAGGTAATCTGATATGCAGTTACATTGTTGGTATTGCCTATTGATTTCAGACACAACAGCGTTATTTGTTATTAAACAAAATAAAGATTGTACTTTAGTGAGGAAATGCCAATGTTCCTAACCGAAACATTGCAAACTCCATACATGTCTCAATCTTTCCGTTTTTCTTTATTCAATTTTTTAAATCCTTGCTCGTTTTTTTCGGGGGGGGGGGGGGCAAGCAATATTAAACTATTTGCTTTTTAGTAATTATTTTTCATAACTACACCTTATATATAATCGTTTTTAATTTCAAAATTACATTTTTTAAAGGTATGCAGTTTTTAGATTTTTTTTTTAATTTTACTCTATATTTAAGTAGATCCCTTTCCTCAAAAGATTTTATGATTTTGTTTTAAATAAGTGATTAGATTTTTACATCCATCGCATCGCTTTTTTCAACAAAAAAAAGAAAGGAAAAAAAAAGGAAAATTTAAAGAAATCACACTGCGCTAATTTTTTATAAGTTATACAGGGCTTATTTTTTAAAGAAAATTGGCAAAAATTGGTCAATTATTTCATTCTAACAAGTGTTATTGATATTTTAAATATACATTACTAATTATTCTAATTCCTTCTTTATTACAGTTCGACCAAGTATTGTGCAACTTGACAATCTGACCAAGGAGGAGGGAAAAGTGGCGACAATAGAATGTAAAGCTGACGGTGTTCCAGTGCCGTCTCTGACAATCAGGAAAGACAATGCTTATCATCCTTTACAAGATGGAGAAGTAAATATAACAATTTTAGAATCAAAGAAATTCTTATCTTTTTTTTAGGGGGGGGAGAGAAATGTTATAGAGTTTTTTAATTTCCATCCAGGTATATTTATTTGCTAAAACATTACCATAGCCTCTTTTAAATTGAAAATCAATGACCACGATTACAAAAAATTTCATTCGATGTTACAAAAATTCAAAATTTTTGTAAATCTCAGGCTCTTAGTGATATTTATAATTTCAGTGACATCAAGCACATAAACTATTTTATTTCACATAATTTTACTTGCTTTTAATATTTATCATCAGAAATCTTTTGAACCAGAAACTTAATAGAGTATAATTATATTATTAATGTTTACAACTAAGTTTTATAATAATATGCTCTTAAAATGCCGTGTCTTGGTGAACAGTTATTAAAAAAAATATTTAAAGAACCATATTTCATGTTCTCCAATGTGTTGGGGATAGGAACTCTTTGTAGCTCAAACTCTGTGTAGATTGAGCTCTGTGTATATAGTCTATTAGTTAATGAATTGGAAATATTTCTTTTAATGTTTCAAAATTATTATAAATATAATAATAATGTAATATATATATATATAATAAATAATCTATAATATAATAAATAATATATAATATTCTAAATTTTATTTTCGAAGGATGACCGAATAGAAATCGAAGAACTGGACGCAGGAGAATACAGAATATTGAGAGTTCGCATCATCAATGTGAAACGTCAAGATGATGGGCTATACTTTTGCAAAGCTTCAAATGCAGCAGGTGAAACCGAAAGAGCGGGTCACATAGAAGTTCAATGTAAGTTGTTTTTCAAAAATTTGAACTCTTTACAGTTCAGTATTTGTCTTTAGATTACAGTTTCTTTTTAAAGATGTATGCACATCCATTATTGAACAACAATATGATACTGCATTTCTGAGTTGTTATAATACACTGACAAAAAGTGTTTGACAAAAGTATTTTGGAAGGGGTTTAGAGCGGAATTAAACCCTTTTTATTTTCTATTTTTCGTAACTGTGATATTTCCAGGCTGGAGTAATAAAAAAAAACTCACCAAAAAGATTTACACGATTCATTTATTATGCCCAGAATAATTTTTTTTCCAATACAAGATAACAGTACCAGACTGTTTGTAATATGTTTAGAGAATGTTTATTTTAAATTAGATTTCAGCACTCATTATTATTTCAAACAAAAAATTAACTCAAAACTTACAAATAAAATACATATATGGAACATATACTTAATTTTATATAATTTTCGTGAATAAAAGAATTTGCACCTTTCTAACAGTTTTCTGAAAAATAATGGTGCCATTAAGCGGTTAATGTGAATCTTTAAATTTATGGTCAAAAATGATAGAGTATTTCAATATTCAAGCGGAAAAAGAAAAAAAAAAGCTGTCGGAAATCGCAAGAATAAAAAATGAGGAAATTAAGACAGATGGCATTAAAATCAGGACTGCCTAATTAAATTTATACGCTTTCTAACGATCACCCCTCAATTACTGTTTTCTCTGGCAATTTTTTTTAACCTTGCCTTCCTCAATTTCTTTAAGTTTGATATTGTTAATGTATTTGTTTTTACCTTGTATAAATAATAATTTATCAACCCTTATTTAAGTTATTTTTTAGCTTCATTTTTGGCAGGCTATTCAAAAGCATATTTTAGAGATGTAAATATGTGATTAGGAATGACTTCATAAAACTTTCTATGATGATAGACATTTTAAAATTTTTCTAAAAGCATATTTTATCTTTTTATTTCAGATCGTCCAGATATGAGTTTGACTCCAGCAACTGTAGTAAAAGCATGGTCGGGTAAACCAGCAAATCTTTCTTGCATAGCCCAAGCTAATCCAAACGCAACAATCACGTGGAAATTCCAAAATGAACCTATTGAAATTGGAGATGACAGATTCCAAATTCAAGGAACTGTATCCTACAGTAGTCTTCTGGTAAGAAATCTATGACCTATGAATTTTTCATATGGATGATTGCATCCTCTTATATTCAGACTCTTCGGAACGAATTGAAAATTCGCACTACAATTTGCTTAGTTATATACATAAATACTCAATAATCAAATAATTTTGATACTTGTTACAGGTCCTAACAGAAAACAGGGCACAATATGATGTATTTGGAGTTTATACTTGTGAAGCTAAAAATGGTTTAGGAGATAATTTTACAAATATTAACTTAGAAGAAGCCAGTAAGTAAAATCAACTAATATTTAGAACGTTAAACTACATTGTTTTAGAGGCTTTAAATCCGTCCTCACTTATCACTAGATAAAATAGTTTTTTTTTGTATGCAATTTTATGAAAGTGAACCAATTAGTACAGAAGTTCAGTTATTTATACGTGTTTTAGTTTCAACTAGTATGTAATTTCTGAAAAAGATTTTTAAAACGATGGAAAAAAAATGCCTTTTTTTAAAAAGAAATTTAGTGCATTTTAGTCCTTATATACTTTTTTTCAACTAGTGAATAGCCACTTATATTTTCTTAAAGAAAAAATTAAACAAAGATTTATTTTTTGCCTGCAGACGAACTTAACTGTTTAGTAATTAAATTCATTGCAATCCTTCTCATGTGCAAATGCATTATGGTAACATGGTAATATGAATTGGAACATTTTCTAATTCTTCAAAGATATCGATTTTAATGCATCAATCTAGCTTTTAAACCATAAACCTGGCTGTTTTATACAACCCAAGCTGTAGGTGTCATATAGCCATAACTAGTTCTTGCACCAATAACTAAGTAACATGGCAATAAGTCACAAAAAAAATTAAATAAAAAAAAATTCTAAATAATACAAAATGCGTTGAAAATTAAATTGAATATAATATATAGGTTTTTTTTATCTACCATTTTAATTTTGTAAATATAATATTGAAAAATTATCAAACATAAATTATTTACAAGACTTTGCCAGAAACTGTTTAAAACTTTTTCTTACCAATATTTTTCATTTTTTGAACGTGAAAACGCTTTAGTAATACGCATTACGTAGAGTACGCAGTATTAAAATTTGTTTATTTATAGCTGCCCCTGGTCAAGTAACCCAAATAGTGTTTGATAAAGTGACATCCACAACAATAACATTCAGGCTGATGGGACCGGGCAACACAGGAGGATTACCTATCACTCATTACATCATGAAATACAAGAATGCCAATGAACCAGATCATACTACAACCACTGTTGAATGGATTAAAGGTAAGCAAAATTATTTCATCAACATTTTTGGAAAAATATTATTGTAATTTTTTTTATACTTTAAGGTGAAATTGTTTGAACAAACTTAATTAAAAAAATCAAATTTCGGATTTATTTTTATAAACAAAATGTAATAAAACGAAATGCTTTTTTTAAGCTGTGGAAATGAAAACTTCTAACATAAACACTTTTCTTTTAAATCTAATTTATTTCTACCATCATAATATTTAACAGAAACCTATATGGTAAGATAAGTAAGGAAGTAATATTTTATTTGTTATTGTTATTATATATAAGTACTGATTTCATATGTGACATTTGTGCATTTAGAACCAAAAGTGTTAAACTTTTTGAAAAGCTATGCATCTTCAGTGGAAGTAAATAAATAAAAGTAAACGTCATCTTCACAATTATTTTCATATAAATAAGTGAGAATAATATTTTTAACAATACTCTGTGGAACAGAGAAGTGGTAAAAATAAAGGTTACCTGTAAAACTGTTTCCCTGCCTAAAGACTTCATTTGCAGTGAAACTAGTTAAGCAAGACGAAAATAAATGTACGCTTTATTTTATTTTATTTTTTCTTAAATGTGTTTATTATTTTACTTTTTTTAAATCTTTCGAAGCATTTTAATATAATTAAATAATAACTAGCATTTTATTGCTAAAAAAATGCTACCTTCTCCACCTCTTTATAAAATTTTGACTGCAATGAAAGTAATGAAGTGTTATCAAGGTATTAATTTCTCTAATAATTATTCTAAAGATCAAATTTCTAGAACAGTCATTTAGGAAGGATGAATTGTAGAACAAAAAAAAAATGAAAAGAATCTCATGATAAATACTATAAAATTCTGCAGTCTATGTTAAAACATCTTTTAAGTTCATTTTTACTGAAGTAAGACATGCTGCACATGTGTATATAAAGGCATAATATGAATAAAAACATATTTTTTTAAAAAATAAATTTTCAATCTTATTTGATTACATTTAAACACTCTAGCAAAAGTATTTAAATTAAATTTGAATACTATAACACGCATTGTTTTGCAGATGCTCCATATATTCTGAGTGATTTAAAACCTCGTGCAAAGTACCAGTTCAGAGTAACAGCTCGCAATGTTGTTGGTGAGGGACCTGAGAAAACAACAGAGTACATAATGCCTGAAGAAACAGTGCCTGAACCTCCCATTATCGTCACAGAACAAGAAACTGTGTCCAGTTACCCAGACAGATTTGAAGTGAGGTGGGATGTGCCAAATGATAACGGAGAACCCATCAACCATTTTGAAATCAGATTCTTCAAGGTTAGAACTAAATGAAACATTACTTTTTTTTAAAAAAAAATTTGAAATATTGAAGTGAATGCATTAAGGAACAATTTTTTTTTTTGGTTCATTTATACAAATACTTGAGCATGCCTATTTCGGGTGTGGAGATTTTAAATCTGAAATTAGTTTTGTTCCTAAAGCTATAGATTTTTTTAAAAGGCACTTTTATGCTATTTTTTCTCGAAATGAACAAGAAAATTGCAAAAAAAAAGGGGGTCGCGTAAATTATGTGACAAACTTCTAAGGGAGTTATGGCACATCATCAGGATTGAAATTAGATAAGAATCCATGCACGGAAATGTCTTCGTACACGACTAAGGGCGTTTTCCTGTTATGACTTGCTCAGAAGAGCACGAAAAAACAGTTTATATCAGGGGAAACGCCTCTAGCGGCGTATGGTGAAATTCCTGGACATATGTTTCTATGCAATATTAATCCTGATGATGCACCTTAACTCCTCTGAAAAGTGTAGTCAGATTTATTCGACCCCCTGTTATACATAATGTTTTATACCTGTCTATTTAAAAAATACAGACAAAACGTTTTAAAAAAAACTGTAGTTTAGAGAGAAAAACCAATTGCAAATTTGAAAACAACGATATAAGATGTTACACTTCTGACTATAGTACATACATAATTAAAACAATAAAAATCGTTAATCAATTGAAAGTTCAACAAGATATAGGGTATAGTTTGTGCAGACTAAAGCAAAAACAAAGTGAATAAAGCACAAATGAAAGTACATAAATGGACATACTACAGTTTCAGCTCATTAACAGTTTCAGTTCACTACAATTTCAGTAAACAAGAACATTTCTCAGAATCTATCAAATCATTTGGTGTTTAAATACTGAGGAAGGTCTATAAACAAGAACATTTCTCAGAATCTAATTCATTTTCGTTTATAGAACTAAAACTATAATATGTCCATTTCATGTACTTCCATTTTTGCTTTATTCAAATTGTTTTTTTAACTTTAGTCAATCGAAAGTTATATAATATTCATTATAATCAGTGCGATATTTGATTATATTTTCTTGTCTTTTTTTGAAGTCAATTTATTTAATTAAATGTATTCAGTTAAGCCAGTTTAACTGAATAAATAGACAAAGTTATTCAAATAAATAAAATAACACATTAACTTATAGACTCACAGCTATTTAGCCAGTCGTTTCAAAGTCTTCCAATTAAAATTTAAGAAAAAAATTATTAGTGGATTACCAACGCACCGCATTAAAAGAATTTAAAAATTGGATTGAATCCAAAATTTTTTTAATTATTCCAACAAGCTGTATATCACGTATAAATGATAAGAAAAAATTACATTTTAATTTAAAAATTAATTTCATCCCGTCATAAATCTATTTTTAAATAGGCAGAAAAACATCTGCATCATTTGCAGTTATAAAACATACTATTGGGAAGATGGCAAAGCAAATTATGAGTGGTTTAGAATTTTTAAATTCGCACTTTGCATGCTACACGTAAAAATAATAGCTTTAAACATTTGAATTTCAACCTTTAGCTATGTAACAGGGTTAAACTTATGGACTATAACAGCAATTCTTTTCTTCAATCTCAATTCCAAAGATTATAAATTAAAAAAATAACTGACATTTTATAAAGCTGCCTCTCAGGCTCAGAGTTTATCTATGAATATTTAACTGCATCATAATTCAAAGTATATCGATGAATCCATCATAGATCAGAATTTATCTATGAACACATTATGAACATTATTTATGAATACATTATGAATCGTCGTTTAGCTATTAAATATTTAACTGTATCATAAATCAGAATTTATTTATAAATATTTAGCTGCATCATAAGTCAGAATTTATCTATGAATATTTAAATGCATCTTAAATCAGAGTTTATCTATGAATATTTAACAGCATGAAAAAATCAAACATTAATTTTAATTTAAGGTTGAGAGAGACATCAAAGGCTGGGTACAGATGGACAAAGCTGTGGAAAGGAGTGTACGAAACTGGGAGAGCAAACCAGCTTTTGAACTATCTGGACTACACCCAGATACATACTACAAAATAGAAATCAGAGCAAACAACAAAATAGGAAACAGTCTACCTGAAACAGTAATCTTTAAGACAAGAACAGGTAATTTTTTTAAGAGTTTTATTGCTAATCTTGCTGCAGTAAATATTCTCACTATTATTTCAACGTTATTATTTTTAAGTTGATAAAAAAATTTAAATACAAGCAATTTTTCCCTTACCTCAAGCGAAAACTAAATATACAGGGTGTTTAGAAACTCAGAAAAAATTTTAAGGCTTAATAAAAAGCATCTAAGCAAACAATTTTCACTGTACAACTCATGGGAGGAAAGCTAGTGGTGAACCCCTAGATGGCGCTGTAATGGAAAACATAAAGCGTGAGTTTTCTACGACATATCTATGATGGATTTCAAAAAGCATGAAAGTGAAAAGTAATCAGCAGAAGTTAGTAGTCAGGATTCCGTTTCACGCAGGCACTAATGCAATTGCACAAATACTTTTCATGTTGGCACTTGTCTTCTTGGCATATGCTACCCTTACAGACTTTCAATTTCTGGAACATTTCCCTTCAAAAGACCATACGTGAAATGCATGTCCACCTTTTCCTCATTACTGTACATAACCATGTCTTTTGAAATCCATGGTAAAAATGATGATGTGCAAACTCGCACACTATGCTTTTCATTACAATACCGTATAGCGATTTATCACTTGCTCTCCGCTCATACATTGTATGGTGAAATTTGCTTTTTTAGAAGTTTTATATCATCTCTTAAATGATTGCATATTAGTTTCAAAACACCTTGTATAAACAGCATAATAGCAATATTGAGCTACAATGAGACTATGATTAAGGCACAGAGCTGCTCCTGTGAACAGCAGGAGTTCTTTGCCCAGGATGGCGACTTAAAACCCCTTCTATCATTGATGAGTATCTTGTCTGGAAAATAAAAACAACCAGTTTGCTATGGTGACCACATTGTTACCGTCATATCTTTGGCTTCAAAATTTTAGAACCTTAACCTCCAGGATCTCCTTGACCAACAACTGGTTGTACCTGTTTTAACTAGCTGTTTACTTTTTTGGTACATTAGTTCAAAGAAAAAACTCTAGAATTTTTTTTAATCTTTTATACTTTTATGCATGTTAATTAAAGTCTAGATTTGAATAAATATTTGAGAAGTCATTACAATTTCAAGTGAAGTGAACTATGGTCCCATATGCACTTTGAATAATTTCAACAAAGAAAAAATTTATAATAGAGAATTATTTTATTGAATTCATGTTGATTAATGCAATGATTTGATTAAATATTTTAGACGTCTTTACATTTCCAATTGAAGTGATTAATGACCACTTAAAAACCCTGAATAATTTTAGTAAAGAATAAATTTAGAACAATTTTAGTGAATATAAATGTTGATAAAAGTCTAGATTTGATTAAATATTTGAGAAGTCTTTACAATTCCAGGTGAAGTGAATAATGGTCACATAAGCACTTTGGATGAACCAGTTGTATCCCTACCAATCATCATAGCTATTGTTTTAGTGGCTCTCTTTGTTACACTAGTCATTTTAGATGTCACATGCTTTTTCCGTTTCCATTGTGGTCTTCTTTATCTTATGCGGTATCGAACTTGTGGCAGGACTCCAGAAAAAATTCAAAAGAGTCTAGAAGATGGCAGAGCTTGGTGAGTATATCACCATAATTATCAACTAGTTACAAATTAATGTTAAGAGCTTAAAAAATTTGCCACATGATCATGTATAGGTCAACTCTAGAATATACTTTTTTGTTTGAAACTACTAGTGTTATTGAATGTACAGTAGCTACTTATAAATTGAACTATATATTCATATGAGTTTATTGTTTATGATCTATTAAATACTCCATCATTTGAAGTGTTTTTGAATACGCAATTAAACAAATATATGCAAAACTACAATCGATGCCACAGTTTGTCTTTTTTTTTTTCGAAATTTTAGTTACATTTAAATGCATTACTTACATTAAAATTTACATAGCTTGTAAATACTACTATAATTATGCCTGAAATGTGTATGTAATAATTTTAATTACTTTTATGCTTTGGTTCATGAATATTAATAGAAATACATTAAATATTATGTGTAGTATACAATGTTTCTATTCTTAAATTGAGATAAACTGTTTTTAATTAATAACCAAGTTGTCCAAGTAAAATTTTGAGCAATTTAATATTCGAAATTAAAAAATAAATTTAAATTTTATAAAAAAATAATTTCAGAAATAAACATGTAAATTAAAAGAAAAAATGAATATGATTATTACAGCTAAAAGAATTTTACATTAATAACTAATCATAACTTATATTAAAGATGCAAAAGATATGGTATTAGTTTAATCTAAATAAATCCAATTAAATTTTTTATTAAAACAATGCATATCAATAGTAATATCCTATATAATAGTTAGGAAAAAAAATCACCCAAAACTTTTCCTTCAATTTTTAACAGTGTTAAGGAAGTTTCCACAGCAAATAATGGAAAGATAAAATCAGATTTGCGTTCACCCTCATCGCCTGATCAGCTGCCACCACCCGAGTAAGCACTACACCATCTTGTAGCATTGCATGTGGTGCATACCATAGAACTGCATGGTTAGAATTGCATGAATAAGCACACATAATATTCTCACTAATGCACTTTCTTCACTAACACCTCAAATGCATATAATTCCATTATTGTATAATTTGTTTTATGAATATACTTTAGTTTTTTTTATGCATTAGTTATAATGGTAAACTATTTTAATGAAAATTTGATTTTAGTAGATTTTGAATAAATAAGGCACAGCGAAAATTATTAGTGTGTAAAAAACCATAAAATTAAGAAATATGTTAAAGATAGCTTATAGATGACTGAATTCTGATTTTTAAAATTATAATTTAATGGATAAAGATATGCTCTCACTTCCAACAAATATTTTGTAAGCTATTCTTTCTTACCTTGATCAAAGCTTGCGTGAATAGTACCTAATTGCACGTTTATCATTTTTTTAAAACGAATGAATGAAAATAATTAAGTGAAAAAAATGTCATTTATAAATTCAAATTTGTCTCCATGCTCAATTTAGAAGACCCTCATCTTTGGATCACCGTTGTAAGCTCTTAATGCATAAATCTCATATATGCATAGCAGTTCACCTATAATAGAAGGCATTATGTTGCAGTTCGCTAATAAAAAGATGTGTGACATAGTAGTTACCAATGATTAGATGTATACGATAGCAGTTCACTCATAATAAAATGCATACGATAGCTGTTCACAAATGATAAGATGTACCACAGTTCACTGGTGATAATATGCATAAGGTAGCTGTTCACCCAAAATAAGATGATTAAGATAGCAATTCGTTACTGATACAATAGATAAGATAGCAGTTCAACAGCAGTTTTTATTGCCAAAAATTTTATCGATGATGTGAACGATGCACAAACTCTGTCTTAAAATTATTCTTTGTATAAATGCAATACTTGAATAATACTATTAAGCAGTGTTTCATGCTAAAAAGCTGGTGCTTTCCTAATGGAGTAAAATATTAAAATGGACTTCATAATTGTTAAGTTTCTGATAAGTGAAATAAATTTTAAAACTATAAGTAAATAATAAAAAGTTGCTAGAATAATCTGAAGTTTATAATTTATTTCATTTTTTTGTATTACATGATTTGTTTTATAATAAATATGTTTATTTCTTATACTGTATCAGCTGAAGCAGGCCTGGTTTTGAAAATTCGATTTTACAAATTTTAAGCTAAAGAGAATGGGAAAATAAAACACAACTCAATAGTCTTACGTATCTCTTATTTGTAGTGCTACTTGGTGTTGGCCTTTTACTATCTTTTATTGCATGTGCATGTAAACTCTTCTGCTTCACCTATGTATAACATTTTAAAATCTAGTTATTTTTCAATTGTGCTTTTATAAATCAATTTTGTTGTTTCATATTTAAATGTATTGCTCAGTAGTCTTTTATGTGTGTTTAGATAGAGGACTTTATGTGCAAATAATTGCAATATCTATGATAAAACTGTTTTAAATATCTAAAAAATTTGGAACTAAAATACATTGTGGGCAAAAGGTATTCAGAGCCAATTGAATAAAAAAATACATAAAACCTGAAATTTGGTGAAAGACTGGATGCTTTCGAAAATGATATACTTTTTTGCTGGTCAAGAAAAAAAAATCAGCGGGAAACTTGTGAAAGTCTTTAAGAAGTTTAAGGCCTAAGCAAATATGGTAAATAATATGCAATTTAATTGTTTATTAAATATTATTTTTAAAGGGGGTTTTAATAATGAAACCAATTTTTTTTTAAAAATAATAAATAGCTTTTATATCAAATTCTTATTTTTCATTAAATGTTTAAAAGACCACGAAAAATACATAAATTTTATAAAAAATAACTTTCTAGGCTTAAAAAGTAATTTATCACTTTTTTCCTACTCAGAATAAATTATAATTTGAAATCGTATAGACCAAATTTAATGAAATATGGCTCTACGTTTTTCAATTATTGATGCTCTAAAGATCTTCATATATTTCATGACCACCCTTATGCAACATTCAGCTTATAATAAAACTATATACAATTAGCATAAATTTCAATCGACTTAATTTTCAGTTGAACATAAAAAATTTTAATATATTCCTTAAAAACCTAAAAAATAGTTTTTACAATTATTAAATTCCTGTTTGTTCTTTGTTTCTCTATGAGAAGAAATGCTAATTTCTGGTATGAGTATCTCAAAAGAGTAAACTACTTTTAAGATATTTGTGTTTAGATCTTTAATTTTTTTTTCATTCAATATAACAGTCTGAAATCTTGTTACGTGCACTTTAATATTTATGAAAAGAACATTTATTTCTTTAAACAAACATAAGACACAGTTCAATAAATGCCCTTTTTAACTCTACTTAATTTTTAAACAAAGTAACTTTTAAAAATTTACACTATAAGTAAGAGTGAAAGAAGATTCAAATTAGGAGTTTACAACGAAGATTTAAACTTTAAACTCCATTGCAAATTAAGAAAAGACCATTGCGGTATAGGATTAAAGTAATCATCGGCGACTGAGTTCCGTTTTATTTAGCTATCAAATCATATAATTATGCTTTCAAAACTATATAAAAGCTTTTAAAAGTTGAGTTCGTCGGACAGAAATTTAATCCGTGCTATTTTTTAAAAGCAAAAAGAATGTCGTGCTATGTTGTTTCAAGAGTTGTCGATGTTGATATTCATTCGCGCTCGGAGCTTAGCGTGAAAACATGCTCTATTTATTAGGGATAATTTTTTTTTCTTAGCTTGTAATAGAGTATAGTGGAAAACTAACTCCATCAATGAAATCTAATTTCATGTCAAAATATGTAAACTTCACGAAGCTGTTGACCATGAACATTGTAAATTAATACAGTTAAATTGTATTATTGAAATAATCAAGCCTATATATTACAAAAAAATTTTCATCACAATAACATAAAAATTTGTTTAAAATTTCTGAGATACCTATCTATCAAAAATTTGCATTTCTTCTATGGAGTATAAGAAAGTCGCTCATGTGTTTACCTTGAACATTGTATTCCCTTAATCCTTGTGTTGATTCGTTATCATTGTCTATAAAATTTTCCAACAAGGCAAAGAAGTATTTTTCTTACTGAGCAATAAATTTTAAAATGCTTGTTTTTTGTGTTTATGTAAGCTATGTCATGTACTTTTTTTTCTGCACCTGTGTTTTGTCTTATAAGAGTCCATTGTTGTCCTTGTAGCAAAATTTCCAATTATGAAGAAAAGCCTAAAAATGAAGTGGATAACCCAGCATTTGAGTAAGAATTTAAATATTTGATTAAATTAAAATCGGTTTAGACATTATTTCAAACAGCTTAAACTTAAGAAAATAAACTCATATTACCAAATAACGCTAATTGTCACAATTTTAAATAAATATAAGATATTGCCTATATGCAAAATATAAATTAATTTAGTTTCATCAACAATAACTGCAAACTCTTTATTTGTTCATATACAAGGTGTCTAAAAAATGTAACAAAAACTTGTTGGTGGTAAGGCAGGTCATAAAAATTGGGAATTGCAAAGAAATCCAAGAACAGAAATGCAATCGTATGGTTCTAGGTGGTGCTCTGCTCGGGAGCACTGAACGAGATCATTGAATTTGGTGTGGTAGACATATTTCCCAGCCTTCATGATTATCTGATTTATTAAGCTTTGATTTTTTTTTCTCAGGAAGCCCTCAAAGCTATTCTGTGGAGTCAGCAATGAATTTTGTGGTAAGACTCATCAGGGATTCAGCTATAAACGAAATGTCCCAACAATCAATGCCCCCTACCCAAAAAAAGTCGGTTGGCTTGTATTATCAGACATTTGTTGTTTCTAATGACACTTGAACAAGCCAAGTTTGCCAGCTAATTGCAGTTTACAAATTAGATCAGGAAGGTGCGCCTTTTGTTTGACGAGAGCACCACAAGGGTGAAAGCCCATCTTAACTCAGGATACCCCAAATAAATGGCAGGACCTTTCATTTGTGAGGTCACTTCAATTTAAACATAGATCTAAAGGAAAGGGAAATTTTCTCCAAATCCCTATACCTATGATATAGCTCAGAAACCGACCACGAGGACTTTTGATTCCACAGATTTTAAGAGCACGTATATCAAGTGGGTCTTAACGGAGTCAAGGAGCTTCCCCTAAAGTCCAAAGTCATGAGTTGCACCAACATTATGATGTTCTCAATCACCCCTAAAAATTTGCTGTTGCATTTTCTAGACACCCTATATAAAGGAAACAAATGAATCAACAGTATTGTAGACTAATTTAATTTCAATCCCAGCCAAAAGAAATTTTTAAATAAAGAATTACTCTTAATATATTAATTTAAAATCCTAATAAAATGGAAAAAAATTACTTGATATTTAAACTAAGTTGCACTAAAATATTTTATAAATCAAGAAAGAAATTTAGAAAGGAATGGATATTTTCAAAACCTTCAGCTAGCTTCACCTGTAAATATGGATAAGTTCAATAGCATAACATTTCAAATATTTCACTTGCAGCAAAAATCAAAACAATGGCAGAGATCGCAGATCAAACAATCCATATGAAGAAGATCCCATGCTGCAATTGCCCACAAGGGCATGAGAAAGCTTAGCTTGGTCTTTTGGGTACAAATTAAAACTACTTATTTCTCAATACTGCTATCATTTTAGCAAATTATGAAATTCAAAAAATTCTATATATGTTCTAGAAAATATTAAATTTTTGCTTAAAATTTAATTTTTGTTGTTTGGAAAGCGCTATTTATTAAAATTGTAATTTTTACTGCATTTTAAATCTACTTTTTTTTAAATATTTTTAGACTTAAAAATCATAGAGTTGTTGTTTTAGAAAAGTATATAATTTATATTTAAAATAATTTTTAATTTGTTTTTTCTTGCTTGAATATAACATGAAATATTCATAGACATCTTTGCAGTAAGATCAAAATTAGTTAATCTAAGAGATTATGCTATAAATAAAAGAGGTAATAAGAGATTATGCTGTAATTTGTGCAAAAAAAAGTAAACTTTACAATTACAGAAATAAAGTAGTGATTAAAAAAATTGCAAATTAAACTTTTTAAATTATTTTAAATCTACATACACCGCACTTTCTTTTTTTAAAAAAAAGACAGTTACTCTAAAAATAACAGAACTTCTTCAAAACTAAGCTTGACGTTAGTCACCTTGAGCTAGCCATTTTTTAGCCAAGCAGCAAGGATATATTTAATACCTATTATTATTGCAAAAATTCTGTTTTGTCAGAATATTTTTTTAAAACTTCCTTTCTACTAAATATAAAAAAATTAACAATATTGTTGTTCTTTTTCTAAAAATTGAGCTATTTTTATAATTTAAATATTTACAGACAAAAAAAATCTCTGCAGAATTAATATACATTTTATAAAAATGGCCATTTCAGTTTTTTTTTTTTTTTTTAATGTTAATCTGTACTCCTAAATTTAACTGAATTTTGAAAATTGTTTTAATGTGAAACAGAACAAATATAAAATTTTATTGATTTATTGTTATCAATAATAATAATGGTAAATAATATTTGAATCCAATTGTGTTATAAAATAATTGAACATTATGTTTATAAAAATTACATTATCATAGTTAACTTTTTCTTATATTTGTTAATGCATAAAAAGTTATGCTTTTTCTTCCTTTGTGCTATGTCAGAATGCTCAAAAGAGCACAAACAATAACTATTCCCTAATTACTTTTAATTTGTGACTTATGATTGTTTGCATTTCTTTTAAGTCAAAATACACTTGAGAATATTAATTCTGGTTGCTTATTTTTTTGTAAACATTATTGTATGAATGCGAGGTTCAACAATCTTCCTAAAAAAGGTTATTTAATTAATAATTATTTTTAATAGAAAAACAGGAAATATCACTTTTTAGTATAAAATTTTAGTTACACGTATTTTATATCAATTTTAAAATAGAATGCACATTTTTAGTTATAAAATGTGATTTATAAAAATATCATGAAATATGATTCTTACTCAAGAACCCTTTTTAAAATAAAAATTTTATCTGTGACCTAGCATTTTAGCAAGCAGCATAAAAAATTATAATAATAATAATAATTAGCATTGATAACAACAAATTGCACAGTCTTTGCAATCTCCCTCTATCAATTTAATATTTTTTTATTATCCGTGGTCCAAAGAATCACCAATTTTAAAAACCTTTGCCGCATTCTGCTTAGGAAATAAATTATTTAATATCTTACGTTGAAAAATTAGTTACAAAGTTCTGCAAGAGGTGCCGCTTGTCACACATAGTATAAAATGCATACCTGACAACCGTCAGTATAGAAAATGCAGGAAAAATTATTCTAAATACAAAAGTTTTTATGTTTTTTAATTTTTATTGGATTTACAAATAACTGATATATTTTAAAATTGAAATCATTGATCCCATCACTAGCTTTTAATGTAAATTTTACTAATACAGAAACTAATACAGAATTAGATATTTAGCACAAAAAGACAGAAAATGTGGCTTACACGGAAAAAGATTGTGCAAAATACATTAGTGTTGGTATTAATGAAATGTTTTCAATTAAATGATAGATATCTGCATAGGCATCAATAAATTTCCTCCTTAGACTGCCTCACATTGTTTATTTTGAGAATTATGTTTTTCAAAAGTACTCAGTGAGCATCTGTTGACAAGCTTTGTGACTAATTTCGGAATTTGGAGAGATTAGTTTCTTTTCTAAAAGTTTGGCAAATAGTACAGTTTTCTTATATCAAACAGTATCCTTGTTTTTTAAATTAATGTGCAAAATATAGTTGACAAAATATGCACAATTAAACTATAACATTTCTTTTTCAGGAACAGCAACACTAGACCAGCTGATCTCATAATAGACGAAAATTATAAAAACAAATCCCCTAAAGGCTCCAAAACAAGTATTGGAAAAAGCAGTCCTGTGTAAAAAGAAATAAGTGCTTCATGGAACAAAAAGAAAGATATAAAATTAAAAAGACTATCTCACCACAAAGTAAAACATTCAGGAGTCTGTGAATTAATTGATGTTCCCAAAAGTCAACTTTGCTACTTCAAATGTCTTTGATTTAGTGCAGCGTTTACTTAAAGCAAAAACATTCAAATTGAACATTTGTAACTGAATGTTTTTGCACACAATTTGCCTTTTGCTTTTTCAAAAATGATAAAAAGAAACTTTTGACGGTGAGAACTAGTTGCAAATATGGCAGAACTAATGAAGGACAGTTTTTTAAAAAAAAACATTGATGACTGTTCCAATGTGGAAGTTCGAGAAAAGGATCAAAAAGGGCTGAGACTATTCTCGGTTCGCAACTGTCATTCTTTATTTCCAATGTTCTTGCATGTTTTAAAATCGTCTGCGGTAAAACTCTGCCATATTTCTCAAAAGGACGTTGCATTCTATTCACTGTGAATAACAAGTCTCTGTTATAAAATGTGTTTCGAAATCTAAAAAGAATGGATTATGAAAGGGGGGAGCAATTCGATGTGAGTGATTATTTGGAATTTTCGGAGGACTGAGGTATTGAGCTTTTTCATGTTCGTTTTTTGAAAAAATATGAGTGACCTAGTTCCTTTTTCACAGCTTTAGAACATTTTTGTCCAATGCATTTTTTATCTTTAAACTCTTATTTTTTAGTTTAAGTCATTCCATGTTTGTTGTGTTGATTATTTTAAATAAGTTTTGATGTCATTCTTACTATATGCAAAGAGCTCTAGACTAGTAATTGCGAATAGTAGCCACTGGTTACCAGAGTCATAAAAATGGAAGCCACATTTATATAAGTATTTGCACACCACCCAGGTTGTTGATTAACTTGATATAAATTAAGTTTTTCATTTCAAGGAATTTTTTAAAGCTGTATTAAATTTGTTTTGCAACAAACAATAAATTGACAGTTCTTTTCAATTTCTATCAAAAAGTTATTTAAACGCACGATTTATTTGATATTCGCGTGTCATACTATCGCATCAAAAATATTGGAATTTTAAAAAATATGTGCAAGAAAAAATTCCGGAAAAACGATCAAAATTGGATGTAAATTTACGATGGAATCGCCGAAACACACACATATTTTATTCTTTTATATTAGACCCGTAACATGGTTGCGACTAGAGATTGACACTTTAGTAGCCATTTCATATGTAATGGTCGTCCTTTGGCAGCTGGCGACCGCTAATCTAGAGCTCTATTAAGCGAGACACTTGTGTAGTATACAAAAGTTTTTGCAACGTTTAGCTATTTTGTTCATTGAATGTAACTTTGCAAAGATTATATATACATACTTGAAATATATTATATAAACATATAATTTTGTATGAAGAAAAACAAGTTTGATGGCTCCTAGTTACCTTTGTAATTAAGAAAAAAAATAGATGTTTCTACGATTTAGTGTTATTATAAGTAATGGAGTGGCATCCTACTTACAATGTGATCTCATTGGTGCCGGATGAAAAAGATTTCAAATGTATTGAATTGAAGTGAAATGGTGTTTAAAAATGGTTACTAATATTTCTCCCCATTTCTCTTGTAATTTAATAAATGGCTTGGATATTTTTGTCATATGTTTAGCAGCGAGCTTTAAATTTATAGATTTTAAATTTAAAAATGCTTTTTGCATACAAATTGATTTTATAAATTAAGGAGAGTGCTTTTTAAAATTTGTTTTACAATTTGAACCATTAGGCTTAATTTGTAATAAATTTAAAGCTCGTTTCAAAATGAGAGGTGTGAATGTGTATGTAAAATTCTTTTTACTGCTTTTTGGCTTTCCAGCTGTGATGTGTGCATGATGGAATGTATGAAATAAACATTCTCAAATCGTAATTATGATCTTGTTTTTTTCACAGAAATAAAACAAAAAGGGCTTGGAGGAAGAGAAATTAACATTTATAAACCAAATTTTAATCATTGTTAGCATATCTGCGTTTTTTTATTCCAAAAAGCTTGACTTTTTCTTAAATGAAACATAAATTAAGTTTTCTAATTGATTTAGAATATTTCAAAAATAACTTCCTATAAAAGTGATGTGTTAATTACAGAAATGAAGTTTTAGTTTTAATCAGTATTGCACTTTTACGATATTCAGCTATTATTAAAACTATAATTTAATTTAATATTATATATCATATATAAGATTCAATTAAAACTACCTAAATTTCAATAATTACAAAAAACTTTTATGCGGAATGCTCTGTAGGTCGAATTAGTTGGTAACATAATTTGTGTTCTACGAGATTCAGAAAGAAGTCCTCAGAACTACATTTGGTGGAATTCATGACAGTGATGTATGGCGGAAAAGATATAACTTGGAATTATACACATTAAATAAAAATCGTGACACCATAAATTCAGACAAAACAGAATGGGAATGTATCACCATCTAAGAACGGAATCAAGCAGAACTGACTTGAAAGTTTCCAATACCACTCCTCATAGTTAAAGATCAAGGGGCAGCCAAAAATGATAGGCCTCTTTAGAACAAACCTTTTCTGTAATCAAAGTACAGAACTGAAGACCAAGTGCCTGTAAAAATCTTCTAAAGAAGGCCAAGGCCCACCGATGAGGGCTCTTGAAGCCAGTCAAGTTTTTGAACACTCATTTTGTCAAACCATGGCTGTGCAAGTCTTGATGTCTGAATAAAGCAGTTATCCTACTGGAAGAGAAATGGGACTTTCCCGAAATATTGTCAGAGCTGATAAAGCAGCATTGTCTAAGATGTACACAAACATTTCAAGAGTTCATGTTTCTAACCAATAGGAATTCAGGGACCCAGGCTAAACACTCTCACACCCTTTATATCTGATAAGTATCTGAATACTTTTGACCAGATACTGTATTGTACACTTAAATCGAAGTTGAATTTGTGTACTAGCTCACTAAGTGATTTAGGAAATGTTATTCAAATAGAAACTTTTATTACAACTATTTACACAAATAAATTACATAATATATAACCATTTATCACAAATTTTGTTATAAATTCAAAAATTAGTCTTAAATTTCTTAGCCTCAACCATTATATTGTGAATGTTAAGCAGCTCACTTCGAATGGGCAAACTTTTGAATGGATGTTGATTAACTATCTTCTGGAAACGGTGATAATACTGAATTAATTGTGTTAGGGCAGCCTGAAAGAGAAAACTTTCTTTATTATATCATTAAAAACAACTATTTTTTTAAAGATGAAACTACGAAAATTTCTCATTCTTTCCTTAATGAAAGCTAAAGTTATTCATATTAGAAAATAAATTATTAGTAACCATCTTTCTTACATTACTTTATTAAAAACTTCATTCGCCTGTTTTTGAGTGCTTGAAACATGTCAACGGTTATTTCCACTTTTTGAAGCGAATGACTTTTTTAATCAAGTAATATAAAAAAGATGGTTACTAATACAATGGTTGGCAACTTCACGTTTAACATTCCAAATCACTTTTGTTTCTTCTGACATTACGTATGGCAACTCATAAAAATAGGCGTCAGTTTTTAATCAAATAATATCTTACCACTTCAGTTTCTTGGTATTATTTAACACATTTCTTCTAATTTCTCTAAAAATTAATTTTAATATTTCATCATGTCTCAAACTATTTAAATGAATCACAGGGTTTCTGAACACAATCACGCAAAATACAATTTATTAAAACTAATATGGAGAATTTTTGGAATACTCTATTTTACGATCAATAAGTTGCTATTTTAAACCCCTAAAATGCAAGGAAGTTTTTCTGGCTGACATATGCACAAGTAACACATTTGAGCAATTTTTTTTTCTCCCCAAAATCTGATCTAACTTATAAGATAAATATTAGCATAAAAAGTAATGAAGTTACTACACAGCCATGTTAGTTTTATTCCTTAAACAGATAGAAGATCAAGAATTCATCAAAATGGAAATATTATTGAGAAAGAAAAAAACAAATTCCTTTATATTAAGAGGGTTTCATATTATTTAAGGAATAAATTACATCTCATAATAATAGGGAAATTGACTAGAAACTTGTTTTTAACAAGTAGGAATTCAGAGTTCAAGTTATACACGAAATCCCCAATTTTGATTTCAAAAATGGGGGTTGATTTCTAATCACTACAAAATACGGTACACAAATTTATACATCTCGCTAATATGATAAAGTTCGAAAAGGATAATTAAAGAATGTTTTTTATATATTGGGTTGGTATTTTTTGATTAAAAGTTTTAATAAGTGTGAGCAAATCCTTTATCAAGAGATGAATCAGAATTTTGTCCTTTCTAATTACTGACTTAAAGATTCCATATTACAAAGTTACGTTTCCCTTAATAAATCCAATCAAATAAAAATAAAAAAGGGTAATTGCAAAACTTTCTTTTTTGTAACTGATTATTTTTTTTCTTCTGGAAAATACTCTCAACCAACCAAACAGGTGAACGATCTGTCAGTGTGTATGATTTCATTTACCTAAAAAGGTTTCTACTCATAGATCAAGAATGATTACATGCAATTAAAATTCTGATTTGAGTTCAATTTCATATTGATGAATCAAAATTGAATATCACCACTAGATATAAATAGCAAGAGCATCTGAAACTACAATATCAACTTAGCATACTACTGCTTATTTTAATACAATTTGCAAAAGTTTTAAAAAGTAATGTTATTACATTAAAATAGAAGATTTCATTCAAGTTAATGAGAACATACATGAATAATCTTATCTAGTCATATTATTGCAATTTAACTGAAATATAAGGGGGAAAAATTTCTTCCCACTTACAATAATATGATAAATACTTCTGTAAGTGTACATATAAGCTGAGCTACAGAAAGCTTATTTGTTATTTGTTTGAAAATCAGGATAACATGAAAAAAAATCTATCAGAAAATTTATATCCAACTTGAATTAGACATTCATGAAATATAAATGAATTATCAAATGCTGTCACTAACCTGCAATATATTAGTCCCATTTTTGAAATTTGTAAAGGTAGTCATAATGTCAGCATTTATTTCTTCCATAGCTTTTTTCCAACCATTATTAAATGACTTCACCAAGGATGGTACTTTACCTAGGAAATAGTAAAACAAATAAATAAGTAACATTAATAATTAAAAATATTACTGTATTATTTATTAACTATTATTCATTTATTTCTTACATAATAGAGACATAAACCATATATTTCAATGCGAATATATGCCTAAATAGGAAAGATAATTTACACTTCACCAATCAACTAATGACCAAAATGTTTGTATTTTGACTTAGAAGTAATGAAGTTTCAGATTTTTGGAACAATTTTTTTCTGCGTTATGTGTTTTGGAAATTCAATTTTGAATTTTGTGAAAACTCAGTGTGGTTTGGAAATTCGGTTTTACATTTTTTTAAGAGCTATAAAAGGCATGTGGTTTTTCTGCGAATCAATAATTTATATACCGACAAAAAAATTTCGGAGCTCCGACATTCTAAAATCTAAATTTTATTACTTACGCTAAGTCTCATTAACGAGACATTTATTCCACCCTTACCAACGCCCTCTTTTTAACGAACAACGACGGCTTTTTTAAGCAGGTTTGTTAGAGAAAAAAGCAACTCTGATAAAAAAAAAAACAATTCCATAATACCTGCAACTGGAATTAAGGAACTACTAAGGCAAACGCAAAAGTACAAAATTAGCAATCCAGAAAATAACTCAGAAAAAAAGAATTCATTTAAAAGAAAAACTAGAAAAATGGTGCTTTTTTTCTCATTTTTTTAAGCTTTTTTTTTAATGAGGAGTAATTTTGTTACAAATTATAATTTGTAATAGGATAATTATTTAGTCAATGTAATATATTTGGCTACAATTAGATCGAATCAAGACATGAAAATTTCAAATCACGCATTTCAGTAATTACTTTTCAACGTGCTCGATACCCTCAGAAATCCATATTTCAATCTTCTTTTTTACAATTGCAATTAATACAATCGATTTTCTCACGGTTCTGTAAAGTCGGATATTAAAGCAACATGCAAAATTTGAATTGCCTGTTTGAGTAATCACTTTTTGAATCAATCAATTTGTCAATTAAATCACTCAATTTATCAATTAATCCCTCAATTTGAGTAGATACAATCGTAAATCCATCCATTCCTAGCAAAGTTTTTTTTTTATATTTCATATTTGTATACATTATCATTACCACACACAAAATTCAATTTGTGCATTCATTAAGTTACTTTTTGATGCAACGATACCACTGCTTTTTTGGTGGACTTTTTTCACAGTTATTGCTACTAATACCCAAGGTTTTTTAAATCCCAATATTTTCGTACAATATTATTAAGAAACAAGACATTAGAATTGCACATGTAAGTAAATACTTTCTGACATGCTATATTTGCACTAAATCTATGTGGCATTTCGATACGGTTGTTTGACAGTTCTTGGTTTTCACATGATTTTTTTTAAAATCCCGATATTATTATGATACCGAAAATTCAATTCACACAGCTAAGTATTCCGTATAAGATAAGCATTTTATTTGGTGCAATAATTCTATGGGTTTTTTTCAATCAATTTTCCGGAAGTTATCACCGCTAATTTTTATGTATTTAAATTCTTTTTACAAACAGTAATTTTGACATGTTAAACTGCAATGTAATTCTAGATTAAGTTAAAGTTAAAATAAAAAGTGATACAACAGTTTAAGGCCTACTTTTCTTTAATGATTTCTCTTTCTGAACTATGAACTTGATTACCTCATAGTTTTACTTTTACCCTTAGGAGGATACAGACATAAACCTATATTTCTTTATACAAATAAATTTATACTGAATTTTTAAAAAAAAATTATCTCAAGCTAGTTTTAGAAATTACATGGTCAATTTTCTAAAAAAGAAAACTAAGTTCAAAAATTATTGACTCCATTTTAGATACAGCTTACTGTTAAAATTAAACAAAATTTAAGAGCATAATAACTTTTTTCAATCAAAAGTACACCCTAATTTAGCAAATAATACCATTAATTCACCTGCTTCTACTTTCAAATTTTCCAGCTGGCCTCTTTCTAAATACTTTTCACAGTCTTTTACGAACACTATCATGCCTCCAAAATGGGGAGAAAGAACTTCTTCAACATATTCTAGGATTCTAGCATTTAGGAGATCTTTGAAACTCTCTGACTCACGAGAATCTTCCTTAGTTCTTTCCTTAAAAGTAAAAATTATTATAAATAAGATATATCGCCATATATACACATTCAAAAAACTTTTTTTTTAAATTGGTAAAAAAAAAATTTATAGCACTGATAAAATCTAATTAAATGAAATCACTCATCTCAAATATAAACTCATCTCTCTATAAACAATATATTAACTACATAGTCTATATGAAAAATCAGAAAAGTTACATGTTTATATTTTACGTGTCTAAGTAGCTGATAATTTTAAGAAAGAAATTATTTTAAAATAAGTACCTTATACTTTGATAAAAGATATCTTTAAAAAAATCTTTAAAGAAGGTAAATCTTTTGTTGACAAATATAACTAAGATGGACATTTAAACTCACTGTCACATAAATTAATTATTAAAGGAATACATTTCTTTTAAAACAGCGTAAAACAGAATGAACAACTAAGTCTTATTTATGTTATAAAAAATATAAACCCCAACAACAAATTATTTACTTAATATATATTCAGAAATGGGCAAAAGTGAAATGAATGAGATAAATTTGAATGCATACATTTACATTCAGCCATTATTGTTCAGTGGTTAAGCCACTTAACTGTCACTGTGAAGAACTGGGGTTTGATCCCCAGAAGCGGTTTGAAGAATACGCAGCTTCAGAATAATAGATACCAGCTTGTCTGGGAAATAAAGATTGTCTGCGTGCAATGCTGACCAGATGGCCACAATCATATTGGTCTCGAGTGGAGCCTTAACCTTCATGACAAGTTTGGCTCACAGCAGGCTGTAGCAGGAATACTTTACTTTTCTACATTTACATTAGATTGCTTTATTTCTAAATTCTAATACAGTAAATTATCTTTCTCTCATACTAATTCCACTTTTTTTTAATGAACAAGACATTTTTAGCTTTTAAGGGATAAATGACAAAAAATCAAGTAATCAAGAATAATTAATATGGTATAATAAATAAAAGGGTTCAAACTTCATTAAAAAAAAACATAGTACTAGAATAAAGTTATAGCAAAATGACTGTTATCAATTCTGATAGTTCTTTGTACTATTAATTGTTTCATACTTACAAGGAGAACGCCCAACATCATATCATAGTTATTTATTTGAAAGATGAGTTGATCTTTGTGATCTGGAAACTCTGCAGCCATGCGTAAAATAAAATTTTCTACTTCCACTTGCAAAGCAGCCAGAAGTCTGGCAACTCTTTCACTCGGAAAGTTTTCATTAATACCAACAATTGCAGCTGAAAACTCAGCATATCGCCTAGTTATCTGAAATTAGGATGAACTGCAATAAGGCTGCTAGTTAGAAATACTTAAACATAAACAAACATTTAAGTATTTTACTAGTATAGAAGGAAATTTAATTTAATATTTCTCAGCATCCAGACTCGTATTATATACATGGATGCACGAACTCCGTGCAAGGAAAATTTGTCCCCATCGCAGAACTTTGGTTAGTACAATTACTAAGTAAGAAAGATCCCAAACAAGATTTAAAACTACATTCATATGATTTAAAATCAAACATCGGGATTCCTATTTAGGCAATTTAAGGACACGCATCATGTTTTGAATTTTCATGATTTTATATTAAATAACGTATTCTCGTGATATTAAGTGAAACATCAAGATTTGTATTCACCCGAAACAAAAATTAAATGTCGATATTCATATTTGTGATTTAAAAATCGAGCAATTTAAAAAAATTTATAAAATTTGGCATTAATATTTTTATTATAATGTTGATAACATTCTGTGGATAAATGCTTTTACATACACTTTTTTCTTGCTCCAATTTCAGGTATTTTCAATTATTTAAAAAGTGTTTTTGAACATTATAGTTTTTAATTTCTATTTCCAGCTTTTTTGTTTGTTTTTTTACAAAACTCATCCTTGTATGAATCAATATAGAGCTTTTTAAAAAACACAATTTTTTTTAAAAAAAAAAAAACATTATTTTCAAACAAATTTTGACATTGTGATTAAACGTGGTGGTTTGATTAAAATGAGGTGGCAACAAAAGAGTTGAAACTAGTTACAAGAGTTAATCAATGTATGCAGAAAGTTTTTAATAGAGATTTTCTGTCAGCAGAAAGTTTTTCATTCTAAGTCTATCAGCTAAGTCTAAGGCAATCATCATAAGAATTGTGAAATTTTGTTGTAAAATTAACGAAGAGGAGTGAATTTTTTTTCAGAAATAAAGAGAATTTAAATATATTCCCTTCCTAATGAACATTTACATTTTAATTATCAATTTACATATTTAGCAACACTATGGATGACTATTTTTGTATGCAGCTGTTAAAAGTCCATCATTCCAGAGGGCAGCACAGTTGAGTTTTAACAATAGCACACAAAAAAATTGAAAAAATAAGACTGTTAGCTGAATCCTTGTCAAATCCACTAAACCCATACTCATATGTTACTGAATATAACATCACCTAATAGCGATCCTTCTCAAAACCTTTAGTAAAAAACATGTATTCCATTATGAACATAATAAAATCTGAAACATCTAATTTTGTAACAATCTTCAAGAATTAATCCCAATACAAATAAATTTTGCAAAATATGCTAATTCAAAAAATATATGAATTAAGTATCAACTGTTTAGTTATTTAGAATAATGTATTTTGAGTTATTAGTGTTTTTTTTTATAAAAAGAACACTTTTTATAATTAGAAGAGTTTTTAAAAATGTTTATTAAAACTTAACAATAAAGCTTAAGTTTGAACTTTTTTTTTATTTATTTTATTAGTTCTTAAATATCCAATTTTTTTTTTTTTTTTTTTTTTTTTTTTTTTTTTTTTTTTTTTTTTTTTTTTGCTGTTAGAGTAAAAATTTCTATTTCAGCCCATGTATAACATTTTTTCCTTTTTCAAGTATGCTGGTAAAATTGAAAAAAGCACACACAAAAAAATATTTCCTTTCCTTTTTTAAAAAAAGACACTTAATATTACAGTAAAACCTGTTCCACATATTAACCATCATTTTTAGCATCCACTTAATTGTAACTTGCTAAAGGTGGTAGACTTCTACAGCAGTCATGTAGTGCAACATTTTTTTTAAAAAGGTTGTAAGAACAACTATTTTTCTTTTTTTAAATCTGATCCTTTTGTTACTCACCTGAAACAATCTAATGAAACAATTTTAATGAATATCTTTATTTTAATAAAAGCTTAAAAGTTCAATTGAATCATCTGATTATTTTACTACATACAGGGTTCCCACTCTATGATGAGATTGAAATTCAAGGACTTTCCAGGACTTTTCAAGGACCTCAACAAAATTTTCAAGGACCTTAATCTAAGACCAATTTTAAAAATTATTCTCTTCTATTTTACTAGAAGCAACAATGCTTGTTGTGGCAATAATTAATTTCAAATATAATACCTAAATGCTTTGCCTATATAGAGAGAAGAGAGTATATGTATTATGGACTAAAATTTATATTTTTTTAAAAACAACCCTACTGGTTTTACATATTAATTCACAAAATCATTTTCAGCACAATCTATAACTAATGGTAATGAGGTGTTAATGGTGAAATCCTTTAATCCTGTGTATTTCCATGTGAAGGCTGCATGAAAGACAGAGCTAAATCTTAGGTATTCCATATTCCATGACTATTCCATAACCCCCTCCTCTCCTCTATTAAACATCGTTTCTGAAATTATTCATCCATAATTTACACAACCTTCTCTAAATGTTATGCAGCAACAATTCTTTCTGAAAATAAAAATTAGAAGGAACATATCCCATTTTCACCATGTTTAAAAGCATTATTCGTTATGTGTAATCCACAACTGCCAATGAATATGACCTGGTGGGAATATTTCTCTTTTAATTCACACTGAAGCTTCTAATAGAATTTCCAATTGACATAGGGTCCATCCATGGATAATTGAAGTATTTTAGAGAGCTTTTAACCATCATCCATGCATTTGTAAAAAGAGGACAAAATATTTTCTGCAGTTCCATGACCCATAAATTGGGAGGTAAGATACTTAGTGCAAACTTTATTATCAATTCCTTACCATAATGTCCATCTGCTTAGATTGTAGAGACTGATTTAACGTCTCATCAAAGAGTACAGTGTAGCAATCAACATTCTTCAGCTCATTTATAAGAATCCCTTTGAAGTATAGTGCCAATCCAAAGGAGCCCAAATAGGCTCACTTTGTGGCACTACAAAAAAATTGTCTCGCTATACAGCTATCAGCAAACATTTTGGAGAACAATTTACTAATCCCTTCACAGGAGTTACATGAATAATTACTAGTGATGCACTTCAGACTCCAGAGAATTTCAGCATCAAGCACATTCCTTTTGACCAGATAAGAAGACAATGTTACCTCGGCCACTAAAGTTTCTGTTTCACATGGGGCACACGATGTTGAAGGAGTATTTACACCAGATGAATTAGATGTTGATGTCTTTGGAAAAAGAGAACTCAGGGCATGAGACTGCTTTTTTGTTTTACCTTTCTTTGATGTGTGATTTCAGAGCAGATTCTTCCATTTTCGCGATATCGATCTCCTTCATGCATAATCGGCACTTGGCTCTGAACTTCTTTTCGGGCATCGATAAAATCCATTCTTTATAAGCTTGATTATCCATCCATTGGGGATTAAAATAGCACTTCCCAGGCATAACTAGTCTAAACTACATAACACAAATACGAAGCCGTGCCTTTGCGAATACGCTTTACAATAAAGTTTTGAAATGACGCAAACGTAAGGACAAGTGCGGATGGTAAAACGGCAAATTTATTGAAAACTACAAGGTACATATTGTTACGAAATTCGAGAGTATTCCAGTTTCGATAAGAAAAAAGAAGATCTAAGCATATGCGACAGAAGATGAAGTGGAGTCTCGCCCCGAACGCATTGATTGTCTGCTGTGCTCCGCGCGCTTGGCAGACACCAAGACGCTAGGCCCGGTTAGAAACGGTGGCGTTAAAAACCACGTGAGAGAGCTCGGGAACAAAACAGAAAAAACGAGAAAGATCCGCGGGTGTTTTATAAAAAGGGCCGCCGGCAGTATTGGACAAATTCAAGGACCTATCAAGTTTTTCAAGGATCTAAGACGTTTTCAAGCACTTTCAAGGACCTAAATTTAGCACAAAAAAATTCAAGGACTTTCAAGGACTCTCAAGGACCGTGGGAACCCTGACATAATTACTTTGTCTAAATATTCTTAGCAAGCAGTATTCCCCTCCGACAGAAGAAAGAAGTGCCAGTTTTTCAACGCCAGTCATTAAGAAAAGTGTTCAGACCCTGGCTAAGCAACTTACTATACACAAACTGAGAATCATATTAGTAATTAAGGAATACATAATCATATTAGTAATTACGTAACTATAACTGTAAATGTTACTGATACAGACATGTATTTCAAGTTACTCTTCGTTGAAGTTGAATATTTTTTTATGTTATAAAATTACATTTAACAAAACTATTAATAGCCTCATTATTTATAACTCTGTATGTGGATATGTTTCTGATTCTGTTATAATTGTTTGTAGCATATACACCTGAATGTTACTGAAAATGTTATTTCTTTAATTAAATTAAGAATTAATTTCAAAGCTATTAAACTCTAATAGTTCTAATTCTGAAAGATTAACAAAAAAAATTATATTCATATTTCAAGTTCCTAGCACATGAAAAAAAAAAATTGAGAGCCCATTAGTGTATTTATTAACAACTGCTCCTAAAAAGATAATTACAAATAAAAACTTGTAAAATAAACTTGTCTCAATAACACAAATACTTTTGTGCAAAATGCAATTATTACATGCTAGACTATAAATTTAAAAGAATATTTGAATAAATTTTCCATTATGAACTCACATAATGTGGGCGCTTGTCAATATTGGAAAACTTCTGTGGGTCACAGTCACGGATACTTTCAATATTCAGTTGCAAAATATGTTCAAAGCGAGGCCAGAACATTTGCAACAGGTTTTCCCAATATCTAAAAAAATATAAATTATAATTTCATACAAATATATTTTGAATGCAAGGAGTTATAAAAAACTTTACTACATTTTTACTAAAGCATTAAAAGAAATATTATGGTCACAGATAAAATTATTTGTATTATTTTTTTTTTAAATGCTTTTCTTATGTTTTTAATTATTATTATAATTTTGAATGAAACTAACATTCAAAGCTTTTTATAACCTTTATTAAAATGTACATAAGTAACAATCCAACTTTTTACAATATGAGAAGTCTTTCCAGTCAAAAATGAAATTTTATAAATTAATTTTGCCTCAATATAGTTCACATAATTATGTTCAATAAAACGTTAAAACTAACGTTTATATGACTTTATAAAAATATGGAAATCAAAACTTTGATATTTTATCATGCAATAGTTAAAAAACTTTCATACAATTTTAGTGAAAAAAAATTTTAGTTTTAAAAAATCACATCTACAGAATTGACTGTGAAAGTTACGCAATCAAAAAATTTTTTTAATTAAGACACATTGTCATAAAGATTCCCATTTATTTTGATTATTTAAATTGCAGAAGATAGCAATAGGTCTCAAAACTATAAACCCACAAGCATCTGCACTTCACTTTTTTTTCTTCTTTTTCTTGCAACGATAAACAACATAGCATTTAGAAGTGAAAATAAATTCAATTCATAGAGATGGAACTATTTGCAGAGTTTTGAAAACAACATAATAGCAAACATTAGCCCAGATGTTCACAATTAATCAAATAATGGATCTTCATTTAAACATTGCAGTTTTAAGTTCAGTACTTAAGTTAAAAGGGTGAAAATGGCAAGGCATTCATAAAAAGCAAGATAACCTGAGTCATGATTTACAGCTGTCAAACTAGAAATGCAAGATGAAGTTCAAATTTCAAAGAATAGATTTTACACTCATCAAAGCAATTCCTTCTCCTGTTCCTCAGTCTTGCTTTCATGTGATTAATGGGAATGAATTATTCTCAGTCATTTATTTAGTCAACATGTAACACACACTTGGAACTCTAATCATTTATAAAATGTATAATCAAAGGAGATCCTCACACAATTATATCCCTAAAATAAATCTTAGAAAAAAAATGCACAAAAAGTCATAATTAAAATAAAATATAGATTAAATACAAATCTTTTATTCACAATAAAAAAATGCATTAAAAATTTTTAATATGGTCATAATTAAAATAAAGAAAAAAGACAATTTCAAAATAAAATTACTTGTCAAGAGCAGGAACACTTCGCTTGTGCATTAATACTTGATATCTATGTATAACATGGATACACAAGAACAAAGCAATGGAATCATAACAATCTTGGACATACTGTTGAGTATTTTTCTGAAAATAAAAAAAAATGAGAGCAATAAATAGAAAATGATGTATAAAAAAGCAATTATTAATAATGATTATTATACGGCATAAAATACAGTCAGAGTACATAATTCATTTATGTTTCCCTTTAAATACCCTCATCTTAATAAAGCAAAATGCGAAAAACACAAATGAATTATTTGTGCTGTTTTCAAACGTAATATGTATATACGTACATAATTCAAACATAACAAAAATTATATCCTATCTTCATCTGGATACCACCATCCAGATGAAGATAGGATATACTTTTTGATTCTCTTAGAATCATCACCAAGGATGAATTTCAGACCGATGCTAATAACCAATTAATGTAGCTCTAGTTTGAAATTCTCAATTCATTTTCTTTCCTCAATAAATGAAACATATTTTTATTGCAAAATTTAAATTTATCTAAACAACTTGAGGAAACACACTTGGAATTGGGTGATGTAGTTCTTGAATATGAACGATGAATGTGCAATGAATACTGTCAACTTTTTGAGAAAAAAATTATGTAAAAAAACTACATAACTTACATAAAGCACATATTGCTCTTCAAATTCTAATAATTTGGAAGAAAAAAACAAAGAAATTATAACATTGAAATACCTAAATGCAATGACATATTTGATAATTAAATATTAAAACTTTGACCTTTTTTAATTTTTTTTAAAAGAAATTTTATTTTTTCTAGACATGTTCAAAATGTAGTATGAAGATTAAAATATAATTCAGAGATTTATTTAAATATTAAACATGTAAGAAGTTTGTACAGGAAAAAATATTAAAAGTTATATTTCCATAAGAAAGAAATAAAAACTTACTATTTTATTAAAAATACAAAGTGAGCAAAACAACATTTCTTATTTTATTACCAATAATTTACAAAATGTTTCATACAATAAGAGGAAGTAAAATGTTTTATACTTAATTCAATTTAGCTTTATGAATTTTATACTGAAGTAGAGTAGGCTTAGTTTTTCTAGAACATTATGCCTTTTTAATACATGTAGTTATTATTATTTATATTATTAAATACAGTAAGACAAAATTATCGAGTATTTTATACAAATTCCAGAAGCTCATGTTTTGTTGAAAGTTTTTTTTCTTCGAAGTATTAAATATTAATCAGTGTTTTTATGTCAATAAAATATCCACAGATATTAAAGTTAATTTAAAAAGTAAATACTTTACCAAAAACATGGACAGAGTCTTTAACATCACAGAGTTAAATAATTCTCCGGCACTTTTGCTTGACACCATGAAGAATTCAGATATAAACAAGTATTCTCGGCAAGCATTATCGACTAAAGCAAATTGTTGACTTCTAAACAGACTTTCAAATGTGTACTAAATAAGAAAATATTTTACACTAGAGTAATGTATATGATATACAAAAATAACAAATTTGTACCATGAGAATTATTGAATTAAATGGAATAAAAAAAATTTTAAATTGTATGGTAAGAATATATAACATATATTAACACTATATATATTAACCCACAGAGATCCTCAGTAGGCCATGCATAATATTTTAATCCTTTAGAGAAGGTCTGAAACTTTTTGGTGCAGGTAACCACATAATAATTTTAAAAACAATTTGGGAACCCCATAAGCATTGTGAAAATCCAACAAACCTATAGGGGATATTGTCTGTTTCTTCATGTACTGTAATATGCTATTGCTGTTTTAGGACATTAATTTTAAAACATAGAGCAATGTGAAAATTTTAATTAAATAACAAACTTGTAAATATAATACTATGATAAAAATACATCAAAACGTTTTAGTTTTTTTTCTTTGTCTGAACTGTCTTATCTTAATCTATTTTCAAACAGGATGTGTAAAAACATTTGGTGATTAAAAGACTGCCATAATATGTTAAAGAAATATCAAAATTCTAACATTTTTAGTGACCTCTGCTTGTAGGTCCCACAACCCCAACTGCAGTTAAGGCCTACAGTTTAAGAAAATTTTTCTAATTTGGAACGCCTTTATTTTAAACACACTTTAAAAATAAAATAAATAAATATTTAAAAAAATTAAACAAAGGAACATTTTATTTACATTATCATATTGTAAAATAATTAAATAAATTTTTGTTCTGTAATCAAATTTATAAAATTTGACAGTGCCGGGAATCAAACAACGCAACACGGGATTAGCAAGTTGGTGCTCCAAACTACACCAAGCTCTTTGAGCACCTGGCAGTCCGACGCATATCAAGCTTTTTAAATCAATTCTGTGGTTTGTCAGTGGGACTATATTATGCCCCATTGCACATCCCCTAATTTGTCGATAATTATTTGACTTGGTATGGTAGCATATATAATTTATATAATATCTGACTTAGTTTCCTAATTATAAAGTTACATTGTTAGTTTTCCTCGATGCAGGTGTTTGATCTGTCCAAATTAAGTTAGATAGTCAAAAATAAACCTAGTTATTGATAGTTCAAAAATAAACCTGCTTGATTCGAAATTCTTTGTTTTGTTAATCAATAAATAAAATAATTTTATGAATGTAATTATTAACAGATGGATAAAGAAATTGAAAATTCATATTTTATGTGAGAACCCACTTTTAGTAAGAAGCGATCGAGAAACATGGAAATACTGGATCCTAAGGAACCATACGTTTCTAAGACTAGTGGAATCACTGATAGGACACTGTTTAACTGCAACTTGAATCTGATTTATGCTTGAAATTAATGAAGATTTAGTTTAAAATTTTAAATTTGTTAAAATGACAGTGGTTATTTAACTTTTCCCAATAATAAATCCTTGCTATCATGTAAGGACTATTTATTACAACATACAGCACATATTTGTAAATTTTTTTCAAATACCAATATGGATACCAACACACTTTACCTCTCTTCTTTAGTCTCTTATTGCTTTAGCATTTTAATAATTACTTTACGCTTAAACCAGCATTCTATCTCAATTTCTTTTACAATACATATACAGTGGGTGATCGGTTAACGAACATAATCCGTTCCAAGACTATGTTCGTTATCCGAATTGTTCGTTAACCGATCATCGATTCACCAAAGACTTCTATGTGAAATCGATTAATTCGTTCTGGAGACCCTAAAAATTAAATTTTAAAAAATATGTATAATTTCTTATTAAGTTTTTTAAAAAATAATACATACATATAGTCTTGCATATTAATCAGTCCTTTTCATTTTTTGCTTATGGGGCGTTGAAGAACATGTCCAATGTCGATTGCTTTTCTCTCTCTTTCAGGATTATCCGGAAGTAATTAATAGCATTGTCGTTGTAAAAATCCCCAACCCTACTGACATCAGCTTAGTTTGGGTGCCATTCTAAGACCATTGCTCTGACATCCTCCCACTTTTTCAAAAGATCTTTAACGGCAGATGTCGGCATTGGTATGCTCTTTCGTCTTCCTTTTGTTCAGAAGGAGACACATTTCGCTGTGTTTCTTGGTGTTCTTCATTCAAAATTTCTTGGAGTTCTTCTGTCGTCAGTTAATCTACATGTCCCATTATGAGCTCTTCTATGTCATCCTCGTTCACCTCCTATTCCAGATCTCTAGCAGTTGTCAAAATTTCATCCATAATTTCAGGGGTGTCTCCCTGATCACCTCCGTCACCTTGAACGAAGGATGGACACAGCTTCCGCCAAGCAGAAATCAACTGTCGCTGTGTGACTTCTGACCACGCCTTTTGAATGATACGAATAGCTTCAAGAATGTCAAATTTTTCTTTCCAAAACTTTTTTGAAGTCATTGTTGAGGAGAATTGGCTTGCTTCAAAACACCGACGAAACAGCGCGCGAGTGTACAATTTCTTGAAAGCCGCAATAACTTCCTGATCCATCGGCTGAATCAGCGAAGTCGTATTCGGAGGTAAAAACTGAACTGTCAGCCAGGGAAAGTCTGTCAACAAATTATCTTCAAGATCCTTTGGATGTCCTGGTGCATTGTCCAATAGCAGCAGTGCTTTCAACGGCAAGTCATTGGTATCAAGGTAGTCCTTGATGCTCGGGGCACAAACTTCAAATAGCCATTCTTTGAAAAGATACTGCGTGACCCATGCCCTCTGATTCGATCTCCACATTACTGGCAGTTTGTTCTTAATTATGGAATTTTTTTTAAATGCTCTGGGATTCTCAGAGTGGTAAACGAGAAGTGTTTTAAGCTTTATAATAATAATTATTGAATGACCTTTAAATTTAAATTCATTGTTAATTCAAGTTTCATTTAGTAATTATCAATACTAAGCATGCTTTAAATATTTCTCCTTTCAGTGATCTTATTTTGTATGCAAAATGATAACAAACGTTTAATAGTACTTTTTTTTCAGGCCGAGAAGTGTTCGTTAGAATTCGTTTTGTTCATTATCCGAATATGTGTTCGTTGTCCGAACACAAAAAATCTTTTTTGAAAGTGTTCGTTATCCGAATATGTGTTCGTTATCCGAACACAAAAAACTTTCGTGAAAGTGTTCGTTAACCGATCTGTTCGTTAACCGATCTGTTCGTTAACCGATCACCCACTGTATTACTCAAATAATGTGTTATATGTAAAATTAAAATGGAAAGTGAGTTGAAGAGTGAAATGCTTGTTCAATAATGAAAGAATTTTTATTTTTAAAGCCTTCTTCTAACATTTCAAAGAGCAGTTTCTACTATTTTTAAGATTCTCGATATAGCAGATGGATAAAGGAAGAAAAAATAAAAAAAGGAAGGAAGCAACTGAATGAATGGGCATGTTAGCAAATGGGTGTATCAGTGAATCGAAAAATCTATAAGTGGTCAATAAGGTTCTAATCTTAAATCATCAATAATCTTAAATAACTGAATAACCAATAAGCTATATCTTAAAAGTTCTTATAAAATATCCCATTAAGATTTAGATAAATTAAAATTAACTATATGCATCATAAATAGGGGGAGTTTTTTCCCCTTATGAAATTTTTATTTAATATCAATTATAGGGACAGAACAGAATTCCCACCGGTGATTTCCAGAATAAAATTCAAAAGATTTTGCACATTTTCATGAATTAAATTAGCATGATTTAATTGTACTTAAAAAATATAATTATATATGTTAAGAATTTATAACATATATAAAAACAATTTTCAGAAATAAAATTGATAATTCCTTCATCTAAAATTTCAGTAATATATTGTATCTAAAAAAATCAACAGCATAAAAAAACATAAAATTATTAAAAAATATGAAAAAGAAAATTGAGATTAAATAAAATAAAATTTCGTTTAACAATTTCATAATTAATTTTATTTAAAGTTAAAAATAGATATGAATTAATTTTAAAAATGTTTATTATTTTAATGTTTTATTATATTTAAATAATTTTTAAAACGCTAGTTTAATAGAAAGTGGTAACAATAAAATTAATAAGTATAATTAAAATAAAGCTGATAACAAGAAAAAATATGGTACCACTGGATATTATTCATTACACAAATGATAGTTTTATTGCCAAGCGATAAATTGAAACATATTTGGGGGGAAATAGTGTATGATCATTTGTTACCCTTTTCAAACTTGTTAGAATAAAATAAATTTGAATTACCAAAATATTGATTGAATTCATTTTTTATAAAAGTAGGAGCTATTTAGGATACCATAAAATAAGTCAGCATATTAAAGCACAATGAGTAGTGTAAGAAATGATAAATAATTATAAAAATAAGTATTACTTTTGTTTCATTCTTTTGAGCTGAATGAGGAACAATAATTTGACTTTCTAGTTCAGTAGTAAGAATGTTGCCTCTATTCCCAAGAGTAAAAACTGTAGACCTATTCTTTAAAGAGGGCTTTGATGAAAATATACTTATGACGAGTCAAGAAAAAGAGACAAAGAAAATGAGTAGTAAAATTATTTTTAAAAAAACACAAACAATTCTTCTTACAAAAATTATGTTTAAATAAAGTGAAAAATTTCAAATGTCTTCAGAATTTCTAGATTTACAGAAGATTATATAGAACTTTTGTAAATTTGGAAAGTGTATTTTTCCATAAAAACTTTACCATGAATAGAAATAAAAACTTCTTATTTAGTAAAGAAATCAATCATAAAAATAATTAAGGCTGCATTAATATTCTTAGTTTACTCCTCTTAAGAAAGTAATTTTTTTCTCCCTTTAATTGCTCTTTTTTTCCAATTACTCTTTAAAAGTGCTCATTTAACTACCAAACATTTAACTACTTCAGTAACATTTAACTACCAAAGAGCACTTGATATTTATGAAGGTAACCCAAACAGTAAGGGGATGAAATTGTGTTACTGTAAGTTTCAGAAAAAATAATTGCCCTACATAAATTCAATTAATTTTTAAAAAATTTACATAAAAGAGACATGGAAAAACAGTACAAAAAAAGGATATCTCTCTTTGCAGTATCTTCTACTCCCATTAAATCATCACGATCAGCTAACTCCTCAAACTAAAATGGTGAAATAAACACATAAGAAATAAGTAGAAAATTAAATATAAAATGCAAATATAATGGATGGATGGACTATACATGACAAAAAAAGTATTATACAGTAGAGTCCCGATTATCCGAGTTAATGTGGACCACGACTAACTCGGATAACCCAAAAACTCTGTTAAAGGGAAGAGTATTAAAATGGAAAAAAAAAAAAGATTAGGTATAAATGTAATATTAAATGCAGAGTTTATACGAGTTCACCACCTACAATTCATATTATAATTAAAACCTTGCTTAAAAACACTTAAAAAGCGTACTTAACGAGGATTAATGAGTTTTTACTAAAAAAAAGTCCTTAATCGTTTTTTGCCTTACATTACTTTGGCATGTTTTGCCATTTTTGAGCTATAAACAAGAAAGCTGGTGTCGCCTCCTCTTGTTGTTCAATATATTCAATATCACTTTCGATAGCTTTTATAATGATTTTTTTATGTTGAGAGATTTTTATATGTTGATTTTTATCATCACTGTCTTCATCATCTTCGCTAGATTCATTTTCATTTCTGACGATATTAACTATCATTTCATATGTAATCTCGTGTTGTCCTTCAGCTTGTTTTACTGAGTGTTTGGAAGATAAAATTCAGAATTTTTTTCTTCGGTAGTTTTAAAAATAAACTAAAAAAAAAAGATCTGTGAAATATTTGATAGCTCGGTTAAAGCGGAAACTCGGATAATTGGGGCTCAGATAATCGGGACTCTACTGTACTTAAAAGCTGCTTCTGAATTACTTTATGCTACAGTTAGTTCCTCCATCAATAAAGTTGTTTGGAAAAAAAGTTAGTTTTTAGTACAGTTTGTTTAAAATAAAGTCACAATGAATTCATTAAGCAAATAAAAACATAATTGAGAAAATATAAAGATATTTTTTTGAAAAAAAAACTATATAAGGACTTATTTACTAAAATAAGTCTTAAAAAAGAAGAAAACAGCAGAACTACAAAAAAAAATATTTAAAAAATTCCTATTTCATTGCTATAATTTCTTTAAAACATGAATTCATTTGTAATTTATATTAATTTTTTGCTGTTCGTGTTTTCTTTAACTTATTTTTTGCTTTAATTTCATTACATATTTTTTATTTGTTTATAGATTTATTTCTTAAAATTTGCATTAAGAGCAATATATATGTACACTAGAGAAAAAATGCCTTTTAAATTCCAAGTCCAAAAGTTTGTTTCAGATATTAATTTCCTTTTTAAAAATATTGTAATAAATTTGGTACTTAATGTTATAATATAGATCTTTGGTATAAAAAAATAAATAAATAAAAAAAATTTAAAAACTTCATTAAATCTGTCAGATTTTTTTTAAAAATAGTATTTTAGACAGAATTTAAAAGAAAATATCTTTGAAATTTAATTAGTACACAAAAGATAGAAATATAGAAGCTAAAAGAGATATCATGAAAACAAAGTACAGAATATCAATAATATAAAGAGAAATGTAATTTAGTATTCTAATAATATTAATTATAGCACTTCATATTTGAAGTTCTTTTGATCATTATATTTATTCCAAAACACATTATTTCTTTAAATACACAAAAATTTGAAGAAATAATTTATTAAATATGCATCTAGTAATATTTTTTTTATTCATTTTTAAAAAGAATTGAAATGTACAAATTTTTAAGTATCCAGTGTTAAAAATACATAATAAATACCATACTTATCTAATAGAATAATTAAACTGAGAATTATTTATTATTGTACTGAACAAATATCAAATAAGATATACCTACTTGTAGTTTCATTAGACGACTTGTATACATTTTGAAATAAGAAAATAAAATCTTGCTCATTGTATCCAAATATTCTTCTCTAACCTCACGAGCAATGTCCCGTTCGTGTGTCATAAGAAATTGATAAAAGAACTTGTACTTCAGCAATGCATTTTGGGGAATTTGATAATTTGTCATTGGCTTCCGAAATGAATAAATCTTTTGCAACAAAAATTCACGTATTTTTGTAATTGCCTAAAAATAAAGGATTTATCAATTAATTTTCAAACAGCAACAACAAGCAATTAATACATAAAAACTAAATATTAAAAATGTTTTACTAGATTCGCCCTTCAGTAATTTTAAAATCTTTATTTAGACTATATCTAAACTATATTTAAACTAGATAATGTTAATAATTTTAAAATGTTTGTAGATGATAATTGATAATTTCAACATTTAATAAAAAAGTTTAAAAAAAATTTCTATGTTGTCTAGCTTACCAGTCTTACCACTGTAATTCATTTATTACAAATAATACAATCAAATAATTAGAAAAAAATGCATGAAGTACGGGGCATATTACAAACTGATAAGTGCTGAACAATGCACATTTTTTAAAAAAAAAGGGGGGATACTTATGAGTGAGCAGCGATAGCTTAAACATAGTAATTTCTAAATCACCCATTAAAATACTTTTAAGTGTAATAAAAGAAATTATCAATTAATTGTAATTTGTTTTATACAATTAAAGAAAAAAATTATAAAATTATATTTATACAATACATATGATTAATTGGAAACATAAAAGAGCAAAACAATACTTTTATTTTTAGTTTCTCTAGCACATCTTTAACATCTTGGCAACATTTTGCATCTTTAAATGACTGCTCCTTAACAAATGCAATTTTATGATCTAGAATCTGCAGATCTTCTAAAAATTCTTTATCAGTAACTGGTGATTCAATGATATGCCTAATGAAACATAAGTATAAAATATATTTAGTAGAACAAGCAAAAAAATTGACAAAAAATTAAAAACTATCTTTCACTATTTATAAAGAATGAATCCAAGGTTTAATCTAATGACATAAAAGTCAGAGGACACAATACTGCAATGAAAGAATGAACCAATGTAATTTTATAAACTCGAGGTCAGAAAATCTAATTGTTCTGTAAATCTGAAAGGAAAAAGTAAAAAGAAACAAGCAAAAGTAAACAAAATTGGAAAAAAAGGCCTCTAGAGTATTTCAGATTTGGTAAGTAAAAAATACTTTAAAACAGTACTGCAAGTCTGTTGGAAAAAAAATAAAACATTGTTGGAGAAAAAAAAAACCTCAATTTGGAATGATTCATAAGTATAAAACTTTAATAAAACAGCACTTCAAATCTAATGAAAACAACAATCACTAGGATGCATCAAATTCAAATTTGTAGAATTCAGAATTATAAAATTATGTTAAATGAAACTAAACTGAGCAATACCCTTATAAACTAAAGTCATACTAGCATAATTTAAATTATTTACAGCAGAGTTTTAAAAAAATTTAAGTAGTTCCAGCAATTTTTGTTATAATAGCTCTTGATGACATTAACACTTACACCAATTTATACTGACTTATAGATTTTCTTTTTTTTAATTTAAGTTCTTAAAGTCAATAATGAAAATAAAGCAATTTAAAAATAAAGCTATGATGAAAATAAGCTATGACGAAAATAGAGCAAATGGAATCAATTTTTTTTTTGTTATATGAATAGATATTATTCTAATAATATTAGTAACATAATTTAAGAAAATTGGACTTATTTTGTAACTTGACTGTATTTCTTTCTGTTAAAAAAAATCATGATGATTAAATCTTAAGAGATTGCTTAACCATTTAAAAAAAAAGAAAAGGAATAATTCTTTAGAAAAAAAAATTTATTAGTATTACATTTATTTTTGAAGCATTTTTAAATAGTGAAATTACAAAAATCAGCAAATAATTTTTAAAATAAATATATAAAAATCAAATTAATTTTTTATATGGAGTTGCTTGGTTAAAAAATAACTATGAAATCTGTTTTTTTTTCTTTGTTTTTTTAATTATTTGAAAAGTTTTTGCAAAAAAATGGGGTTAAGCTGTTTTACACAACCAAAGTGTGTTTCAAAACCTATTTGTGATAAAATAATATAATAAAAACATTCAAAAAGGTTTTAATAAAAAAAAGTGATGAATATCTTACTGAATTAAATTATCTTGAACTATCATATCATCCACAAATTGGCTTAATTCTCCTCTGATTGCCTATAAATTGAAATATAATAAATATCACAATCAAAATAAATAATAGTACATATTAAGGGTTGAGAACAAAAAACTATGTTGAACTTTAAAAAAAAGTAAAATCTCAAATTTTAAATCAACAGTACATTGATACGAAAAAACTTTTGATATTCAATAAAATGTTTGGCCACCAAATAATTTTTTTTTAGGAACTTCCATCCATTAATTAGATTTGAATGAAAATTCTTTTCTAAAAAAATTATTTTTTTATTGTATTGAGCTCTTAATAAGTCTTGAGACTTGTACTGAAATGATAAATGATGGATAAAGCAAAGTACAAAAAATTAACACAACATCAACAAGCACATTTAAATTAACATAGAAGTGTGTCGGAAGAAACTTAATGCGTCAAATATTTTAAAATTAAGTTTTTGGTATCTTGATAATTAATTTGAAATATTTTTAATTTTTAGTCCAATTTTAGTTTTATTGATTAAGACATAATGCAAATATTTAGATATTTTCAAATTATCAAAAACAATGAAAAATAAAACTTCATGGTGGGATAAAACATTTCTAAGTGTTTTCTTTGTGTTGAATAATTAACCAATATGTGCAAGAAACCTGCTTTTTATCATGTTATTCTGCATGAAAACGGCAAAACTCTTATTCTTTATATGGCAAACAATTTTATAGGATTCTATAGTTTCTACCAAATAATTTTATCAAATAATGAAAATACATGTCTTTTCTGTTAAATCATTAAAGAAATATTGAAACCGATTTCTCTCACATCATTTATATGAAAATGTTTTATATAATGTTTCCCTTTTGAAATTCTATCTTCCATTAATTATTCTGAAAAAATAATTAATGATTTTGAAAAAATTATTAATGAAAGATAGGGGTATGTTGCTAAATAATTTGTTCGTGGTTAGGAACCACAGGTGAATAAAAGTACTTGATTATAGTTTGATAGAGATAAAATATGTGGAACTAACTTGACGATTCTTGAGTCGAATATTCATAGATACTGACTGTTGCTGCAAAGTTAGAATTTCTTTACTTATGCTACCTAGGTCAGTTTGAAACAATCGTAGCATTTGCTCCATTCTCTAAAATAAAATACATAAATACAAAAATAATTTTAAATAAATAATTAACACTCTAATAAAATAAAAAACATTTAAAAATTAATCAGTGTTACATATTTATTAGGCACATAAATGTATTTTAAAAATAAATTAAAAACTTTTAAATCATTAAACCTGTTTAACTAGGGTCAGAAAAAAACCTGGCTCTTTTTTTAAAAAAAGCAAAAAAACATATTGGTTTATTTATTTCAAATTTTTAATTAATTTTCGAAGTATTAAAAGTATTTAGATTTTATTTATAAGTTAGACTATAGGATTTCATTAACATAGAAAATATTAAAACTTATCAATTGACATACCTCATAATAATAATAATAAAACTATTGCAACTCCAAAATGATTTCTCTTAAACAATAAATGAAAAATAAACAATAAATAAAAAATGCTAAAATAATGCCTAATTTTTCAAATGTTTGTTAAAATTTCATCAAAAAAGCATGTCAGTTATTAATAGTCATGTTTATATCATTCTAAATTTAACACGTTCGTTGCTATCAAAGCGCTAGGGAGACAAAGCGGCACCTCCTGGTATGCCGACGACGCGTTAATCCGTCGATCGACTATAAGTTATATTTGGTTATATGCTCTGTGTTTAGTGTGGCTTTGGGAGTTGAACGGAGAGGTTGTTTCGGCACGTTAGTGAAGCATTATCTTTTTTATTTTTTGTGATTGGTTTTCAAAATTTTTGTTTGAATTTTGTTGTGTGCGTGACTGCCAATATCTGTATATTGTGCTTATTATTTGTAAATACATTCAGTATTGTTTCAGATATGGTACTACATATACTTGAATGGTATTCCGTTTTATTCCTTTCAAGCTGCTATTTTATGCAATATGCCAGTAATTTCTGAGAATATTGATCAGACACGCTGGAGCGTCAGTGGTACTCACGAAGACAGGTAAAGTCTGTGTGCCACTGACGCTCCAGAGCATCGGAAAAAAACACTCTATAAACAGAAAAATAATATGTTTCTTCGTTTTTCTGGTTTTACTAGTAAAATATAAGGAACATTTAAACCATTAAAACCCTGTTTTGTGATCCGGCTTCTGAAGATGGAAACATAATTTTTAGTGGCAGCTAATGTGTTAACATAAAAAAACTATAATGATCTAAATTAAACATTCTTACATTCATTACATTGTGTTTCAGTGAAATTTTTATTAGTGTTTACTAATAAAAATTTCACTGAAACACATTTTACCAATGTAAAATTGTGGTTTTTTATCATAATAAAATACAAAATTTTTTAAACAGGGTAATTATTATTTCTAATTCTTTTTTAATTTTCTAAAAAAAAAACTTAAGACTTGACAACTGTTCTCAATTTTATGTCTTAAAATATGAAATATGACTTAATAAATAAAATATTGCCTAACAAATAAAAACCTTAGGATAAAATTCTAATAGATCCAGCAAATAAATAACTTCTAAACCTTCATTTGAACTCCAACCAGTAAGAATACATTTTTAAATTATAAAAATCGCTTAGTTTTTTAGTTTTATAATTTGATTCAAATTTATTTTACAATTGATTAATACAATTTCTCTTAAGAGAGCTACAATTTAAATCACATACCTCAAGAATTTCATCACAAGCAGTAATTTGATTATGAAGACTAGCAATATTTTGACTTTCTTGGATATCTTAGACAGTTTAGAAAATATGTTCAGAAAAATGTACAATATATAAGTCATAATACAATAATCATTCAATAGATTAATAATTTGTTAAAGCAATGATACGTAATACTAGGACATACATCTAATCTTTGTTACATACCACATAAACAATAAACAAATTATGAAAGCCATTACCCAAAAACCATCTGTAAAATTAAGTTAAGCAGCTGCTCATTCATCCACATCAGATCACTAGCCTCCCAATACCTTCCAAAAATATGGTTACTAAATAGTGCAGGCCACAATAGTTAAGATTGTATGATAATAATCTATGGTAAACATCAGACGATTGATCCTGAACAAATCTCTATTTCAAGTACATGAAGGGCTTATATTTCAAATTAACATAAAATTTGAAAAATAGCCATGCAGATCACAATGTAATGAAGAAGTAAGTACAATAAACACAAAATCATCATCACTCAACCATAACCAAGCACCTAGCCCATTTACAGGGGTAGCAGTAAAGTTTTTTAAAATTTTAGGGTAATTTTAGGAACTTTTTTCAAAAAATTTTAGGTACATTTTAGGGGTAATATATGATTTTGCTAGGATAAAAACACATCACACGGTAGTTTATTACATAACAGAAGATTATTACAATTCATCCACACACATCATAAATAATTGCAAGCCATAAAATAAAGCTCTGAAATTTATTAAGTCAAGAATGAAATCTCTGAAGTGTAAAAATGAAATTTCAACTTTACATATTACCTATCAGAAATTAAGTACATAATTCAGGAAAAGGGGCAAAAGTGAGAATAAATCAAGAGAAAAAATAAATTAACACCAACTTGGATTTTTATTTAATTTTTACAGGGTGGCCACTCAAATCAGATTTCAAATTTCCCTGATTTTTCCAGGTTTTCCAGATAAAATCATAAAATTTCCAGGTTTTTGTTTCTTTCATCTTATACAAGGTAGGAAAAGTGTTTATATTATAAAATATTTCATTCAAAATGTTATTTTTTTAACATATAATTTTGAAAAAAAAAAAATTTATTTTGACAATTTGGCAAGATTTTTTATTTATTTTTTAATGTTTTGAATCAAAAATCAAATATTGACCAACAAAAGAGTAAAATTAAATATTAATATATAGTTAGTTCTTAAAAAAACCTTTTTTTAAAAAAATTAAAATATGTTATAAAAGGTTAAAATGAAATAGAAAAAAATAACAATTGTAACAATTTGTCGACAAACATTGCTGTTAGCGATTGTAAAAAAATGTGTGATTGGTTGGTTTGCTAAGAAAAAAAAATTCACAGATTTCTTTGAATGGGAATACAAAAGCTTTCAGAAAAAGAGTGCAACATAAAATCTATTATTATTAAATTATACCCAACTAATTTTTGGAGAATTTTATAAAGTTAAAAATACAAAAACATTTAGTCAAAATGGAAAAAAATTACCACGAAAGCATCAGAACAAACTTGAGCCATAAATGGATTCAACCCAAGGACAGAATTTAAAAACAGAAGCTAATATCCTAATACCCTCTTCCACCACAATCTTTCCTCAATTGCACAGTCCCATAGCGGTCAAAGGTTTCTACATTCGTTTAGCAACCGTGGAAGAATTTTATGTGGCATTCTAGTTTAACAGAGCTGTAATGGAGCGAATTTTGATGCAAGCAAAGTATCGCTAAGTTGATGATATTTCAACTGTTTGGAGATACATTTCCGTCTAAAAAAAGTGGGTATAATGGATGAAATAATTTAAATTAAGAAAATTAGTAAATAATTTGAATTAGTGAAATGTAAAAAATTATCAAAGAAAAGATTTCCAACTTTTCTTTAAAATTCCCTGATTTTTCCAGGTTTTTATCCAAATTTCCCTGATTTTTCCAGGTTTTTTCCAGTATAAAAAAATTCCCTGATAATTCCAGGTTTTCCAGGTGGGTGGCCACCCTGTTATACCTTCTTAATCAAAACTTTATTATTACCCTTTACCATACTTTATTAAAAAAAACTATTGGGTGATATTATTAGATTTCAAATCAGCAATTTATATTAGAAGTTAGAGAAAAACAAATTAATCATAATCATTTTTCTAATATATTCTTGATATGATTTGTGAGATTCTTTTACTGCCCTCAATAGTGTTGTGGTGATCTTCAACACTCCTCCATAATTTCGAATGGTATCTTTGATTAGTCTAAGAGACATAATAGTATTCTCATGGTGACTCACATTAAGCATTGCTTTATTTATTGAAAAACCTCTCTCAGGATCAGAATTTTAGGAACACCAACAAAATTTTATCAGATTTTTAGGAATTTTAGGGTTTGCACATAGTTTTAGGAATTTTATGAATTTTAGGGGGAATGCGACCCCTGCATTTAGGACTATCTTTTAACAGCCATGGCAAGAATATCACGTAAATCTTGACCCTGATCAGATGATGTGGACAACATCTGAACTGGTGCACCTCTTTCCAAACTTCCATACCACTACCAATGAGAGGATTTTCAAGTACGACAGATTAAAAGTTAAACTGGTGTGTGCACCTTGCTCAGTATGTATGCTGGTTGTTTTGCTGAGATCAAACTCACGAACCCCAACCAGCATTGTGAAAGATGCCCTAATAAACTGTGTTACCGGAATGCCAATAAACAAAATACTAACAATAATAGCCTCTGAATGACAGGTTAAGATATTACGAATAAATAAACTCACACTATTTTTTATAACATTGACTATAAATACAATTTTTACAAGCAAATGAATAAAACAGTCATTAGCTATAAAAATTCAATATTGCATATCATAAGGATACAATCTTGAATGGATGCATTTTCAACGTCTTTCAGTTCTTTCTCAATCTGTTTTGAATATTGCCTTAAATCCATACCCTTTAAAAATCAAAAGAAAAAAGATGATTTCAAAATAACAGAAAAATAAAAGAATGTATAAATTTTAAAAAAGTGGAACAGCAATTGTTGCAATAACTTCAAAATGTAGAGGTACTAATTTAAGGGGTCAAAAGATTTCAATTTTTTATTATTTCAATTCCTTATAATCAAATTTATTTAACTTACTTAGTTAAAAATTTAAAAACGTAAGTAGTTCATATATAGTAAGAAAAAATTTCACAGAAAAAGGTAAAAATTTACTATAATCCAATTTTATTGAAGACAAAGTTTACAAACTTCGATGTTATTATTATTATTAAGAATAATTTATATAATTCATATTACACTAAGAAATAATTATGCTATTATTAATCTATATAAAATCTAAATTCAATCATTTTTTTACAACCCTCTTTCACAAAAGGTTGTGAACTCTTTTTATAACAACTTTATGACTAAAATCGCATTCGTTAGCAAAATATTAAATGACGCAAAAAATTACTCATTTCAGAGGTAAAAAAACAAACCATATAAAATGAGAATATACTTACAGATTTAAGGGCTTCTTTAATAAAATCATCTTCTAAGTTTTCTTGTATATGGACTATAAAAAGAAGCATTGCTTTATTAAAAAATATTGTGACAATATTGCTTAAAGATAAAAGAAAAATGGAGGAAGTGCAATTTAATGACTACAAACTAATAAAAATCAGAAGACAACACAAATATTTAACATACCATCCACTTCTTCAAAGTTTGATTCATCATTTACATAAGAATCATCACCAAATAATAATGAGTCAGCAAATGATACTTCTTCAGAGGTCTAAAACAAATTAACATTATTGTGTATAATTTAAAGAAAATATCAAAGCACAATGATGCGTGACAGTTATAAAATAATAGTAAAATATTAACATAAGATAGATAATAAAAGATCACAAATACTGCTTTTCAAACTTAGTGGTCGTTCACAGCATAAAATAGGCATTTAGAAAAGTTCCATTGCAGCTAATTGCAAAGTACAGTAGTAATGTTAACACAAATAGTCAAAATCTGTTAAAAGTATAAAAAGCATATAAGAATAACTGTAATTTCAGATTCGTAAATAGAATTAAAAATTCTACTTTTGTTTCTGATTGTAAGTTTTAGTTAGACTCAGTTCCTAAAACATATATAGCAAGCTGCATTACACATAACTTAATACTTAGCATCTATAAATCTGAAAAAATCATGAAAAAGCTATATCAATGAACGAACAAATAAATTTCTCAACAAACCAATGAGTGAGAGAATAGAATAGATGAATTAGCTAATTGATGAACAAATAAATAAAAAATTCATCAATAAGTTTATTAATAAATGACAAAATTTATAATTCAGTGAATGGGCAAATTAATAAATTAGTTAATCTACTAATTTCATTATTATTGATTCACATTTTTTCATTTGTCTATTCCTTTATGTCTTCATTTATCAACTTGATGAGTCACTTAATGAATTGCTGATTTATGTAACAATTGGTTAATTTGTTTTCTCCATACCTAGAAATGACTTTTAAGTGTAATTTGATTGCTATGTGTTATCCATGTATAAAGAATGTGCATGAACTAAAACTGACAGTAAAGAAGCAAAATTAAAATTTTAATTTGAGTCTGTCGTAACATCTATAGTTAAATCGCAAAATAATGGGAGTTCATGCGTAGATACTCGCAAATTTTTAAAAATAATTAGACAAAAAGGATTCTGGTAACTTGAACAATTCTATGACTATTTATAGTAACAGGAACAATATTATGGTTATTTACGGTAACAGGAACAATAATGTGGCTATTTATAGCATCAAGAACAATACTATAGTAACAGGAACAACACTAAGGCTGTACATGAAATAATAACAAAGTGTTAGCAATTTGTATGCAGAGTTACACACTACAAACAGTGTTGTATTAGTATCATTTTTTAATGGGAATAAGCAAAAAATTCTAACATTTTATATATTTAAGAACATCTAGAAGTGCTTAGAGAAAACATGTACAATAAATTTTGTTTCTAAATACATTTGAATGCCATTTAAAATACATCTGCTTTAAAATAAGGTTTCTTCTTAAAGTTTTTAAAGTAACATTTCTAAATACAACCATTTTAAAGTAAGTTTTCCTTTCATGGTACCGTGAGAGTTGTTGTTGTTAATTTACGTTGCACTAGAGCTGCACAATGGGCTATTGGCGACGGTCTGGGAAACATCCCGGAGGATGATCCGAAGACATGCCATCACAATTTTGATCCTCTGTTGAGGGGATGGCACCCCCGCTTCGGTAGCCCGACGACCTGCGCGCGAAGTCAAGCACTTAACGATAGCACAGTTTAACGAGGACCAATACCGCACACCCTTGGTCCCTACGCAGACTGATCCAAGTGGTCACCCACCCGCACACTGACCGCAGCCAGTGATGCTTGACTTCGGTGATGGTACCGTGAGAGATTCATCTGATTATTCACATCAAATATACCCGCAGAAGCAGCAAGAAATAATGCAGCACACACAACTTTCATTTAACAAAATTTAAAATTGACAAGAAACTACAAAAATTCACAAAAGAAGAATTTTATTGAAGAAAAAAAAATATTGAAAAAGTATTAAAGGTACTTTCATTACTGTTGATTTATTAACTAGGCAAATTCATATTCAAATATTTGAACTGTGGCAAATTTGTACAAAAAATTCAAAACAAAGATTTACTAACTTAACTTTCAATAGAATAACATGGAGAAAACATGCTATCTTATTGCAGGACAACGAATGGATCCTACACCAAACTTAGTTGGCGATCAACAAGTGAAGGTAAGGAAATTTCCTTATCTTCACTTGTAAAAATGGAAAATATTAAATTATATTTATCATTTAATAAAAAAAAATTTATAAAATTTATGTACCATTTAATAAAAATTATATAAATTTTAAAAAAAACTTATATTATAAACAGTAATCGAAACATGTATTACAACATGTGCCATAAAATAGATAGATTATATTCCTAGCGACATTTATAAAAAGAGATTATTAAAAAACTTATTGTAAATAAATATTAATAAAATGTGTTTACTTTTTCTAGATCTAATGGAAATTCTGACTTTGTTTTTTCCATCTTTACTGTTTTCTAATCTGAAAAGATAAATCAGATAAACTCACTTAATTAAAATGAAAATAAATTATAAATAAAATTAAAAAAATGCATATTTATTGCATTAAGGAAAATCTTTTCCACTATTTTAAAATGCATTTTAAAACAAAAATCAAGGATAGAGTATTAAACAGCTAACTTTGCTAACAACTAACAGTTTATGCTAACTACCATCCTCCAGATGCCAATGGGTTTTTCAACTTGCAAAAATAGAAGAAAAAAATATATGTAACAGTTTGCCTGAAGTAATAAAGGGGTTCCAAGTCGATAGACTTCTGCAAAGAGTTTTATAAATTATTATTTGTTAATGCCCATTGTCATCAAAAATTTTATGACTTTTGTGGCAAAAGTTCCAAAATAAAGATCTCAGCGGATGAAAAAATGATAAAAAAAAGACCATAGAATGACAAATATTTCAGATGGTAGCTAGCAGCGCAAATTTATGACTTAGCCCATTCAGTGTAATAATAAAACACTCAATACACTAATTCAGTTAAAGAACACAAAACTTCATGTGACATTAAGCATTATTTTAAAAATCAATCACAAAATTTCCCCATGATATCAGAGCTTTAGTTAAACAAACATAATACCAAATATTAAAATAAAGACTTATTGCTCTTGTGATTTAATTTCTTTACAGAATATTTGCATACATATAATTATAATATATTCTGGTATACACAGTATAATTATATTCTGGTAATGGTTTGTCTGGTGACTACAAGTTAGGGGATATTTCCATTTCGTGATTTGTTGGGCCAAATATAAACTATTGTCAAGGTGCCAAATAGATTTCAAACTTGCAAATGTTTTTTTTTAAAAAAAACATGTAGATATTTGCTCAGGGCTGACTAAGAGAGTTGGTCTCTTTCTATGATGTTCTTTTTAGTTTCTCATGGGAAGCCGACTGGAAGTTCCCAAGACTTGACGGTTATCCTGCCACAGATAACGATACGGAAATCTACCCACAAGTTATACCCTTAAATGATTTATCGTTTCTTTTGTGATTTCTGGGGTGCTTCTGTATGGTCCGAGCCAAAATTTAGGGACTTTTTGAAGCAAGGACGGACACAGAATTTCAACAGCACTCGTATAATCAATTTAAGCAAAAAATATGAGCCAACTATGGAAAAACTAAGACTGGCTAATTAGAAGAAAACCATACTTCATATACTCACTTAACTCCAAGTTAATAACATTAATAGACTTCTGTTCCACTTTCAAAAGATTATTCCAAAAACCAAGAGCGTATATTGCTTATTTTTACAACGTTTCAATAAAATTATACAATATGTAAGCCTTACGTGGCTTTCATTAATGGAAAAACTCTTGCTTCAAAATATTTAAAATTATGAATAAGTAAATTATGAAGGAGAGTCTAAAATTAAAGATAAATATGAAATTGCTACTCTAAAAATAATTAAATTGATTTGTGAATAAAATATGTGTACAAATAAATAAAATATATATGGTTTTAATAAAAAAAATATGTACATACAAACCATTCTTAACTAACGAGCATAATAAATTTTAAGTATTTGACATTCAAAGCTTTATGAAACTCATAATTAAAAATACTTTAAGATTCCAAACTTATTACATTTTTTAATAATAAACTTTATCACACCCAGGGCACACCAGAAAATTTAGTATTAAAAATTTATTAAAATTTAGTATTTCTCTTCGCTGGCACTTCCATCAAATCAAAACAAAAACATTGCCTTTTAATCACGGTTATGTATGTCCACAGCTTGGCAAACAATGGTCCACAGACACTAAAAAAGTTACCAGAAAGTTATTGGCAATCGAAATGAGCTACAGATGGCGCAGAGTGGAACTCTCTACCTATGGCAATACTTTACATTCCTTCACCACTAGCGCGTGGAGAGTCATAGAAGGAGGAAGTGCGTTAGTTTCTGTCTTGATTTTCAAATAGACTAAAGTATTTTAAGTTAGGAAACTATAAAGAACTGAAAACTACATTAAACATAGTTTTAAAAGAGAGCGTCATGGAAATTTAAAAGAATATTTTTTACAATTAAATACAAAAAATATTAAGAAAAGGAAAAATATCGTAGTACAGAAATGTACTACATTTTTTTTTTCATTTGTAATTACTTAAGGTGGGACAAACGATGCCCGACACGAGAGAAATTGCCCCCTCTGACCACCTACTGGTGCCGCCCTTGCACAGATTACGTATTCTCGTGTTGCAATCACGAATAGTTCGAGAATAATTACTATTAAACTTCGTAATTTACCTTTAAACTTGTAATATAAAAATAACAAGGTGTACTTTTTACCTCGACGAAATGCGACTGCATAGTCTTACTGGCAGATAAATTTTTATTTATGAGCGTAATTTGAATTTTTTTTTTTTTTAATCCAATTTTCTCGAAAGTTATTGCAATTTTGAGTGCTCATTTTGTGACTCTTTGATGTTAAATTCTTAATATAATTTTTTTTTTAAAAAGAAGAAAATTAAAAAAAAAATTTTCATATTTTCAACAAATTTTTAATTAAATTTATAATATTATAGTTTCCTTTGTAGTCTATATTATACAGTAATATTTGGTTACACGTATGCTCCGCAACCCTGAGTCGAATATTTCTTTTCTCCTGTTTTATTTAATTATATTTATCTGTTTTCGCATTAATTAATTGAATCACCGTCCTATAGAGCCAAGCTAAATTATAGGTAGAAGAAAAATGAAGCTTACATATAAAAGGAGAAATTATTTTGTTAAGTAAGAAAGAAAACGTTATTTCAAATTTAAAAAAAAAAAATTATAAATAAAATAAAAAAAATCGGACATTTTCACTTTTTTTTAAAAAAAAAAAGCTTTTGAAAGAATAAATGATATTAGAAGTATGAGCAACGACGTTTTTTAAATCAAATATTTTTTATTTCAAGAAAATTACTAGTTTTTTCATAAGTATATTTTTAGATAGAAGAAAAAATTATTTTAACCTCTATTTTAACCTGTTATGATCCTTAAAATTTAGCTGAAAGTAGTTTTTTCAAACCAGCAATAATTTTTTCCGTTTTTCTCGATTCCAATTTATTTTAATTTAAATAAGTAAAAAATAAATTTTCAAATATAAATAAGCAAAAATAGAATTAGAATAATTCTGTAAATAAAACATATAATTATTATAATTTTGTTACTTTGTAAATTGTAACGAAATGAACGATTACCTAGATCAGTGCTTCCCACACTTATGACTTTTGTGTACCTTTTCTAACTTTTTTGTAACGCTGCGTACCACTAATAAAAAAAATGAATGCATTTTTTTAAAAATGTGTTTATTTTTCCTTTTTAGTGCAAAGTTTTGCTAATAATTTTATTTGCATCAGTGAGAAGGATGGTATTGTTTTTGTTGTGATAAGTTAAAAATCACAACTGGCTGTTGAGAAAACTAATTAACTCTATTAACTTTGCAAAAAATAGCCAATAGAAAAATACATAATCCTAAATTTTAATCGCTAGCTTTATTTATAAATAAAATTCTTTGAAATTTTCGTTTGTTGCGAAATATTTCGCATAAGAACGCGTACCCCCACTAAACTGTTCCCTTACCCCTGGGGATACGCGTACCACACTATGGGAAACACTGACCTAGACCTTAATTTCAAAAATTATCAATTGTATTTAAAAAAAATATATAACTTTGAACTTACCAAATGTATGATACAACTAGAAGAAATACTTTTTTTCCAACACCCACTTGGAGAATGGCCTTACGTCATACAGGAATCTCAAGGGCAGATTTGCTAGCTACTCTTTCAGGGGCAACATATAAGGGGGGCCAACGTTGCTCCCACAATAAGGACAGATAGTACAGAGAATGAAGAACATCTATGCCTTGTCCGGAATTTGAACCACGAACCTTTCTAATGTAAGGCCAGTTCCCTGACCCCTACACAGGCCGGTCGGTGAAGAAATAAATAGGAAAAAGTTTTACTCATAAAACGACAGCCTTATATCATTACAAACAGTTCACATTAAAGAAACACTTTTTTATCTCTCTTAACTCTTAAATTAAGCCCTTTTTTTCCTTCATATATAAGAAAATTTTGCTATCAATGTGAAGTTTTATCGACGGCATTATCTAATTTCTCTATTTTTCTGTTTTTTTTTTCTTTTTTTAAACATCAAATTCAAGTGCGAATTTGTGAAATAATGAAATCGAGAGAGATAAATAGAATTGTCCTAAACAATGAATAAATAGTCCTTATTTAAATTAAAAAAAAGTGTGAAAAAAAATTCACAGAAGAAGTATTTAAGTTGAAATAATTTCGAAAATTGAAATATGGAAGGAAAAAAAACTAGAACTATTTTCATTATTAAAATTTTTCTACTTTAGATAGTCAAATTTCAACTCTGTAGTTATAGGCTCGTATACAGCACGTTTAACTATTAAAGCTACTTTTTTTTTATTCCATCATACTACCTAAACATTTTTCTACACCTCTATGTCAATTCATGTTGATGTTTTTGGATAATGTGGATTTTTTCTCAAAACTAGGAGTGTTAGAAATTTAGGGTGACACATTGTGGTTTGAAAAGGGTTCGAGCTTTCGTTCTGACATTAAATACTTAAAAACATTGAAAATATATTTTTACAAATATATCAGATATTTTTATGCCCTCTGCGAACCACCACCTTAATCTGCAACGCACTGTAGACCTACAATACAACTAATGCATCTAATCTCCTTACCACTACATAGTGGTAGAAAGAGGGTGATATGATAGAATGGCAAACAAGCAAGATACCTGAGTGAATTCCTCCTGAGTGAGGTCATATGCTGAACATATAAATGGCTTAATATCCCTTTAATAATCAGATATTATATTGTAACACGCTATATTACCATGTCAAAGAAAATAATTACTGATACATTAAGGGGCCCCGTGCATAATATGGTTACGTTGAGAAACAGCAGAGATTGCTTGAAAAGCTTGATATAAATCGGACAACCAGGTAGAGTGGTAGAGTTTGAGGTATAAATTAAATTATATTGAGGTCCAGGGTCACAGGTACAAAACCCGGCGTTGGTCAATTTTTAAAAAAAATTATATTTAAATTTTTTTTTTATTTTAAAGTTATTTTACGATCTTATTGTAACATAAATAAAATATTCCTTCACTTAATATTATGTTTTTTCTAAGTGCTTACATAATAAACTCATTAAAATTAAGAAATCCTTGCTCATATACAGTGAATATGTAGTTAGCTCCATATCTGTCCTTAATATTAGCCTATAACTATCAAACTCAGTCAAATATTATATGGTAACATACTATACCATATCAAACGAAATAATTATAGACGAAGTAAAGGGCCCACAATGTGGCATAATATAGTTACATTAACAAACCATTGAAATTACTTAAAAAACTTGTTATAAGTCGGACTACCAGGCAGGGCCTGATTACCGAAAAGGCACAGGAAGCAAGTGCTTCCCCTTTTAAATTCTAGGGGGGCCCCCAAATGACTGAAATTAAGGGCCCAATTTCTTATTTTTTGTAGCCAAAAAAATATTAATAATAAAAGAAATAAGAAAAAAAAATGACTCCAACAAAAACTCTCGAAAAGAAAAAAAATGGGATGCTTAATAAATGGGATGCTTTGTGTTGTTTTGCCGCTAGTAAAAAAATTGGCATAAAAAAAGAGACTCTTCTTGCAAAGAACCTTTCGTATAACAACAAGTAACTTTATAATTTAATTTAGTGAAATATTTAAATTTTTTCAACATATGTGCTAGCTACTCCCTCATGTTTTTGTTACTATATATAGTTGGCTACTATACATGTTGGACCCTACTTTACGTGCTTTATAAAGCACGTAAAGAAGGGTCCAACATGATTGCATAGGATCTCTGTATTCCTTTCTAAGGTTCTAATAGTTTTCACATGGTTCTTCCCTTTTTAAAATGTATTGTTTATGGGTGAAAAATATCAAAAGTTTCTTTTGCTCAAGTTAGGGGGGCCCCAAAATCCTATTATGCTTCCCCTATTTTCAGAGGTTAATCGGGCCCTGCTACCAGGTGGACGAGAGTTGGTGGACCGCAGGTTCAAAACCTGGCGTTGGCCAATTTCTCAAAAATTATAATAAGAAAAATATTTTATTTTATTTATTTTCCAATCTTGTAACTGAAATAAAATATTTGTTTACTTAATATTATTTTTTTTTCTAAGTGCGTATTAAATAAAAGCGTAAAATTAAAAATTGTTTTTCATGTACTGCAAATCTATAAATGGCTCCATATCTCCCCTTAATATAAATTCATAAATTTCGAACTTGAACAAATATTATATCTTAACACAACATATTATAATACTAAACTATTGGAAATAATTATTGGCGATCACAGGGAAACTGGGAGAAACCGGTTTCATGCCTTTAGCCCTTCTTCATTCCCTCTCCTCCTCTTTTTAGTTGCATTGGGATGCACTAGGGTGGGTGACCCACTTGGATCAGTCTGCGTAGGGACCGAGGGTGTGCGGTATTGGTCGTCGTTAAACTGTGCTACCGTAAAGTGCTCGATTTCGCGTGCAGGTCGTTCGGCTACCGAAGCGGGGGTGCCATCCCCTCCTCAGAGGATCAAAATTGTGATGGCATGTCTTCGGATCATCCTCAGGGATGTTTCCCAGACCGTCGCCATTGTGCAGCTCTAGTGCGACGTAAATGAACTACTACCACTACTACTACTGGAATGCACTACGATATTTTCCCTTTTCCTAATATTTTTCCTTTTTATTTGATAAAAATATTTTTTAAAATATCCGTGATACTTTTCTTTAGAACTATGTTTAATGTGATTCTCAGTTCCATATAGTTTTTTAACTTTAAAAATTTTAATCTATATGAAAATCAAGAGAGAAACTAAGGTACTTCCTTCCTCTACGACTTTTCCCACACTAATGGGGAAAGCATGTGAAGTGTTGCCATAGGTAGAGAGTTCTGCTCTACGCCATCTGCAGCCCATCTCGCCATATGATTGCATTCATGGGTGCGCTGAAGAACTTCGAATTTCGAGTACAGTGAGAATATTCCTTCAACCTGGTGACATATTTTTTATATGAATTTAGAGAATACAAGCGTAATTAAGAACAATTTACTTTCAGTTTGAATTTGAACTGAATTGACTTAAACTTCGGCTCGGTTTGTGGTCCGTGCGGTATTATATTTACATGGCGTTGATTGTGATACATAGCGTGTAATTATTGTGCATTTTCGTATATAAAAATGGCCTCTACTGACGATAGCAAGATCAATTCATTAGTGTACAATTATTTACTAAAAACTTGTCCAAAGAGTGCTAAAACATTTGCTAAATCTACGAAATCAGTGAGTTTTATTTCATTATTTTAGTTTTTCCGGTTGTTGAACACGTGTTGTGTAAAATTAAATCGTGTATTTATTTCAAAATAAAATTTATTAATTTGTCTTTCAATCTATTTTAAACTTTATTTTTTTCTGTATCTATTCTTTATTTTATTAAATATTTATTTAGGAATTTTGTATAAATTAAATCTGATCTATTCATGAAGTTTCAAACAAAGTAAATTTTTAAATATTATATACTTAAGAGGTTTTTCTGGAATACATTCGTTCTTCTTAAGAGATTTAAATTTATTTTGATGTTCCCTGTTGCTAAATTACAAACCTGCTTCTAATTACTATTTTTTTTATTTGGAGATTTTCATCTTTCAATGCAAATTTATAATTTATGTAAAATTTGTTACCTGAATTAAAAAATCTTGTTTTTCATTACTTTTAAAAATACTTAACATGAGGGGATGGTTTTTAAAAGCCTCTGGATTGTCAAATCGCCTCCTGGTTTACTGAAATTCAATAGTATATATTGATACACTATTGTGAAATTACATCATTCTTATAATATTTTTTTTTTTAATTTACAGTGATTTTTACTTTGAAGATATGTCTTTATCGTGATTTGTGGCAGAATAATCGCTTAGTCTTGGCAACTAGCGGTCAGTGGCCCGCAATAAGCGAAAAAAACATCGCAGAAAGGGATCAACTTAAAGGTGTAACTAATAACCACCCCTAGCAAACATAATCAAGTTATTTTTAAAAAAAAAAAATTTGTAAGTTTAAAGTTTATTCGGCATTTTGGCTCCACAGATCACGATACAGAAATATCATCTTTCCATATTTTGATTTGTTGCACTAACCACAATTGGGGGGATATTTCTGTATCGTGATCTGTCTCGCTAACTACAATTGCCAAGGTGCCAAGTAGATTTTAAACTTGTAAATTTAAAAAAAATAGAAACATGTAGATGTTTGCCCAGGGATAGCTACGAGTTATAACCTTTGGATTTAGTCCCTTTCTGTGATGCTTTTTTTTTTTTTAGTTTCTCGCCGGCCACTGCCCAGAAGTTTCCAAGACTTGGCGATAATTTAGCAACAGATCAAGATATGGAAATCTCCCCTACGACTGTCTGCCACAGTGCCAAATAAATTTTAAATATTTTTTTTTTTTAAAAAAAAAACTTGTTGATATTGCCTGTGGGGATTATTCTCCTTTTTTTGATGCAAAGTTAATGATTTTTAAATGCAGTAAAATTATGTTAAAGCTTTATTTCTTATTGAATCCTCATAAGTTTTCATCTCATTTACAATTTCTAGTTTTGATTATTTATTGTAGAATTAATTTCTGTTATTTTTATAACATTGAAATTTTTTTTAAACTTTAAAATCACCCTTATTGATTTTAAAAATTTTAGTCTTAAGAACTCTTGAAACTTCCCATTCTGGTGGCTTCTCAAAATATTTGATAGTTAAGAACTTTACCAATCATATGAAACTAATTTGACCTCCTTTTCTCATTAAAAATTTATTCTAGCAAAGTTTTTATATCAATTTGATTCATGTTTTCTTTTTGTGTTTTTTTAGAAGTCCTTGCCACCTGGTACACCTACATTGGAACAGCTATTAAGTCAAGGGTATGATTTTGCATAATTGTTTTATGAAAATTGCATAATTGTTATACTAACAAATACTTTTTTTTTCTACTTTCTTTTTTTTTGGGCTATTAACTTTCTGATAGTAAAAATAATTTTAATGTCCACAGATTAGAAATACTCCACCACGGTTGTGGGCGCTGCAGATAGTTTTATATATCAGATTTGAATAATAAAAATTATCACAACACCTGAAGATTATTGTTCATCACATATTTAAAGAACAAGCCTAAACTATTACAGGGAAAAGAGATAGTAAACATTTTTAAATAAATTTTTTAATTCAATTTTATTGCACTATGTGATTTAGGCTTTTAAGAATTTGTTTGCAATTTGTGCGTATATATTTGTGCGTAACTAAAGAAAAGAGCTGATTTTCTAAAAATCTAAGTAATTTGTTAATTGGTATTTTGCAGAATAAAGAATTTAAGGAGCAAGAAAAATTTATAAGATAAATTCTTAATTTCCACAAGTTCTAATTGTGCTTAGGAACAGATTTTAAATTTAAATTATTTCATTATTCTTTTCATTTCAAAGTCGAAATTTTTTTTAAAAATATTAAATAGTGTTTTTTTGCATCATTTTTATTTACCTTATATGTTCTAATTTTGTTTCCATTGTTAAAGGATAGCCTTGGCTATTGCTAGTTGATTGTACTAATTATGCTGCATATATGTCAGATTTAGCCAAATTTTTAACCAAACATATCTAGTCGGACTAAATGTGAGACATATTTGAAGTTTTAAAGATTCTGCTTGACTGTAAAAATTTTGTTATCGAAGTAATATCCCATAAGGATAATGTCATTGTTAATACTCAATATATTATAACCGTTCAAAAGACGAGTTATTGTATGTTCAGGGATATGTCTCTGTTTTTCTGAGAGGTACCTATTTTGTGAAAATTTAGACATAATTTGTGAAAAATTATATTAAAAAATAATCAACGTGAAAATATGGTATAAAATATAAATTTATTGTTTCTTACGGGACACAAAAATAAAATTTTAACAAAAAGTTTTTTGTGAAACTATTGTTTTACCTTAAGTTGAATTTGTGAAGGTACCGCTAAATGGTAGGTAGTAAATTTGGCCTGGACAGACCCTTGAAGTATTGTTTTGTAGAGTGTTGGTATGTTCAGTGTTAAAAGAATAGATTATAATTTGAAATTTTTGCAAATATTTTATCACTCTCTAGGTGCAAATATTTTGATAAATTAAGTAGACTTAATGTTTATAAATTATAATTACATGTTTAGATTCGTCAGAATAAATCTTAATTTTGGTAAAAACATTTTTGAGTCTTCTTAAATGGTTATCTGATCTGAATAGTTAATAATTTGCATATCACTATTTGTTAATTTTTGAATATTAACTAATTGAAAAAAGTGTGTAGTTAGTTATACTCTTCAGGATTTAAAATTGATGGTCCAGTTGTCCAGGACTAATAAAAATTTGCTCTGACCACTATAAATTAATTGTAGGGGTATAAAGAAGCAGCAATTACTATAAAGAAATGGTATGCTGTTTTGCTTTTTTGTTTCAGTTTCGTGATTAGTTCTGTGTTGTAATAAAATAGCATATTTTATGATTGTGAACACTACACACTCTTCTTAGTGACACTTTTCATATAACTTTTTTTTGACGAAAGTTCTAATAGAGATGTAAACAGACCAAGAAAGATGTATAATAACTAATTTAATTATATACTTGTACAGCTTACAACATATAGCTTTAAATAAGGTTGTCCTATTCTTTTGTTTAAGTAAAAATTTATATAATTTGTATACCTTTATTGCTAGGACTGTTTTTGGTAAGTTAGTATATGGTTTAAAATTAATTTTTTGGTTTTGTACAGTTATTAAGTTTATTTAATTAACAATTTGTATTTCAGATCTTCGAAGACAATAGTTCCAGAAGTTGCAAAATCAAGTATGATACATACATTTATGTCAGTTTATTGCTTTTCAGTCAATTTTTGCTTTGGAGTATTTTAAATTCAAATTTCTTAGACCATTCTAAATTACTTCTGGAATGTCCCTTCTGAGTATAAACTAAAAAAATATTTACTCTGAGTTATGAGCTCTCTCTGAATTTAAAATTTTAAATTGTATATATGCTAATTTAAATTTCAAAAATCTAAACTTTCTGAAATCGACACTTAAAATCGTGAGACTTGTTTTTGTCTGGAGAAGGGTCATCCTGAAAATTTTTTTTTTTAAGTTAATTTATGTAAAGTGACTATTTTGAATGGTGATAATTCTCAATGACTTTACCTTTTACTGTTTTTAATGTAAAGTTATTTTTATTATCTACTATTTTTAGTGACTATTTAATCAATTTCTTTCAAACGATTCATTTTTAGTCATTTGAAACAAAATTACATGGAGTTAAAATATGTAAAAATATGAGTACCTTAAATTGTATATTTATTCATAATACTGATGTATCTAATTTATTCTCATAATTATTACATTCCTAATTGTTTGCTAATTATATTGATTTATATTAAAATTAGGGTGAGCTGGATAGATTATTAATTGAATAAAATAATTTTTATTATGCATATTTAGCTCTAAAACTTATAACAGAACCATCTATGCATCCAATCTCAGTTAAATTAATAAATTTTTATCTTGATTCTGGAGTGTAGAATTGGTATCTCTCTTTCTTCTGTCAGTATGCTAACTTAGATAACATTTAGCTATTGTTTTAATTAGAAATTTCACCATTAGTTTTTGAGAAATAGAATTTAAAATATCAGAATGAACTTAAGCAGATATGTTGTTACCACGATTTTATAATAGATTTTATTATGACTTATATAAATTTTGTTAAGCAAGCATTTAATATTGTACATTTTACCATAAAAGCAATGCCATATTTAAATTTTTTTTTTAAACGTGATGTACAGTTTGCGGTATTCTAAAGTTTCAAAAAACAAATTATTATGGAATTATGTTGAATTCAATTTTATATGCCTTTTTTTTCTCACAATTTTCAAGTTTATTCAGACCTGGATTGGTTTGGTGATAAAAACATTTTTTTTTTTTAATTTTTTTTAAAGAAATATTTTAATTCTATTCACAAGCAATTGTAGTTCTTGATAGTTCAAACAATGGTGAATAAGTTTCTGTATTCAGGTTATATAAAAGCTTTGTCATTGTTATGCTCTCCTAACTAGCTAATTATTTACAGAAAGAGGTTAGTCACCTTCATTTATAATGAGGAATTAAGTCTTAAGATTAATGAAAAATCTTTCTAAAAAGGCATGGCCATGAAAGCAAAATTACAATTTTAAAATAAGTTTTAAAAGCGAATTCATTCCTTGTTAGACTTTTGAGTAGTATAACTCAAATCCAATGCATGCAATATGGGACTAGATGCATATTTATAATGCTTAAATCTACCTCTAGGTATTAGGGGTAGCTTTCCTTTTTTTTGTTGCTAATAATAGGTTTGAATAGATCAATCTCTTTGTTTTATTATGATATTTGAATAATTTAAATTTTTTACATGACAATTTACTTAAACATTTTATTTCACAGGCCTGCCAACATCCAGGCTGTTAATGTCCAATGCCAGGAAATAATTTTTCTGCGAAAAAGAAATTTCAGAATTAACTCAGTTTTATGCTTTGACGACGTTTCAGAATTTTTCTTTTAATGTAAAGTCAGTAGCAGAAAAAGTATTGCCTACAGTTGACTATTTAGCATTGTCAGACTCTGTACTTAATTCTGTTCTTTTTCAAAATAGACATTGGCAAATTTGTTGACTGGATAGAGAAACTATATAGAATTTCAGAATAGTTTTTACCTAACATTTTTGAAAAATAATTTGTTTCTCAGTTTGTTTTAAAACTATATAATAATTTGGTATTCTTAAAGGTAAAAAAGTTGTTAAATAAAATTCAAAGAATGTGAATTTTTTTGTTTTGTCTTTATTTTTTTAAAACAATATTATGTTACATTGTATATATAAGTATCAGGTTTTTTTAAAAAATTTCTTAGGTTGGCAGGTCTGATTTTGTGTTTACTCTAAGATATTAAGTATTTTTTTTTTTTTTTAGACACCCAGAAAAGTCCACTAAAATCAAAACAGGTTCCAAAGCAGGATTCATCATCAGATGAGTCTGACAGTGAATCTGAAGATGATTCCTCAAAACTAAAAAAATCAGCAAACACCAGTCTAAAGAAATTGTCACCAAAGGTGCCTGTCAAGAAGAAATCAAGCTCTGATGAATCCAGTTCTGAAGATGAAAAACAAAAACAGAAAAAGTCTCCAGTAAAGCAACAACAGGTTTCTAAAAGTAACAATTTACAACCTAAAGAAAAAAATGAATCCTCTTCAGAAGATTCAAGTTCTGATTCTGAACTAAAACCTAAATTAGCTGCAACACCTAAACCAAACAACTGGAGTTCAGCGATATCTAAATTTGCTGAAATGTCAGATTCTAGTTCTGATTCTGAAGATGGAGAAGAAATTGTTTCATTGGCTAAGAAACCAACTGTTTTAAATAATGCTGGAAAAACACCTATTGTATTGAATGATAAAAAATCTGTTAAAAATGCTGCAGATAGTTCTGATTCTAGTTCAGACTCGGATGAGGAAGCTCCTACTAAATCTAAAGCTCTTTTAAATCAAAATTCAGTTTTGCAGAAAGGAAAAAACGTAGTACCAGCAAAATCATCTAAGTTACCAGCTCAACTACAGGCGAAGAGCTTGACTCAGAAAACACAAGATTCTAGCTCAGATGATTCAGATTCAAGCTCAGATGACAAATCTCCAAGCAAGAAAATGAGTACTCCTTTACCCAAGGTCGCAGTTCAGTCTAAAGGTGTTAAAGCAGATGAAAGTTCTGATTCCAGTTCCGATTCTGAAGAGCTTTCTAAAAATAAAGTTCCTAATGTAAAGCAAAATGCAGTTTTACAGAAATCCCTTATGAGTAAGAAGCCACCTGTGCAAGTTCAGAAGCAGGTATCAAGTTCTGATGATTCAAGCTCAGAAGAGGAAATGAAAACAAACAATTCTTTACTAAAGAAGAAAAGTATACCCCCTAATAAAGGAGTTTTGACCAAGTCTCCTAATAAAAAAAAAGCTTCAAGTGACTCAGATTCTAGTTCAGACTCGGATAAAAAGCCTTCAGCTAAAGCTAATGTAGCTGTTGCTGTGAAATCATCACCTTTAAAAAAAGCAAATGTATCAGTAAAGAAGCAATCTAGTTCAGACGACTCATCTTCAGACTCAGATGAGGAAAAGCAGGTGAATAAAGTTTCCACTGTTGTACAGAAGAGTATGAATACCAGTGCAACTCAATCTGGGAAAGTTCAGAAAAAAGAATCTAGCTCTGAGGATTCTAGTTCAGATTCTGACTCTGCCTCTAAGCTGAAGAAGCCAACTGTTACTAAAATTACTTCTACTAATAAAAAAACAGTTTCTGTAGCTGTTGCTGGGAAGTCCCCTGTTCAAAAAAAAGCATCTAGTAGTTCAGATTCAAGTTCTGATGATGAACCCAAAAAATCTACACCTGCTGTTCAAAAAAGTAAAATTATTATTGCAACTCAACCTGGGAAAGTTTCAAAAAAAGACTCTAGCTCGGATGATTCTAGTTCAGACTCAGATTCTGGATCTAAGCCTGCCTCAACTGTTACTAAATCTAATATTTCTCTTGCTACAAGCGTGAAAGCATCATTACCTAAAAAGGCCGTCACACCAGGAAAAGTTAACACTCCCGTTGGTAAAAAGGCAATTGCTGGCAAGTCGACTATTCAAAAAGGGGAATCGAGTAGTTCAGATTCAAGTTCCGACTCTGAACCAAAGAAAACCTTGTCTACACCAGTTGTGCAAAAGCAACAAAAAAAGGAATCTGAATCAAGTGATTCTTCAGATTCTGATGCACCTAAAAAAGCTACTGTACTTCCAAGCAAATCCCCTGTTTCCAAACCTAATAAAGGAGCTAAGAGAACTAAAGATTCCAGTTCTGATAGTAGTGACTCTGACTCTAATCCTGTTAAAACAATGAAACCAAATGTGGTTAAAAATACACCTTTATTAGCTAAGAAAAAAGATTCATCAAGTTCATCAGATGAGGACACTGTTGCCAAAAATGCTAAAGCATCTAAGCCTCTTAGTTCACTTAAACGCAAGCATGGGGCTTCAGAAGAAAGTTCTGATTCATCTGATTCTGAGGGTGAGTCTAACCTTCATACTCCAAACCAGCTATCCACACAGCCCCAAAAGAAACAAAAACTTAACAATTCGTTATCAAATGTCTCAGATTCAAATAACACACCTATTGCATCAGATTCTACGAAAAAGCGAAGGGTAAGTTTACTTTTAAAGAAATGTTAGCTGATAATCTCTAGAGAATCTCTTAGCAACAGTTATTAAACACCATTTGTCATAGAAAGATGGATTTAGGTTTAAGTGTGATTATCTGCTAAGAAGAAAATTTAAATTTGAGTTCTGTTTTTATGTGTACTAAATTTATTACTTAATGGTCAAGAATTAATAATTCTTAAATAATCATTTATTTATCAGGCTTTAAAATCCAGTATTTATAGAAAAGTTAATATAAACTTAACCTAGGAAACTCCTGTTTTAAAGTAAAGTATAAATTTTAAAACTTGGAAAATATCCTTATTTTAGTTTTAAATCAACCGGGTGTTAATATCAAAGTTGAAAAATCAAACATTATATTATTTATTTATATCACATTTAAGTTAAATTGAGTGGATTAAAGTGAATATTAAATTTCGAATTTGGACACAAGTGGCATTGAGTGTTTTGAAATTATTTGAAACTTTTTTAACATAGTCTTAATGAACATAATAAGTGCAACTTTTAATTAATGAAAATTATGTTTTTGTAGCTAGAAAAGGCACAGTTAATTTGTGTCCTTTTTACATCAAATCAGTTGATTATATAAATTTGAGATATTAATTGGTAACAAAGGACAATCTTTTCTATAAGTTTATGTTCTGATTAGAAATATGAATTTAAGAAAAAGAAAAGCATATATTTGTAAAAAGCCTGCTCACACTCTTATTATACCTGCTCACTTTCTATTACAATTTACTTTATCTAGTTGCTTTACCTAAAATTACAAATATTTTGATGGGCACAAATTTGGAAAATAGGCGTGGAAGACCGGGAAAGTCACTGTTTTTAAACATAGTCACGAAATATTTTTAGAGCACATCCAAAATAATTACCCAGATTCAAAATTTGCATGTTGTAGTTACAATGTATTAATAAATAATATTTAAATTTGAAAAATTATGTGGAAATGGCCAAAAGAATGGCAAATTACCTCGAGACAGGGTCAGACAACAGACAATGTGGATTTAAGACAATCGCCATGAACCGAGTGGTTGAAAGTAGTAATAAGAAGAGTTTAAATTTTATATAGTGCTTTTATGAAAGAAACCTATTTCTATTAATTATTTTTCTTTTGTACATCTATTGAGCATTTACACTTAACAGTATTTGATTATAAAAATAAGTATGCTATTAAATATAAATAGAATATGATTTGTAGTAGTATATAACTTAGATATGTGATTTTAATTTTCACATGTATTTAATAATACTATTAGATTATTTGAAAAGGAATGCTATTTAAACTAAATTGTAATTATTAGTTAGAAAAATTGTTTTAATGTTATTTGATATTTCTTTTTGACTAGATTTCTTCCAGATCTATTTTTGGGTTTTTCTCATTTTTAAAAGAAACATGCCATATTTGCTTCATAGACCTTAGACTTTTATTAATTGACTTGAGAAAGAAGGATTAACTAATCATAGCCATACATTATATTTCAGATTTTTTTTTTTAGAATTTTATTAACTTTTAAACATTTAAACTATATTTTGATCTTCTGATATATTTTTTTCCTGTTTCCTCATAAGAAACTGAATAATTTTCTGAGTAAAACTGAGAAAAATTCATAAACCTAGAAAAAATTGGGTAGATTGGGTTTTCTATTAAAAAAGTTCGATTTCAAGCATTTTAAGTTTGTAATTAATTAGTATATATGTCATTACTAATTAATGCTTGTACTATATACTTTTTCCCTACTAAATGTTGAATCTTATTTTGTTCTATAATGATTTTGTTTTAATTTAAATCATTTTAAGCCCTATAAACTTTTTTTAAAGTATTTAAACTTAGCATTTATTTTATTCAATAGAATGCTTATTTTTTTTTTCAATTTAATTCTGTGAATAATAAACTTTTTTATTGTTGGAATTAGTGCTAAAATGAACTTATGTAATGTGATTAAAAAACACCAACACATTTCTCATTGTTTTTATTTATTTAAATTTGTCTGAATTTTTTTTCTGATAAGGGAATGTCTTTCTTTATATTTAAAGTTAATCCATGAACTAAAATTTTATCTTAAACCTACTAACATGGTCGTCAAATAATATGATGTTAGAATGCCAAAAACAATACTGTAAAAGATAGATGGAACCACTAAATGTGTTCATACTGATTGCTGAGATTTTTATTTTGGGGAAAGCTGATTATTCACTCAAAAAATATGCCAAAATACTTATTGCATAAGTAACTATATTTTAGAAATTCTTCTATCATTAAATCTTAGTTTATATTTTTTTAAAGAGACTAAAAGATGAGGTAATTTACAACAAATATTTAAAAATATACTTTTAAATTTTCCATGTCCATGCTGTGTCACTAATACTATATTCACTCCCAATATTCAATACTATATTCAATATTCACTCCATTCGATCACATAATATGTGTTGTCTAAATTTCTGTTTGAATTTTATTTAAATCTCTTTCAGGGCTCCAGTCCATTCAGAAGAATAAAAAATGAAAACTTTGTTGTTGATCAGCGATTGCAAAAATCAAGTGCTGAAGCTAAGGTGAGCGTTATATTGTTATAATTATTTATATTATGCTGTAAATAAAAATTAAATAAGGCTTAATCTATTATAAAAACTTTATTTACTATAGTGTAATTATACTTATGAATTTGCGATCAAGTAGCATTTGTATTCATTTATCCCTTGGTTGGCTTTTCACTTCAAAATCTGACTTTTGAAGTGACAATAAATTTTTTTACAAAACTTTCATTACAATTAACAATATTGCAATTATGTAAATAAATATGCAATTATTTTGATATACTACAGCGTTTGTTTGCACTATGAATATCAGGAAGCCCAGAGAAAATGAAATTTGAGAAGAATAAAAAGTACTGTTCTGTTTTCACATTCTAAAAACAATGTTTTATAAGCATAAGTAAAGTACAATGAATTACAGACATACCAGTGTTAGACTCATGATTTCTGTTTGCACCTCCTGCTCTCTGGAATCAAGCCGAAAATCTCAACTTAGTCGATTAAAGGAGAAACTACATATTGCCATTTTTTGGTCAAAATAAAATTTTTACCTGGATGTCCATTCAGCATTTATATTTTTTACTATCAGGGTGCATAGCATTTTAAAACAGTGCTTAAAGGTGCTTATTTTCGAATATCGAAATGATATTTGTTCGCTTTTTATCAAATATCTTATGTAACTTTTTAAAAAAAAATTGTTTTTAGGATACATTTTTCATTTTAATTAGTTGAAATAGAATGAAAACACCAAACAACATATGTTTGTGTTTTTGGCAAAATGACAAAAGTATTGGTAAAAATTCTCATACAACAAATACTTGCCAATATTGAGCCCCCCAGGTAGGACTGGGCGTTGTAAGAAATTTTATAACGTGATGCATCACGTTAGACATGCGTTAGCGATGCATCACGATGTAACATACATTCAAAAATTTGCTATTAGTAATCTTTAAATCAATCAAAAGGAATTAATCTATAACAAAAGAAAATGTTATTCTGAAAAAATGCTTCTATAACCAGGGATCTGTTTAGAAGAAATTTGAACGGACCCTTCGCAAAATGATCTATCTATTTTTACACTTTAGAGATTTCATTCTTGACTTAATAAATTTCAGAGCTTTATTTTATGGCTTGCAATTATTTATGATATATGTGGATGAATTGTAATAATCTTCTGTTATGTAATAAACTACCGTGTGATCTGTTTTTATCCTAGCAAAATCATATATTACCCCTAATATTTTTTGAAAAATCCTCCTAAAATTACCCTAAAATTTTAAAAAACTTTGCTGCTAATTTTATATTCACAAATTATGCATAGTTTTTTCACAATTTTAAAGAAACAGGACCTTTCACAAAATGTCTGGACAGACCCCTGCATATATTCAAAAATTAGCTATTAGTAATCTTTAAATCAATCAAAAGGAATAAATCTATTACAAAAGAAAATGTTAATTCTAAAACAATGCTTCTATAACATCAATAGCATTGCTTAATTTTTTTCTTTTAAAATATTAAGATGGACTATTAAGATGGATTATTAAGACCAATGTTGAAGTAAAAAGAAAAAATCTTTATTATAATTTTTTTAAAATTAAAAATGTCTTAATGGTGTAAAAATTATAATAAAACTGTAAATAAAATATATTACATAGGTGCATTAAAAATTAAAAGAAAAACAAAAGTAAAAAGACACCAAAGAAATGTTCACTTTTGTAAAACATTTTTTAAATTATTTGTTAAAGAAAAACATGCTTTTGAAACATTGTTCGACCTTTTATTTATTTGTTTAAAGTAATGAAATTGTATTGACTGATGGTTGAATTCTATACTTTATAAATGTAAAAATAAATGTAAGTTTTCTGTTTTATTATTTTCTTTTTTGAAAATAAAATAGGCTATAAGTGGTTTAAAAATGATATAAAATGATAAATAAGTGGTTTTAAAATGATACTATCTGACAAATTATCAAACGCACGCATTGAAAGAATTTTAAGAAATATTTTTAAAAAATACTAATGTTAAATTATTAAAAAGTGTCAAACATTGCTTAACTTTTTATTTATGTAAAAAAAAATTAGTCGTTTTAACTAATAGTCAATTTTTAAAGAAAAATATTGCAAATTTTGTTTTAATTCTCCTAAAAATAAAAACAAATTAAATAAATGTAGCCTTTGTTTTATTTTTTTTATAATTAAAAACAACTAACGATTTATTGATTTAAAATAAATTATTATACTTACGTGCATTAAATAAATTTTAAAAAGTAACTTTTTATAGCAAAGTATAAATTACTTAAATGCAAAATACCCCTATTAATTTGTATTGCTTAAAATGAAAAACAATAATTAAAATAATCGATGAAGAATCGTTTTCTTATTCAGATTTTCTTCTCATTAATGTTCAGAATGAAAATTTAAGATAACAGTGATTGTTAATTAACAGCAGGTGTACTAAAGATGACAAGAATCGTTAAATCACGACAAAATGAAAATTTTTTAAAAAAAAGTGATGAAATAATGCACCATAATCTCTAAGTAACAAAAGTCTCACTGAAAATAATCTTCTAGAAACGTAAAGTCCCAAGTACATAAAGAAACTATGCATTGCGTTCTATATTTCAATTCTGATCCTCGCTCTCCACCATTCAACAACTAACAGTGTCTACGTATAACATTCATCATCTAATCAACATCTTCAGCTGGGCGATATCAAAATAGTCTTCTGTGCTGTGAAAGCGTTAGCTTATGCAAACCGTGAGCGTAGTCTTATACTGCCGGCTTAAATCAGATTTCTGATACATGACCTAAAACATTCGCCCATTTCTACCCCCAGGAGTTGATCAATCCTTGGTTTAAATAAACTATTCTTCAAAAGATAAACCTTTTCTGTTCCAAGAATTAATCATGTGTCCAATCCAGTTTAAATTTATATTGCATTTATTTATGTTTATGTAATCTTAAATTTTTTTTTTCTTTCACAGCATTTTATTCCATCTTTGGGTTCATCTAAAGGAAAACAATTTCGACATGAAAAGACAAAGAAGAAGAGAAATAATTCTGCTGGGAAAATTGATTTGGCTGTTAATTCTATTAAATTTGATTAGATTTATTATTTTAAATTTTCTTATATGTAACTTCATCTGGAAGAAAGATTTCATCGGCATTGAAATAAATGTTTTTTGAGTAAAATTGTTTTCAGTATTTACTTATAGAAAAGGAGTGTATTATTATCCTTGTAGATCTCCTATTTTTTAAAAAAAATTATTCAGTTGTGAACTGAATGCCCTGCTTGTAAACTGACTTGATACAAAAGGTCTTCCACCTTTTGTACCAAGTTTCAAAGAAGTGTTAAATCTTCTGATTAAGCTTCTTACTAAGAGCTTGTAAGAAATAATTCTAATTGAGATTTTGATAAGTAATAGCATTTTGAAACAGTTAAGAGAAGAATCTTAAATATTTAATAATTAAATTACTCTATCATGGCTCATTTAATATTTTAGTAACTCAAAATGTTAATCAGAAAGTTTTTTGATATTTTATTTAATATACTAATTTTATGTTTTATTCATAATATTGAAAGCAGGCTTCTGAAGTTTTGTTACCACCAAAGTTAAGCTTTTTTTTTAACTGCTGAGGCATTGCCTAGTCTATGTCTAGGCAGTAAAAAAAAATTTATCAATTTTTTTACTGCGTGCGGGTAAATAAAATGTGTTTAAACTGAGGCATAAGAAATTTGTTTTTATCTCCAAAATAATAAATACTGACTCAGACCAAATGCTAAGCTAGCGAAAGATTTGGGTTAACTGAAAACTAATCATATGATATATTTGTAATTTTTAAAAAAAAAAATCTTTTTTCTTTGATAGATGGTGCCTGCCATGTATTAAAGTCACGTTCTGAGACCATTTGATTTTCTAAACGATAATACAGTCAGACCTCGATATAAGGCCATCCGCATATAAGGTCACTTTTCCAAAGAATTTTCGAATTCTTTGTTACAGATTAGTGGATATATGGTCAAGATTTAAAAATTGTTATCGCTTATAAGGTCATTTTTATCTGAGGCTTAGCATGGCATCCACCACATGTATAGCAAATTGTTTTCGTCATGCTGGTTTTGTGAGTTCTCTGAATACTGTGGATAACGAAACCGAAGAAGACAATATTCCTCTATCTGTTCTGATGGAAGATTTGAAAAATCGTGGCCATGCCAATGAAGAGGAAGCTGAATATGGTTTGATTGATAAGGAAATTGCCTCTACTTCTGAAGCTACGCTTTCTGAAATTGTTTCACAAGTTGTTGACAGTGATCCTGAGACTGTAGCTGTAACCCAACGGAAAGCCTTCAATGCAATAAATGCCATACAAATTTTTTTTACAAACCATGAGGGAGCTGAGGAACATTTTGAAAAGTTACAAAATCTAGAAAACATTGTTCGAAAAATGAAACGAAAAACGAGACAGACCTGCATAAATGATTATTCTGAATAAGGAAAGGTGTAATGTATGCATGTACACTTTGAGGAAATTTGTATACAGCTTTATTTTAAATAAAAAAAATTTTAAAATCTAACTTTCTTTAATTCTCCACTAATTTTGTTAAAATTTATTGACTTAAATATTTAATTTACGGCTGATCGTTTTCGTTTGTCTTATCATTTTAAAAAAATTCTAATGTGCACTATTTACGTATTTAGTTATGAACTGCTAATGAATCGGTTAAAAGGTCACCCCACTTATAAGGTCACTTTTGTGATATCCCTTAGGGTGACCTTATATCGAGTTCTGACTGTATCTTCAAAGTTGAAAGTTAAATTGATTGCAAAATTTCTATTTTGTTTTTACTGAATTTACATTTGCTATTTTGATTATACATGGGCAAAAAGATTTACTTGTGAGTTTTAAAATATTAGCAGAGTTCTAGAAATAAAAAGGGATGTCTTCCTCCTTACAGAAAAGAGCTCTTAAAAGTTTTGAAAGGACACTCATTTAACACAGTAAACATTTATTAAAATGTAATATTTTGTAATAGCTGAATTTGTTCCTGAAACAATTTTTAAATCACCCTCTTATACTATTTTATATATATAATTCAAAAGTAATTCACATTCAATGTTTCTTTTTTTCTGTAAAGTTCATTTTAAAATATCAAGTGCTTATCAGACTTCTATTGAAGATAGATTTACCTTATTGAAGGAGTGACATTGATTAAAAATGGGTATAGGTTTCATGACATAGATTAAAAATAGGTATTTCATAACTTCTCCATTCATAAACAGTAAGCATGCGATTTTATCACTAATTTGCTTAATTCTGTGGATCTTTCGCAAATCCAAAATTTATATCTGAACAAAAATTTTTCAAGTGTTCTTGAATTTAAATTTCATAACTTTCGCAAATACCCATTAGCGAACATTTATTTGTCCTTCAATTCTTCCAGAGTTCTCTTTCATGCATGTTTTGAGTTTATTTTTACACTTTGATTTGTAAGAGTAAAGTATAATTTATTCTAAAGTTCAAGACTAGACTCGTAAAAAAATTATGTATTTAAATGCTGTGGCAAAGACAAAGGTGTAAAATTGATAATATAAAAATTCCCGAATTACAAACATTTAAAAGATAGTTTGCTAGAGAAAATGGTGTTCTTTTTAAATTTATATTTTAATGAAGGACTATTTTGTTACAAATTCAGATTTCTAAAAGAATTATATAATCAATGTTGTACAATTGCTCCCTTTAATATGTTATTACGACATGAAAGTTTCGAACCCCTAATTTACTTAATCGTGTTTCAACATACTTTATTTTATCGTAAATCTAGTTCATGTGTCTATTTTTCTTTTCAGTTATTGTCGTAGATTTTCTCACGGTTTTTAAAATCTCAAAATTATTTTGACACACAGAATACGTACCTTGAAATTTTTGGTGTGCTCTATTTGTGTTTAGATGGTTTTCTGGGTAGATGTTGCTATTTATTTGCACATAATTTTTTTTAAGGCTTGATATATTTCACACAATGTTATAATGTAAATTTGAATTACACACCTGAGTATTAACTATTTAAAAAAAGTAAAGATTCTATTGTTTTTTTTTATATTTATTTTTCAGTAGTTATCGCTATTGATTTTAAAGGCTAATTATTTATTGCAATGCTTTTCTTTTTTTATAAATGCAATGACGAGTTGCAAAATGCGAGAAGGGTGGGTTGTATATTTTCTAAAAGTAAGAATATTGCACATAATACTAGAATGTATATTCTTTTATCTGTTCCTGAGAAAATAAAATATTTTTTCCTCCCTTTAATTTTATGTATAAATAAATGTAATTTTTTTTTCATTTGAAAATGAAACTAACCATAAAGTTTCTAGAAGATTTTGGATAATTTCTTACAGCTGATGCATGTCTGAAACAGTTTTCATTTAAATCCCTTTGATTCATTTAAATCCCTTTGTTGTATCTTTAATATAACTATTTTCAATTCAATAATACCACGTTCTCTCAAAATTTAATTTCATTCGTATTCGAAAGTGACTTGGGATGATTGACTACTTTATTATTGGGACTTTATCATTAAACTATGTTGCATTGAACTTTTTTCTCCAGTTTTCGGGCAAAATATTGCTTCTGTCAATAGTTTATATGCTTGTGTGTTCCTAACTCAACATGTTATATTACCTTCGTAATTTTTTTTTACAAAATGTAATATTTGACATTTTCTATCACAAAGTATATTTAATTCCTTATCTAATGGGAAAAAAATTATATTTCTGAATGAAATAAGGTAGTGTATTACGAAAATGTAATGTGAGATTTTTACTGGAGACATATTAAAGTAGAGTGGGAACCTTGATCTCAATCAAAATAAAGCATTTAACAGATTTACTCATTAATATCTAAGAGAAAATATCAGCTGTAAATTTTTCCTACTTGTTAAAATACGAGCCTCTGTAATTAAAAACAAAGCTTAGTAAGTAATAATATAACTAGTCTCTTGCCTTGTTGGAACTTATAATTATTTAATATTTTGCAAAGCTATTTTCGACAAATATTACATTGCATTATACATTGTTTACATCGAAATATTACATTATTGAATTTCGACAAATATTAAAATGCATTATTCTTCAAATCTGTCTCTTAACCCAGACAACATTCTGGTATATTTTCATTACTGCTCTTTATATAGCTATGAGTTAGTTGAATTGTGTGTAAATTAGTTCAGTTTGAGTTGCCATTTCAGTTAGAGTTGGAGACCCGGTGAGGTTTTGATGTATCACTTAATATGATAATTGTGGAATGATTATTTACAAGGTGTGGCTAATAATTTCTAGCACTTTCGAAGTTTAGAATTCATATATAGAAAATAGGAGAACACATTTCATATTATTTGAAGTAAAAGTCTGCTTTTGCTGCAATTTATTTTCATTGTAAAAACTTAGATAGAAACTTTAAATGCTTTCTCTTTGAAACGCCCTAATTTGGCCAGCTCATGTCATTAATACTCCCAGAGGTGATTGTGCTCCGGAAAAAATCCGGATTTTTCCCTTACTGCGTTCCGGAAATCTTAGGTCCTTAGGTCAAATTTCGTCAAAATGCCTTTATCTGGCCTAATAATCTAGTTTAAAAAAAAAAAAAAAAATTATTTTTGCTTTAAAAGTTTTACAAATATCTTATGTAAAATCAAAGCATTTAATATTGATACATTTTGTAAAAATATTAAAAATAATTTTTTTTTTAATTCCCTTTGAAATTTTAACTTTCAAAACACCATTTAAGTTACAGGTTAAATATTCTCACATTTTGTAAAATATTTTGATTTTAAATGTTACAATAGCTATACTTCATATTGTTATCAAATTATTTATATTGCATTAATAAAAATTGGTTAATTTTTTTTATATATAAAATTTTTTCTGCTTAAAAGTTGTCTAAAAGAAAACTGCAAATGAATTAAAATTTTTGTATTAAATGCACTGAATCAATTGTTTAACAATTTGCACACAGCAATGTGTGTTTCTTAGCTTCTGGCTTAAAAAAACAAGCAAAATAATGTAAATTCAGTGCTTGGAAGTAGCGAAATTACTATAGTTGCTACCCCCCCCCCCTGTTGCTTATAGTGTGGTGAGTTATCTGCAACAATTTACTTAGAATCAAGTTGATCTTTTTTTCTGTGAACAAGGGCTTGTTAGCCATGGGCATTTTACTATATTCATTGATATGCTGTTGAGTGAAGTTACATTTCAGTGCAATTTGTGCTTTCACATTGTTCAGAGTTGCCACTGGAAAAAATTAACAAAAGAGCTGCTTTTAGTAGCCTAAAGCATGAAAATAGTTGCCTAAATAAGAATAAAAATTCATCAAAAATATGACTAAAATTTTCTTAAATGACTTAATTGTCATATACCATGCTCCATTAGTTGAGGGCAAATAACGTTATATATTATATATAAACGTTTGTGTTCTAGCACTAAATCTTTATATCAAAAAAATTTAGTATATTTGCAAAATATTAAATACTTTTCATTGATAGAATTCATTCAAAAAAATACTTTCTCATTAAAAAAAAACAACATACTTTTTCTAAAAAATCTTCCCTTTTATCAATAATTAATTTACCAAATATATATATATTGTGAAAATCTTAATATCATATTGAAAATTGGGTTTTTTAAAATCACGCGGAATTTTGTAGAAATAAACATTGAAAAGGCGATCGAGAAACGAAACAGACTTACAATTGAATGCGTGCAAATTGAATGAACTAAAAAGTGATGACTCAAATGCGCATGGACAAAATATTTTAAAAGAAAAAAAAATTCAGTGTGTTACAAAGCTCCCGTGAGCCACAGGTTTTCAACCCAATTTATGCAAAAAAAAAAAAAAAAACATCGCTAGGAGTTCAGAAAAGTCTTCTTTTTCTGAAAATAGTTACCTTTTTAACCTTTTCAGGCAAAAATAGTTGCCTGTGGAAACCCTGCATTGTTTAAGACAGGGATTTGTTTTGTCAGATCAGGGAGAGCACAGAAGTAGTGTAGTGCTGCCTATTGTTGATGAGTGAAATAGTGACAAATACATTAGACCTGACAATAACCCCTGACCACATGGCGAGTCAACAGGAAAAAAAAAAGTGGCAAACTAAATTAAATAAGCAACTGGTCACTTTTCCCCACTTTTTTTTAAAAAATTGTTTAATGATAAAAATACATCAAGGCAGAAAGAAATTTCTTTAAAGTCAGTAAGTTTAACAAAATTATGTCACATAATTATATTTTTATTGTTAAATTAACTTTTACAGTCAAGATTGTGTCAAATATGTTATTTTTTTAAAATATAATTTATTGCAAGCAAAAGAAGAAAAAAAAGGTTTGTTTGTGGTTATTAAATGGAAAGGACTTTTGGAAAATTGGTCACAGACTCATTAATATGAGGAAAAAGTGGTTACTAAGTTATTAGAGTCTATCAGCCCTGGTTACTAACTGAAAATTTCAATTTTCAGGTAAATAGTCATCAATGTTCAAAGTCATCAACGGATGTCTTGAACTGAGGATCTTAACCACCAGGGGAAAATGGTGAGTTAGAAAACTTTATGTAGCAATTGCGACATTACTCTTCACATGATTTAAGATAGATAGTTATACATATTTTTGGTATGTTTTTGTAAGCTACGTAATTCCATGAGAGACAAAAGGAAGAAATGAAATTTTTATTTTAGATTTTGCTATATGTTTTATTACAATTCATGGAAATTATTTTTTAAAAAAAGTCTAGTTTGACGCCGAAGATTTAATAATGTGTTCCTCTTCATCCAATAAACTCTTTGTTTCTGTGTCTTCAACTTTTACTGCATCTGGATACAGAAAAGACTGTACGACTTTTTCGTATACAGGTTGCAAGACAGTTTTTATTTCAGAGTGGGTTAACCAGCGGTGATCTACAACTGTATCAGATTGAATATTTAAAGTTTGAAGTCTGTTGTCCAAGAGTTGAGCTTTAAAAAAGAATACCTTAAAAACAATTAACAGTAATTAGCATTGATACTAATAACCGCTTTAAGTTCAAGTTACTAGTTTAGAGCAATATCATTATAACTAAAGTAATGAATGCAGTAAAAATATTATCATGGAATTATTTAGAGTGACTTGGAAAAAAGGTACTCACAATTTCTAACTTTTTCAGCTATGCAAGCCAACAACTTTATACATATATATATAAAAAAAACTTAGAAGCCCACTAAGTAAAAAATATATGACAAATAGGCACCATATATAAACAGTGTCCAAAAAACACAGAACACCGCTTTTGATCTAATGATTGAATCTTCAAGAATCGATCTTAATGGTTCGAGGCAGTGATCTCAAATATGCTTATTAATTAGAGGAGACTATATTTTAAGTTAAGAAACCAGACACAAAAACGTACTTTCTCTTGATAAACAGACCCTCCCCCCCCACTTATTCTGATTTCTTAGCTACAATCTGTGAAAAAGGGTCTGAAGAGTTTCCAGGAGAAAGTCTAAAGTTTGGACCCCTTAATGTTAATTTTCGTGTATCTCGCAATATCTCATGAACTTATTTGGTGAATTGAAAAATATTTGCACACAGTTACAAAATTCATTTATCCAAAGATAATTCAAATAAAAATATAAGTTTTAGAATATTTTTTTTTATTTATTTAGTCCAAAAAATGTTGAATAATAAGATATGCAATATTTTGCATCATTTTAAAGATAGTAATTTTACACAGCAAAATACAAAATTTGAGTGAAATGAGCTAGTTCCTGAGAAATCTGATTTTAAAAAATCCATTTTAGATTCAATTTTTTAAAATATGACTAATTTCACTGAAATTTTGTATTTAACAATTTAAAATTACATTCTTTAAAATAATGTAAAAAATTGTATAACCTTCAAATGAAATTTTTTTGTGACTATTATTAAATATTTACGAAGATATTTTCTTTTTTTTAAAATTCATTTAAAGACATTTTCAGAAATGGTGATGTTCACAAGAATTAACATTAAGGGGTCCAAAATTTGAACCTCTCCTGACCAAACTATCAAGGCCATATTTCCTAGATTGCAGCTTTATTCCTCGATATTTTGGGTGTCAGAAATCCAAATCAGTCGAAAAAAAGGTACATTCAGACAAAGTACATTTTTGTGTCAAGTTTCGTAATGTAAAATATCGCCTACGCCAATCAAAAAGCATATTTTGAGGTTACACCCACAAACCAAAGATTGAATCTTAGCATGTGAAGATCCAATCATAAGATCCAAATTCGTTCCCCTTTGCAGTGTTCATTTGTATATATAGTGTCTATTTGTACCATTACGGAACACACTATACATAACGCTTCTTCAAATTTCATGGGGAGGTAGAGCACATGATAAGGATTGAAAACTGAATTACAATCTATGACAAGAAATGTTATTGTATGACAGTGATGCTTTCCTCTATGAATATATTGTTTGTGTGCCTTTGAATCAAACCTTTATTTATCAGAAATATCTTAATTTTATATTTTAATTTTCAAATAATTGTTGAAAATTTCATTAAAGTAGGCTCTGAAATGGCTGTTTAATTAATTATTTATTTTTTAAATTTTTAATTTTTTTAAATCTTGATTTGACAACTAACTTGATGAGATTGCTAAACCGTTAAATTAAGCTAAAACAGCAATTTAAATCAAATTTTTGACAATAATTATTAAAAACATAAAACTAACATGAAATTCATATAAATAAAAGTGCTTGTTCAAAGGCACATGAATAATGCGTTCACAAAAGGAGCGAATTACATTTCCGGTGATAGGTGGCTATGCAATACTTTTAATCCTTATGATGTGCCCTACCTCCTGAAAAATGTCACAATATTTCTCAGATACCCTGTATATATCATTATTACATATCATTGTTATTATATTTTAATAATTATTTACATGTGTAATAAATAATATGATATGCCCAGATCAGTAATTATTAAAAGATACTATACAAAAAGAAGTTATGAAAACAAGTACAAGTAAGAAACAAAATATAAAAATAAGCTTGAATTGACTATTTGCTGCAATTGCTTAAATTTTGTATACCTAGCTTGAATATTTATGCAGATATGGACATTTAAAAAAAAACTAAAAACGGAATATTTTTGTCTTAATTACACCAATACCATTTTGTAATTAAAAAAAATCTTTAATAATTGTGCAAGATATGAATATGTAAAATAAGTTCTTTTATACTGCGTATCTGTGGAAGAAATTTTGAATTTGTTTTTCATACTTTTGTAGGGAATTAATTGTATTTGGTAGTAAGATTTGAATACCTTAAAAATTTAAAAAAGTTCCTTGCAATTATCTTAGTTTGAATTTTTTTTTTTAAAAGAAAGCTAAACGATAAGGGATTTTCCACTAATTTCAATTTGTATTATAAAACAAAATTTACTACTAATTGAAATCTTATAGCCATTACTAACAAAATAATAATGACATTGCAATACTATTTGTTGGTAGCTCATTTTCCCAAAAAGCAATTCTTTCATTAAAATTTGTGGGTTAGTTCATTCAACAATCATTAAAAAATAAATAATAATTATGGCTCTTAAAAAAATGAGGAGCTTACCTTTGCACCACAAACTCCATCTTGCCTAATAGCTTTAGGGTATTTGTATTTATAAAAACCAACAGGTGCATTTCCCATTATTTGCAGTTTAACTGGATTAGTACATATCTCATTGAAAGCTCTTACAGCAGTCTAAATAAAATGAATAAAATCAACATCAATTTAGAGTTAACTTAATAAATTCAAGTAGAAGAATACATGAAAAATTAAAATACAATCACTAACATGCGTTAAAGATTATATTTTCACATAAATTTGAAGGGCACAAGGCAATAACAAAACAGTTTTACTAAAGTAACAAGAAAAAAATCCATATTTACTCTTTAATTAATTACGAGACCTTTAGAAAATACATCACTGACCTCCAACTCATATTCAAAAATGAAATTCCGTGAATTTTTGAGAAAAATGTCAACGAAACTTCAGACCACATTTTGTTATACACAATAGTATTTTACAAGGAATGAGGTGAGTCAGGTTCGAATCCTGCCGCTGGGCAGTCAGTTCGAATTTTGCTCCCGGCTTGCACCGATCATAGTGGGGACTTTAAATATTCTCAGTGTCATGGGTTAGAATTCCTTGATTATTGGACTCATCATGGGAGGCTTATTTCTATCAAAAAGTCCACTACAAAAGCTAGTTCGTTCGATAGCTTGATCCAAGAATTCCCAAATCACTAGAGTCAGTTTCAAAATTACGCGGCCACAGAGTTAAACATTAATAGCCATAAACACAAAAATGGGTAGGTTGTTCAATGTCGATTATAAAATAAAACATAATATTTTATGAGAAGTAAACTTTTTATTCACTGAACTGTGAAACTAACTTTCTGATTAAAAAAAAAAAATACCAATGGTTACATTTTGTAAGAAACAAAAGTTAACAAGAAGAAAATTGAGGCAAACTATTAAAGTTAGCAAGTAGATTTCATAATGCACAAGTATTTAAATTATGCATAGTAATAATTTCATACTAGTGGAATTAAACCAAGCTTTTATTCCACTAGCAAGCATTTCATTAAGGTTAATAACTAATCAAGATAAGTTATTAACTTGTCTTGAAATGGACTTTCAAAACTAAAATATCAAATATTAAAACCACTTTTCAAACATTTTATAATTTTAATCTAGTTTAAATAATAGCAACAATTTGCATGCTTTTCAATATATCATTTACAAATAAGTTAAAATTAAAAAGAAACAATAGGAAAATAAACATGAAATTTATAATTACGGATAATCTTAAAATTTGTATTATCAAATACTGCTGAGTATAAATTTTTAAACAGACTCAACAATAATAAGTATATGTTTTAAAATACAGTATAAAAAAAATTTAAAACAGTTATATCTTCTGTAAAAAAGTATGTGTGCTTACTTACAAGAAAACATTGCAGCAAACTATACTCTTCTATATGCATTACTAAAATAAAGTTAAGATATTGAGAGTTATTGCATCTTCAAGCATGCCAGGGAATTGTAGATTATGCAACATCAGTTGGCATCACTTTGTGCAACACTTATAATCAAATAAATTTGTTTGTAGTTATTTTCCAATATTACATCAAAGGCATTTTTTTTTTTTTTTTTTTTTTTTTTTTTTTTTTTTTTGTTGTTGACATTTTTGCCCTTCTTAACATGGTTTGTGACCCCATTTTCTACAGTAAGTTTTCACTTGATATCTTTTATAAACCTTCTGAACTTGTTGGTCGAACTTTGGAATATCCATAATAAAATCAATAATCTGAAAAACTAGATGAACAATAAGCAAAAATAAAAATTTTCATTATTTTATGGGCCAAATAATACAAAAAAATCATACTTCACATAAAGTTTCTCCTTTTTGATGAACAGTTTGGGGCAATATCCATCGAAGATCATTTCCTATTTTTTGCTTTATAACTAACAACAGACTAGAGTCTAGTTTTCGCTGAATGGATTGCTGATTATTTTCTTCATCGGCATCTATAAAGAGAGATCGTTTAAAGTCATCAAAATTAAAAAAAAATAATGACAGTTACATTTGAAGATATAAAAAAAAAGGATAAAAAGCAAAGGAACTAAAAATACCCCTTTTCTCCGGAGTGATTTTTTTTAACAGTCAGTCATTCTTGGAAGACTGGGTATCGTGCTTTTCAAGTAATAAGAAAAACAACAACAATAGATTGGAATTTGTGATAGAATAAATTTCATTATCAAATAACAAGAATTAAGAACACATATATATCATGATACTTTACCACTATGTAATAAAAAAGAACAGCAATAAGCAAAAATGTAAGTATAGGAAGGACAAAATGATTCTTACGATATGTTTTAGCAAAAATGATTCTTACAAATTTTATTTCTACTAGTACTACTTCTTACTTTGTGTAAATTTCAGAATACAATCTTGAAACATTTTTAACATACTTTACTCATTTAAATTATAAAATATAAATTTCAAAGGTTCATGAAAATAATAAGAAAAATAAACACCCTTCCAAAAATATTCAGGAAGAACCAATATTGATTTTTTTAACTAAGATTAACTTTTAATGCAACACATAAGTATGCAATTTTTGAAAACACTAATATGACAAAATACTTATATGATTCTTTGTTTAAATCTCGATTGACCAAGATAAAATAACTGATTTTTAGAAACATATTTCAATGCTGAAATCGAGAATAATGATGTCTGTGAAAGTGTTGATCAAAAGATATTTGTATTGGTTTGTGATGTTTTTACGAAGGTGTCCACAATAGGTAGAAAAATTAAGTTATTTATTGGATACTTCTAGGAAGGAGAAAACATAAATAATTGCAAGACAAATTAAGCACCTGTAGTTCTAGGATGAGGAGGAAACTTATTCAATTCTTCTATACTAGCATCTTCAAAATCTTGGGCAGTCTGTTTGGAAACAGTATCGATGTCTTCGATTTCCCCTTTCTTCATTTTTTCTGCATTTCTCCTAAAAGATACACAGCATTTATTATTTTTTTGGTACTTTTAACTATCTGTAAATATACATTACAGAAAGATTGATTGCTTAATGCAATTAAGAGCGTTTAAGATCTAATTCACGTAAAAGCAAACTGAACTCATTAATTAGCTTAACAGCATCAGAAGTAAGAAGAAGAGGAAGCAAGTTAAGAAGTATACAAATAAGCAAGCTTACCATTGCGCTGGTATTGAAACAAAGTAAAAAAAAAAAGACAATAAGGGCTGATGAACAGGTTCAAAAGCAGACAAATAATTTCAGTGGTTCAGTGCTAATTTTGTCAAAAGCACTGCAGATGCATCAGGGATGGCAAGTTTCTTCCACATTCGGAAAAACTGGACACAAGGAAGTTCCTCCCAACCCCAGTAAAAGAAATGGAAAAAGTTTGTTTAAAAAACGAATATCGAGACAGTTTTACAGAAATATCAGTACAGTTTCTTTAAACAGTCAAAAATATTAAAACAGATTATAATTGCAATCTTGTTTAAATAGTAGTATTAATTTTCAAGAAAAAAAAAAAAAAAAAAAAAANAAAAAAAAAAAAAAAAAAAAAAAAAAAAAAAAAAAAAAAAAAAAAGGCAACAATTTGAAAAAGAACAAAAAATTTATAGAATTTTTCAATAAATTTAAAAAAATTTAGTCCTACAATATTTTATGAAAATAAGTAGTAAAATTTAATTTTATAATATAAACTAATAAAAACAAATTTTATTATTACTACTAAATTAACAAATAACATGCTAAACATGTACTTTACAATATATCTCACATTGAGTTCATAGTTACAAATAGTATGCTAATTTTTATTATCAAATACTGTTAGGCGTGAACACTTAAACTAATCTGTAAATACAACATGGGTTAATAGTATGTATGTACCAGTTTTTTACCATTACCATGTCCTGATAAAAACCCAACCCTGCATACTAAGCGCTTGTTCTATTATCATCTAAAACTCAGTGGCACGACAGCCCATAGAGGGCCAAGGCCTACTGTGCCCATCTCAGTTTTCTTGACCATGGGCTCTGGGGTGCAGGAGCAGATGTTCCGGTTCGGTGGTCAGCCGAACGCGGAACCCCCGGTGTTTAGTTCCCAAACATGCTTGGTACTCATTAATCGACCCACTGAAGGGATGAAGGCCCAAGGATCGAACCCAGGACCTGTGGCACGGGAGGGCAAAGCGCTACCACTCAGCCACCGGACGTCTCTATTATCATCACCCTTGAAATATATTTTTGTCAAAAAAGAAGTAAAATAAGTATACACATTAAAAGAAGAAGATTTAAACATTACCAAACTTAAATAAATCACTATAAGAGACATTGGAAATTAAAAACATTGAGATCAGTTTGATTGTCCAACAAAATTTATAGAAAGTCCTCTTTATCGCCTTTGCCTTCTTCTCAGTCTTCTTCAGCATTCATTCACCTCTAGTGAGTCTTTAGAATGGGCGTCTACGTTTGAGCATTTGAAACATGTTGTTTCCACCTTCATAATTTTTGAAACAAATGAAGTTTATACATTATAAAGTTTATCTTTCCACTTCAGTTTATTGGGATTTATTTAATCAATATATTAGCTTAAATGATGCTTTTAATTTATTGATTCATTTTAATTCAGGGTTTGATTTTCATTGTAAAAAACTTGTAATTGTAACTTATTTTCAAAATTTTTTCTCTTACTCACCCTCTGAGGGTCAGACTTAGCTTGCTTGAACTTTAAGTTGGTGCATAACAGAAAAAAAAAAATTTCTCTATGAGAAAGCTGCATGTATCAGAGAAAATTTTTTACGATTTTGCTCAGGATCAAAACATTTAGAGGAAAATAAATCAAGAATCAATCTTGAAAATAAATCAATCTTGAACATTCTATAAATCCCAAATTTATTTGATAAAACAGATGGCATGTTTCGTCAAATCTTGTTCAACAGCTGCACACAATTCTATACCTGAATTTGGTATAATGGTTTGAAATGAAGGTACCAGCCCAAATGGTGACCAAGTTATCTGAATTAAATCAAAATTCCACGAAATTCCTGTCATAAATTCAAAACAATAGAAGCCTGAAAAGCAAGCTAGATGCAACAACAGTGTGAAAACAATTTAATACATATTAAAAATAACTGAATAATTATATTCGATTATGATTTGAAATTGAGCACTGGAAACATTTTATAAAATGAAAAATTAATATTTGTTCAATACTTCAACTTTACTTTTTGGTTAAGAAAGAGGCAGTCAAACGAAGTTGGTACATAGGAAAGGCATTTTGAATAGTAAGATGTGCTTAAGATTTATTTTATTTGTATAAATATTTTGTACCAAGCTAAAGAGCAACAATACACATTTTTCCAAATTAAGTAAAATAAGAAAAGACTCACAAATCATCCAAATGACGTTTTTCATGATCACTTAAAAAACTTTTTTCAACTTCTTTTCTGTATAAGTACTGGAAATACCTCTCTTCCAGAGGAGTCCTTTCTTGTGTTATGATTGGCCGCCTTTCAAGGCAGAGGGCACCAACTAAGTGCCAATCAGAGAACCTTCTTAGTGTACACCAGTTTAATTTATAAGCATTGTCTAAAAAAAAAAATTTAACCTAAATGTTTTTTTTTTGAAAACGTAAACAAAACAAAGATCTATAGATAAAATCAGAGTAAGATAGATAAGAAGAAATAAAACTATCTGCAAAAAACACAATCTGAAAGTGCTTGTAAATTCATAAAATTCACTGATAATGATTTTATTGCAAAAACATGACATATTTTTGCAAAGAACAGCACAATATTAAAATATTTAAGTAAAAATATAAATAATTGAAATATTTTTGGTTCTAGTGTAGAATTGGAGACTCCTTGGTTTGGCAACAATTTTGCTGAAACCTTGTTTTTTGTTAAATTGATTTTACATTTAATGAATAAGATGATTGCTAAGTGTTTTTTTTCTTTTTTTTAAAGCTGATTGTTTTTGAATTTTTATTTTCAATAATTTAACAGATTCAATAAATTGCAATTTGACAAATTTTTATGTATAACTATTTAATATTTTTTGCACCAAAATTTGGGTTTTTAGCTGTAATTGTAAAAATAAAAAAAGAGAGAGAGTTTAATGTCAAAGTAATTCCAAAACACAATTGATTCATCACTTATTTATAAATATACATCCATTTTAATTTATAATTCTTATTTATAATAGCTAATAATTATCCTTACACCAAAACTTTGAGGTTTTGACACTTGTCAAAAACTACATCAAAAAAGGTTTTTTGACATAATGGATAAAACCATGGTTAAAACCATCAATTGTCAAAAACTAGCCAACCCTGAGTCTCACTTGTCACTATTAGGTTGTGATAAAATCTTATGACCCATCTTGATACAGGCCCTGAAACAGAAATTGTCTCATTTTTTAAATGTATCCAAAATTTAAATATATTTCAGGGTGAAATTTTTACAGTAACAAATATTGTAGAAATTACTGTAAATAACATGCATACTGATTGCTACTCATTTCTTAAGGTAAAAATGTATAAGTAGTACTTTATTTACATCACATTAGAGCTGTACAATGAACTGTCAATGGTGACTGGGGAGCAAGAATTCGAACACTTAACGGTAGAAAGTTTAACGAGCATCGGCACCACAAACCCTAGGTCTCTTCACAGGCTAATAAAATTTTTACCTACCTACTCACTGTCCACGACACCCGGTGGCTGAGCGGAAGCGCTTCGTGCTGTCGCGCTACAGGTCCCTGGTTCGTTCATCGGGCCGGGCAAGGAACATCTGCTCTTGCACCCCAGAGCACAAGGTCAAGAAAACTGAGGTGGGCACAGTAGGCCTTGGCCCTCTATGGGCTGTCGCCCTGCTAAGTTTTAGGTTACCCACTGACCACAGCCAATAATGCTTGATTTTGATGAACTATTCGGGAGCGTGATTTACAACCAGTCCACTGTGTGATGTTGTCACTTTGTAACACTGAGGGACACATGTGTTACAAAGATATACAGTTATCAGTCGTATCATAATTTTTTGTAATCTTATAATCATTACAATATTTATAAAATTTTCCCCATCAGCCACAAATACATGTAACATCAGAGAGCTAAATTTTTTATGCATGGCAGCACAGTGGAATGAAAAGGAATTTTCAGTGCCATCTGTCCGGATATTTTGGAACTAAACTCGAACTATGTTAAATGATCTTCAAAAATATATAATTTGACAAATTATAATTCCTTCACATATCAGACTATGCCATATCTTTTAAATGCTCCTCCTCCTGGCATAATTAATGATATATTAAGAGGTGCACACACATCAATAATCCTTAAAACAGATGGTGCTATAGACTGTGAGGATCATCACAGTGAAATTTAAATCTCTGCAGATAATTTATGTTTATCTCTATTTCATTATAAAAAATTTATGCCCAAAATTTTATTTGCTTTCAGTAATTTTCGTTTTATTTTGCAAGCATGATAAGTAAAGGTAATTTGATAAACTTTACTATACTTCTTTTTTTTTTCAATTAAAAATATGATAATACATAAAAACTAATGAGAGTGAGTTGTTTATTTTAAATGATACTCACAAAACATTTGAAATCATTAAAAGTCTTAATAAAGAAAATTCCATATTATTCTGCTCCTGGTTCAATAATAAATAGTGAACTACACAGAAAATAGTTATTTTTTCACATTCATCCTTGAAACAAATTATGTGCTTCATGTAAATAGTACGAACAATTCACGAGGTATTTATTCTAGAATAAAAAACACCAGCAATAAAAAATTTCATTCTTGTTACAAATTCAGCTTTGTTAAAAAAAAAAAAAAAAAAAAAAAAAAAAAAAAAAAAAAAAAAAAAAAAAAAAGGCATATGTAATGTTTGTATAATGTTTTTATATTAGTATCCTCCTAGTCAAGACGATACTTATTTTTGCTGTCACTGAATGAACAAACATTTAAACATTACCAATTTAAGTCCTGATGAGATAGCGATAGATTAAATAAACTGTAAATTAAGAGAAGTAGAAACACTAAAATTTCTAATAATAAATTCTAAAAATTCGTTAAAGTTTAAGTGGTTCTATTTAAGTAAAAGACAAGATTATTATTTTTTTAATTGCAAATGTGCTTCACAAATATTCCTGCGACTAAGTTCTAGAAACAGTATTAAGAGATAGAGACATGGAAATTATTCACAAACTATATTATAACAACAAATAAATTCATTTTAGGGAAAACAAGAACACAACGTAATGCGGCAAATAAATATTGAAAATTCCTTTTTCTGATAGAAAAAAAATTACCTTTTAAAACACAGCGATGAAAACGTTGAAATAGCATAATACTTAATTTGACTTTCATTATAAAACAGCTTTAATTACTTTATTTAATGTTGTTATGTTTTTCTAAAACGTTTCCGGTTGTTTAAATTTGTACACTGAGAATACTTGTGGTAGCCTATTTCTGTTCACAAAGGGCATAATTATATTTTGACCAGTTGAAGCGCTACCTGATGGTGATTTGATGAAACAATCAAAGAGGTATATGCGTGTTCATTGATAGATTAGAAGAGAAAGAAAAGTAGTTCAGCAATGGGATTTTTTGCAGCGTAAACTATGTATGTTTGTTTATTTAAATTAGCATTTTTATCGAAGCGTAAATAGAGGCCTAAAGCTATAAAAGATTCGTACAAAGCATGAGTAATTTTTATTACCTTGCAATGTTTGCAAGTTCATCTTCATGAAAAATCATTATTATTGCTACGAATGTAAATTGTTTGAAATTAGAAAGCATTTTTAAGTTAGAGAAAAGTTCAAACATAAATTTTTCATAAGTCATCAAATCAAATAAAACATTGGCTTAAATATTTTTTTAATAATAAAAAAACATGTTAATATTAAAATTAAAAGAAGGGAATCTTTTTAAAGGATTGACAAATCTTTATGTGCAAGTCTGCATGTGATTGATAAGCCTTTATTGTACAGCCTAAATAGATTATTAATAATTAAATATCCACTAGCTATTGCATTTCTCTTTCACAATAATACTTTAGTATATAGAATTATTTTTCACTTTATACTTAAAATAACAATAATTGTATTGAACTTAATGGATTAAACATTAAAAATTATCTGCCTTGTTTTTCCTTCCATTTATTGGTGAGGTAAATATAGTTGTTATTATTTAAATTCTGACTTATTTAAACCATAATATTACAAATTCAACTTCTTAATGCTTCTTTGTTGAATGATTCCTTGCTGGAAAATTAAAAAAATTAAGCATCGGTTTGAACATATCAATTGTTGTATTTTAATTTTTCTTAAAAATTCTTCATTAATATTTAAGAAAGTTTTTTTTTTATTTAAATGAGTAAAAATGAGTTATAGAAAATTTATTTTAGTTTTTGATTCGATTTGTAACCAATTTTATTCGATTTTTAACCACTTTTATATGAAATCTTCTAATCCGGAAAAAAATGAATGTATTGAAACATCCATTTCTGTTTATTTACATTTGAAATAATATAGCTACATGAGTATATTTATTTGAGAATATATTAACCATAAACGGACTAATGCCGCCATAAAAGCGGCATAAACACTTTTATTACTGGGTCAAATATCGCGCATATAATAGCTGAAATCATTTTATTATTTTGATCACACTTATTGTAGTCATATTTGTAATTAATTTAATTGTAAATTATTATAAAATAATTAATATTATATTTAATCATTAGAATTATACCTGGTGGGAGGACCAGACCGGACCTTGACCAGACCGTCAAGGGTTAACTTGAGTTTATTCTTAGAGTGAGATTATAAATATTATATAAACTGCAGTAATGTAAAATTATATTGCTTAGCATATTACATCATTTTAAGATTCTATCTTCTAAAAATAGAGAAAAATACTTTGATAACTAAAACAAGTACTATCACTAGATAACTCAATATTTTTCTATTTCGGGACGTTATATTTTTTTTTTATTACGTTGAGAGGGTCAAAGCCAAAATATGCTAATTAATGTAATAGAAAATATGCAAAGGATTTTTAAGTAATGAAATCATTCTTATGCTAAAAGTCAAGACCACCAAGCATTTTCCTCTTAGTTTGGGCTACACATCTCCAATTACACATCCCGCAGTGGACTGGTCGTTAAGACACGATTTCCAGTAGATCACCGAAGTGAAGCATCACAGGCAGTGGTCAGTGTACTGGTGGGCGGCCACTTTGATCGTTTTTACCCCTTGAACTGAGATCCATGATAAAACGTTTCATTTGTTGAAAAAAGCCTTAATCGCATCTCCATACTTCTACTCTCCAGTACCAGGTAAATCATTTGTCATCACTCCGATGCATCCCACATTGGTGTGGCGGTATGTTTATCACAATAATGGGACGGAAAAATACACCATATAGATTACGTCAGCCAAAAACTTACTCCTGGCCAGAAAAATGGTCTACCATCGAAAGATAGGCATTTGCCATTGTGTCGTCTCTGAAGAAGCTTGAATCGTATGTGTTTGATATCTGAGATGATTTGTATGTGAGATAGAATTTTATACATATCATAATCCGTTACTTTATTTAACAAGATGTGCTCTCCAATCATCCAGATTGCAAAGATGGGCAACTACTCTTCAGAAATTTTATATAACCGTGAAACATTGCCCTGGTGTGAAAATGCCCAAGATGAAGCATTATCTCTTTTAATAAAAAAACCCATAAGATTAGAATTTCATTCCTATACATGTTATAGCATTAGTGTTAAATGATCATTGTTATTTTTATTATTATTTACTTTGGACTTGCTTTAATTATTATGAATGCTTGATTAATTATCATATTTCACTTAAATAACGTTTTATATTTTTGTAATATAACTTAGTGTTTTTTTATGTAATCATCATCATTTTCTAGTATTTTCTTGTATGCTACGTTATCTGAACAATACGTCATGTTTTAATTAATTCATGTAAAAATTAAAAAATAATATTTCATAGTACAAAATTGTTAGATAAAGTATCGCAGGGATACTTCAATCTCATGTGTGGGTGTTGTGTTTCGCAATTCTTCCAGAGGGCGTGCCGCACTTACTTTTCAGGTACAATTATGAAATGAAGAAGAATTGTTCTGGCTGCGGCTTTTATTTTTATTTTATGTTAAATTATTTTGTCTGCCTAATAAAATTGTGATTTGTCCTAACAGCACGTCAAACTAAATTAACGCGTCACTGTTGGTATTTCAATAAATGTTTGGCTTAAAATTCATATCCCATCAAGCAATTATCTTTACAACAAATCATTTTTAAATATTGGTATCGATAAATCAAAAATATTTGTAATGAATTATTATCGTTGTTAAATGTATTGTTATTGAAATTAAAAACGTAGCTTAATGAAAACGACAACAAATGTTAAAATTTTAAATGTTTCAATCTAAGCAATGAAATTTTTTGAGAAAATATAATTAAGTAGTTTACTGATTATTACATAGCATTGGTAGTGATAATAGTGCTAAGAACAATTTATTTTAGTTCTATTCAAAAAAATATATATTTAGAGCTGTATCGCTAATGAAGGTTTTTTTAAAAACTATTTTTAGAGAGTTTAGGAGGAAACGCATCATCAAAATTTCATATTGGTTACTCTCTAGGATAGACTGATTGGTGAGGAACTGATTATGTTCGAATCTTGTAATATGTCATTTAAAATTGGATACTTTAAAATGATATAAAAATTTTTTATACCTCATAAATCAAAATTTTTTCGTCCACTATATAATAAATATTAATTAAACATTGTTTTTTTTTTTTTTTTTTTTTTTTTTTTTTTTTTTTTTTTAAACACAGAATTACCTTTGGATAGTTGAATTTTATTACTGTGAGCAAAACTTTCGCTTAACTAGTTCCTTAAGTATTTCGAAATAAGCAGAAATTCAAATTAACATTAAGGGGTCCAAGTTTTTAATAGCTCTCCTGATTAAACAATTGAGATAATATTTTTCTGATTACTGCGATATTTATATTACCCATACCTTGAATTTTAAAAAATCCGAATCCGTAAAAAAAAGGGATATATATATAGAGAGAGAGCGTTTTTGTGTCTGATTTCGTTACTTAAAATATCGAGCCTGAATTAATTAACCAGCAAATTTAAGGTTAAGTCATGTAACTATTAAGATTAAGTCCTAAGAAATCGAAAAAATTCCAATCATTATATTAAATGCTATTGTGAGTGTTCATTTTTTTTTCTTTTTTGCACATCGTACGGACTTTACAGAGAAAATATGTCCCCCTTCATTGATATAAAATCAATGCTTCATGAATGCATATTTGAAGGTGTGGCCAAAGTGATAAATTAGCTATTATTCGTAATGGCTAGTTTAAATATTAGTTATTCAATAATCGATATTTTAAAGCTTGTCACGAGACAGTCGGTATCTTTACTAATAGCTGGAAATTAACTGCACTTTAGCATAGCATGTTTTGTTAAGTATGGTTAACGTCCGGTCACAAGGAAATTCTCATCATTACGTCCATTGACGGTTACATAAAGATTTATACCAACCAAAATCAATAAATTAGTTGCGTTTGAACTTTGTTTTGTTACTAAACTAATGTTAAAAATAGTTGTCAGGAATTGCTACAAACTTTTTTTCATTTATTTACTTCTTCTTATATTTTTTTTGTACCACACTACTCACTGCACTTATTTTTTTAAAAAGTAGCTCACTCACTACGAATTATGAAAAAAAAGTAGCCACTATAACAGTTTCGCTACTTGTAGAGCGGAACTTTCGACCTCTGGAGATAAGCAGCAATAAGTCAGCATATTGACACTCTTTACTAGCTTAGAATGAAGTTTTTCCGGGCCGTTGCTCATGTTTATTTTTTGTAGAAATTTCCATTGATAGTTCAGATAGGAAGTGGTCGAAAGCTTGGACCCCTCAATGTTAATTTCACTTTTTCTGTATTTTGCCATACATCTGCAAAAAATGAAGGGAATAAAAAAAAAAAGATTTTTTTTTGTTGCCCAAAATAAGACATGTTTATCCAAAGATAGTTTCATGTAAAAATGTTTTCGATTATAATTATTTATTATTTTTATTTACTAATGGTCGAAAATTGTGAATTTAAAGTAATCAAATTTTTACATCAATTTCATCGACGTAAATTTAAATGACAATATTCAATATTTTGCTTGAAATATTGTTTGCATTAATTAATTAGCTTATGTAAGATAAGGCCCTTAAACCTTTTAAACTTAACTCTAATCTAAAAATCTACTAATCTGCTAAAAATCTGATCATTAGATAAAAAGTTATTTAGGGCTTCTGCAAACATTACAGAAATGCTTTTTTTCCTTCCATCCGTTTTTTTTTAATGCAATTTAGTCGATACTGTGCAAAAAAAAATCTAAAATATTTGGATTTCCCGATTTTCTTTTGATATTTC